GAGGCACAGTCCGATTGGGACCTACATGTTCTGGGAGTTCTTGCGGAGTTCTTGCGACCATAGGATGGCTCCTCATGCCTCTACCGGATTCTCCCCATTTTTTATGTATGGGAGAAAATGCGACCCCCCCCCCCCATGGAAGCCCAGTTAAATATTGAGCCAAGCAAAAAGAGAGCCACTGTGCCAGGACTGGTGAGCCTTAACCTAAAGCGGTTAACGGAAGCATGGAAGGCATCCCGGGGAAATTCGGCCAAACGGCAGGCTGCAAATGAAAAATTGGCTGGGCTTAAGGAATTGGGGAAATCGTGGAGGGGAGGGCATGGCTGCATTGCCCCCAGGTGCCCGTGGGCACATCTCCTAAATTACATAGGCCATGGCAGGGCCCAGTGGAGGTAATTGAGGTTAGGAGGCCACAGTGTGTACGGATCCAAGTTGGTCGCAGGCGTTAGTATGTGCACCCATCATGACTGAAAGCATATTTTCCATCTTGAGGGAAATTCATCTCCACCATCTGGTGGCCGGGTGTGTAATGTGTCCGACGGGGACGGACATATGTGTACGGAGGTTGGGCCTCTGCGAGACTCTGTTTCTCCATCCGCAGGAACCCAGGGCTTAACGCCTATGGAACCGCCGGCGGTGCCGCCCACAGGTGGACCGGGGTGGACGGTACAACCACCACCCGCTTCTTCCTCTCCTCCATTTTCGTCCTGGGGGGGACCGCGCCCGTTAGGCCAGCTGCGAGTCACCCCCGGGGTCCCTGGGGGACCCGTGCCGGGCTCATACGAGGTTCGGTTCAGATGACCGCCCCTACTTTGGATTGCTGTTATTTTCGGGCCTGGATTGTTGCAATGCATTGTGGATGTTTCATGGATATGGCGGGATGGCTGATTTTTTTTCACGGGGGGGATGTGATGTAGTAACATAGAATGAGTCGCTGTAGCGCGTGCCGCTGGGAGATTGGTAGACAATATAATTAGGGGTAACAGCCCAGTCTACCAGTTGCACCTGTGGGCAAGGCCAGGAGCCCTCTGGGGGATCCAGAGGGGTGTGGGGTCGAGGGCGGAGCCTGGCCACGCTGGGTCTGCTGCAATCGGGGCTGCTGCAATCTGGAATGGAACTCGTCATGCCGTCGTCGTGATCTTTGCCCTCTTCATGTTGGCTGTCCCGACCCAGTACGCACTTATCCCCTAAGACTGTGAAGGCCGGAATAAAAGAGAGAGTACTGCCTCCTAGTGTCTGTGAATTAGCACACTTCACAGACATGATTCCTTGCAAAAGGTTTCAGTTTGGTGTTTTAACATCTTAGCACCTGTTTTATTGCCATAAAGGAGAAAATATATTCTTAAAACTAAAGGATGATTCTCATCACATTGCAAACCACGATTTTCAATTGTGGCTACAAATACATTACAGTACAGTATACCGTTTATATGTACTTGCACATCTCCACATATACATCTATGTACAAACTGTATATAAGTACACATAACAACAGTAGATGTAATTCCCTACTAAGTGACGGCAACATAACCACGGTGCTGGTGCCAGGCTAGGTGCACTTTGAGGCTGCCACGTGAAGTGTGGGTGGCTCGCTGGCAAGGTCACTGGACAGGCCCAGGTGCCACGGGTTGATCGAGATGACTGGTAGATGTACCACCTGCGCTCCGCGCTGCCTAGAGATGACTACCACGTAGCAATAATGCGTAGTTTTGCATATAGCATCGTCGTTTATGTGTGACAATTCCTGAGGAACCGCACACAAGCTGGACAGCAGCCAGACAGGTGAGCCAACATCCAACAAAGATCTGCAGTCATCTTTACATTAAGATGCTTTCAGCCAAATCACGACTTGTATTTATACGTGTGGAGGGAAATCGGAGCACGCAAAGAATCGAAATTATAATCTTTATTTATACTGGAGGAATCCGATGAGCTATGAAGCTCCTTTTCACAGATGTCGAAGCGTGCCAAGGGGGCAATAATCAATTCCATACAGAAGGGACAGATGGAGATTAGTCCACACACTTCGCTGTACCGCCTTCGGATAGAAGGGAGTTTCACAATCCGTGCGTGATCCACCAACCCTGGCTGCCATGCCACGTGCAGCGCGGCCAGCGACACAGCCCGGCCAGCAGAGGGCAGTGCATCACAATATAATATGTAATATGTATTATATATGTTCGTCGCTTAACAGTGCTTCTTAAATATCTAATTGGTAGTTTAATATCATGTCAGAAACACTAAGCCGCCTGTGTTACTCTCCAGTTGCCTGGGTGAAAAGTGGGAGAAGTTTTGGCTCTAAAACTTAATAAACTGTTGGCCGGTATGAAAATTACGAAAAAAATAATCGACTTTACCCTCTCCAACAATAACACGAATAGGTGTTAAGATGTTCAATCACCAAATAATCTGCATTAACCACACATCCGATTAGCACGCGTGTGCGAAATAAGTTCAAAGAGGTAATGCATACACATACCTGTGCTAAATATGCAAACTATGTTGCCGAAAAGAGTAGTGCCTATAATGAATTTATCATTAATAACCTGACTCGTCAAAGTATATAAATGTTGTGTCGTTAAAACCCACCACCACCCGACACAGCCAACTAGTAAGGGTTGTCACGTAAACAAAACGTGGCCAATTCGTCACTAGTACAGCACTAGTGTGTAGAGTAGTGTATAGTAGTGTAGTGTATAGTGTAGTATACTAGTACAGCACGCCGGTGTGTTGGAGAGCCAAGCCACAACATTTACAATCTGAGTACGACGTTTTACAACTAGCTTCATCAGGTGTGTCGGGTGGTGGCGGGTTTTAACAACATTTATATATTTACGCGATCTAACCCAAAAAAAAACTGTTTTGGATATTGGTCGTCACCACGTTGAACCCACCGACATGACGTCACTTTAGCTATCCCATCCGTATGCCGTCATCACTGCCGATCCCACTAACGGGACATCCCCACAATTGATTCCACCCACCTCGCGTCAACACAGCTGAACCCACCGACATGACGTCCCCTCAGCGATCACACCCGCATGACGTCATCAATGCTGATCCTACTGACGTGACGTCACCGCAGCTGATCCCTCCGACGTGACGTCGCCACAGCTGATCCCACCCACCCCTCGGCGTCACAGCTGTTACCATCTCCATGACGTCACTACTACTGATCCCACCCGCATGACGTCACCTCCAGCTGTGCAGGGAGCGGCTGATGGCGGGAAAAGGAGGAGGAGGAAGAGGCGGAGGGTGGGGGGAGGAGGAGGAGGTGGAGAGAGAGGAGGAGGAGGAGGGACCCGGGGCGAGGGACGTGGGGAGCGGCCCCGGGTGGGCCGGGCGCACAGGCGACACGCGCAGGTGTGGCCGGGTGTGCGTGCGTGGGGGTGCAATGCTGGGTGTGCACGCGCGTGAATGGAGGTGGGCGTGTGTGTGCGTGCATGCGTGGGGAGTGTAATGGATATATATGTGTGTGTGTGCGCGTGATCGGTGTGGTGCGGATGTGCTTGGGTGGGTGTGTGCGTGGGGAGAGTGATGAATGGGGTTTTGCGTGGGTGTGTGTGTGCGTGCATAGGAGGGGTGATGGATGGGTGGGTGTGCGTGGAGAGAGTGATAAATGGGTGTGCGTGGGTGTGTGTGCGTGGGGGTGTGTGTGCGTGGGGTGTGTGTGCGTGGGAGGGTGTTCGTGGGAGGGGTGTGCGTGGGGGTGTGTGTGCATGGGGGTGTGTGTGGGGGGTGTGTGTGCGTGGGGGTGTGTGTGCGTGGGGGTGTATGTGCATGGGGGGGTGTGTGGGGGGTGTGTGTGCGTGGGGGTGTGTGTGCGTGGGGGTGTGTGTGGGGGTGTGTGCGTGGGGGAGTGTGCGTGGGGGTGTGTGTGCGTGGGGGGTGTGTGTGGGGGAGGGTGCGTGGGTGTGTGCGTGTGTGGGGGGTGTGTGCGTGGGGTGTGTGTGTGGGGGTGTGTATGCGTGGGGGTGTGTGTGTGGGGGGGTGTGTGCGTGGGTGTGTGCGTGTGTGTGCGTGGGGGTGTGTGTGTGTAGGGGGTGTGGGTGTGCGTCGGGGGATGTGTGCGTGGGTGTGCGTGGGGGTGTGTGTGCAAGGGTGTGTGGGGGGGGTGTGCGTGGGGGGGGGGGGGTGTTTGTGGGGGGGTATGTGTGGGTGGGTGTGTGTGGGGGGGGGTATGTGTGCGTGGGTGTGTGGGGGGGGGGGTGTGGCCGTGGGGGTGTGTGCGTGGGGTTGTGTGTGCGTGGGGGAGTGTATGTGTGCGTGGGTGTGTGTACGTGTGTGTGGGGGGGGGGGTGCGTGGGGGAATGTGTGCGTGGGTGTGTGTGCGTGGGTGTGTGTGTGTGCGTGGGGGTGTGTGTGCGTGGGTGTGTGCGTGGGTGTGTGCGTGGGTGTGTGTGCGTGGGGTGTGTATGCGTGGGTGTGTGTGTGCGTGGGGGGTGTGCGTGGGGTGTGTGTGCGTGGGTGTGCGTGGGTGTGTGTGTGTGCGTGGCTGTGTGTGTGCGAGGGGTTGCACGCTGCCCGGCTCTGTTCCGTCACCTCTTCCTGCCTGTAGCGCCTTCCTCATGTCACGCGACGGCATGAAAGTACACCTAGCCTGGCACGAGCGCTGTGTGACGTCACCGCCACTCAATGGCGAATAGCGAGTGTTGTGCATGCTGTGATGGGTGTGCGTGTGTGAATGCGCGCCGTGTGGGTGAGTGCGCGCCGTGTGGGTGAGTGCACGCTGTGTGTGTGTATACGAATAGATGCTCGCTCAGAGCCCCTGCCCCAACAGTCTGTTAAGGCTATACGGGGGATCTGTATTTATTATATACGAATGGGTGTGTGTCCGTCTTATGGGGAGCGGTAGTGTAGCGATTAGCGCGATACACTACGAACCTGGCTAACCGAGTTCGATTCCAGCTCATCGCCAGCACCAGTGACGATCATCTGAACAGGCCCTGGTCCTCCCCTAGGTCGACTCAGCCTCAAATGAGTACCTGTTGTGATGTGGTGCTGGCCACCCACCCCCTCGTGTTAAGGCTACACGGAGGATCTTTGTGCCTATGGATGTGTACGTGTTTATTAGGTGTATGTGCATACTCTGTGTGTGTGTTTATATAGGTGTGTCCGTGCATGCGTGTGTGTAAATGTTTAGGTGTGTGTCGGTGTAGTTGTATGGGTGTGCATGGAATACATGCCAATAGTTAAGAGAGAGTGATCGTGGTGGTGGTGATCATGCCGGCATAGGTGATGCCGAGATTGAGATTGATGATGCGAATGGACGGTGCATTGTTAATGCGGTGAGTCGACGGGACACAATCAATCGGCAGCGGAGCGGAGTAATTCGACAACGGGTGACTCATGGACACTCGCCAATAAGCAATAGATGGGCACTATTGGAATTCGGAACAAGAGGCGATACAAAGCAATCGACTGTACGTAGGCGAACAATAGGCAATAGGAATAGGTAATTCAATGTCGGAACGACGCATATTGTAACAGATACACGGTGGAGGAGCAGTTGACAATAGATGCTCAATAGCTCAACACCCGGGCAGCGGTGAACAATGAGAGGATACGGTCTGTGTCCACTAACATTGACAACTGCGGTAGCAATGGACAATAGAAAATACACAGACAGGTATGAACAGCCAATAGACGAATATGTGAATAGGTGACCATGCGACAATGGGTGACCATGAGACAATGGGTGAGCAAGAGACAATAGGTGAGCAAGAGGCAATAGGTGGCATGTGAACAATATGAATGTTGAACTTCTTTTGCGCCTTACGTAGCCAACCGTGCTAATCGGAGGTGCGGGGGAAGAACAACAACAAGAATAAACACGTGGCGGAGGGAGGGAGCACGCTGCAAATAGGTAATTCGATCGTAATAGCTCATTACCCTCATCACCAACATCACCACATGAACATCATCACCATCATCACCACCACCATTTTTGTCACCATCATCACAATTAACATCATCCTCGTAAACCATCATTTTCATCAACATTATTATCAACACCAAAGACAAAAACCCCCTGTATAGCCCTTAACAGACTGTTGGGGTAAGTGCTGTGAGCGAGCACCTATGAAGGCCAACACGGCACACGAGGGGGTGGGTGGCCAACACCACGGCCGGCCACCTTTGTCTCCCTAGTGGCAATGTTTACACACTGCACCAGGTACCCATTTGAGGCTGAGTCGACCTAGGGGAGGCCCAGGGCCTGTTCAGATAATCGTAACTGGTGTTGGCCCTGAGCGGGATTCGAACTCGGGTGGCTGGGTTTGTAGCGCAGCGCGCTAACCGCTACACTACCCCAATCATCGCCACCAACATCACATGGTGGTGGCTATGCACGTGGCCTGTAACGCAGCGCTGGAGGCGAGGGTTGGTGGATCATGCACATTTGCTTTGAAACGTCCATCCCGTGGGTGTTGAGGAGCCCTGGCTCCCCAGGAGAATGCGGTGCAGAAAAAATGTGGACTCCACCTATTCCGTCTGAATCGGATAGAGCGTTTCCCCGTCGCACGCGTGGGTTTTCTCTAGGTGGCTCTGGTTTTCCGTCCAAATGTAACACTCAGGAATTAATCGACAACACTTTGATACATAGAGGACCGAAGAACTTGGGCAGTCGTGCCTCTGAGTCGTTCTCTTTCAGAGTGAGCGAATACGGTGCGGCGCGTTACCGGTTTAAAATATCAACGTAAACATCATGACTTACAGTATTCATATCAACGTCATCATAACTGTTATTGTCAACATCATCATCAACATAATCAGCAACACTACCACCAACAGCATCATCACCACCATTAGCATCATTCATCGAAGTGCCGGCCACGGACAGCCTTCACTCACAAAGCATGTGCACGTGTGTATATACACCTAGCTTGGCACAAGCGCTTTGCTGACATCACGGTGGCAGAGAGGCGCATGGTGTGTCGGTGTATGCGTGGTGCTGGCCACCCACCCCCTCGTGTGCCGTGTTGGCCTTCATCGGTGCTCGCTAACAGCACGTGAACGTACTGGCGGGACACCTGTGTAGCGCGATAAAAAAATATATTCGTACAATTTTCGCAACTATTATTTATTTTCCCTTGATTCCAAACCTCAGTGAGAAAATATTGTGGGGTGGTGGTTGTGGTGCGTCAAAATCAGTTCTCGTGATGTCGACGCAGCTGAACACGAAGCTTCGCAGTCTGTTGCCGTATAGCATTTGCTGGCTCCGTGTTCCAAAGGCAGATTTGACTCCTCGATTAATTCCAGAATAATTTCTTGGCGGACGGTGGCATCAAAAGATTAGGACTCGTGGCGTCACCAACACCACCATACGTTCGAGTAGAAAAGCGGCTGCTGAATCGAAGTAAAACGTCTGATGGAAAGTCTGCAGCTCACTCAAGGGGTAACAGCGACACGGTCAGACTGTTTCATGAGGACCGGTGTTGTTATACTGCACCAGTGTACTGCCAGTTCATCCATTTACCCGAAGTATGTTAAAGCCTGTGTGGGGCATCTTTGTATATTGTTGGGAGTGGTGGCGCAGCGGTTAGCGTGGTGCTCAACGAACCCGGCCACCCGAGTTTGATTCCCAGACGATGATTAATTATCTGAACCAGTCCTGGGCCTCCCACATGTCGACTAAGCTTCAAATGAGTAGCTAGTGTAAATGTGTAAACATCGCCACTGGGGAGACAAAGGCGGCCGGGCGTGGTGCTGAGCACCAAAACCTCCTCGTGTGCCGTGTTGTAACTTGCTCACAGCATTTGACCCAACAGTCAAGGCTATAGGTGGATCTTTGGATGCATTCTGAGTGTGTGTGGCTATGTCTGTGACACGTGGCGAATTGTAGTGGTTATGTACTTTGTACTCGTTGATGTACATTCATATATTTGTGGATGTATTTTTTTACTTAATAGAAAAATCACCTCCCTTGCTCTTTCTCTGCCTTGGATGTCGCCGTTTTTGTGGCTAGGACTGAGGTGAGGCCCAGCACCTCACCTGTACCTGGACCTTGGGCTTTCCATAAGTTAAAAGTTAAACCAATTATTTTTGTACAATTTTAAACGTTTTAAATATATCGTTTATTTCTATATCGTATTTATCTTCGTCAGTTATAGCAATAACTTGTTATCTTTCCCCCACACCTCCGATTAGGACAGTTGTCTACGTACACTGTCCTGGGCCTCCCCTAGGTCTACTGAGCCGTACAATGGCACCTGGTGCCATCAGCACTGGGGAGACAAACGCCGTTGTGCCGACCTTCATGGGTGCTGCTCGCTGACACCACTTCTGACCCCATGCCTGTACTGGACATCTGTCAAAAAGAGCTTCCTAGGCCATCAGATTCCTTCAGTCTAAATAAAGAGTCTGACTTGCCCCAGCAGCCTGTTTAAGGCTGCACGGGGGATCTCTGTCTTTGCGTGAGTGTAGCTGCTGCCATGGGAGGGGTCCTGCTGGCTGTGGGGGGCCCAGCCCCCCCTCGCTGGCCGCTCATCTGGGTCGTCTTGGTGACGTGGGGGTCGTGCACCTGGGCCCACGAGCGCGGGGTCCGTGATGACGCGTTCGCCATCCCCCGCTCCACGATCCCGCACCACGGTGATGCATGCACGCACACGGCGTGGAGGCCGTGCAGGAGAAATTGACAATTATATAAAAAAAACGCGCATTTATGACACGCTGCCACCATGCTGCGCTAAATTTCCGTGAGATTCCGAGGCAGGGAAAAACGTGGACGCGCAAAGGAAGGCATCAGCCACAACCGTCGCGACTGGCAATTTCCCGACCTCCGTGGCCCTATATTTAGTCGGACAGCTTAGGGCTGGATCTTGATGAAATGGGGAGAGTGTGGATAAAAGCATAATATTTGATTTAGATGATCTTCATAGGAAATACTTTAAGTTTTTGCGAGGATCCACGAAAACAAGTCATTGGGACAGTTTTTACGAGCCAAAATGTTATTTTCGTTCATTCCGCACTGTGAAAATCGCAAAAAACACGTATTTTGGTAAAAAAAAACCCATTAACATGAAGTTGATGAAAGGAAACACCATTAACAGAGTCTTGCAAATATTACCACACAATCATCATGTCACATATGTGTAGAGGAGTAATTGATGACGTCATATCACCCTGGGGGAGATAATTGATGACGTCATGTTACCCTGTGATATATAAGCAGGGATCCGTGACGTGAGCGGGGTCGTCGTCGGGGCCCGGGAACGAGAGAGGTTGAGAGTCGAGACCCAGGGTAGGGTGGCTACTTCACCCGACCGACCGAGTTGGCTGATCCCTCGGTCGATGCTGAGGGAAGAGCCCGAATTGCCTGGGTGGGTGCTAGGGGCCTCCCAGTACCCTTTCCCTGGGGAGAAACATACCAGCCATCCACTGTTAGGCGTAAGCCCCTAATTAGTTCCCAGGCATAATCCCCTAAAAAACCTGGCATCAGCCCTTATCGAAGAACTGCGTCAGCGTCGTCACTTGCACCACAACATATGTAAGCAAAACAATTGCAAAAATATGATTTTGTCTCGATAAAATGACGGAAACACCTGACATTATAATCCCAGATCATCGTCTTCAATTGTAAGAAAAAAGCTCCCACTGTTGCCAAATCTCAACACTCAGTCAATTATGAACCACCACTACCTCTGTACATTGGACTGAATGTTCATACACTTACGCAATCAAAGAAACTGATCACACATCTATGATTTAGGTCTCAGTGTCAGCTATGACCAAATCTTGCAGCTTGAGAATCAGTTGGCAATTGTAGTCTGTCTCTATACTGAGAAAGAAGGTGTTGTGTGCCCTTCTCAGCTACGTCATGGTCTCTTCACTGTCGGTGCCTTGGACAACCTGGATCACAACCATTCAAGCACTACAGCTAAAGGTTCATTCCATGGCACAAGCCTGTTTCAGTCTCCAACCAAGTGGAACATGCGACATTGCCGAGAGGCAATACGACTTCTACAGACACAAAGAAGTGCCATTCAATGCCTAATAGTTTTACTACAGTGCCAGCTGTTGCTCTCAAGGAAACCACAGTAGCAGTACTGAAGCTTGTCAATGCAAGAGACAATTGGTGTAGACCTAGTGGTAGCAAATATGCAGGAAAAATTTTGATTAGCGAGGGCACTCGAACTTATAAAGCAAAATAAATTGGAAAAACGCAACAATGTAGCATGGTCAGCCTACCATGCATCTCTGCAAGATGACTCCGACTTGGAGGGTAAGCAAGCAGCTCTCACGCAACTCTTGCCACTCTTTTATGAAAAGGCAGCAGCCGCCATGATTAACCATGGAATGGATGTTCAGCGCCAAGCCACACAATTCCTCAACCCTGGCCAAATTCCTATAATGGCCATGGATGCTTCGCTGTATATCCTAGCAAAGTACATTCAATGAAATTGGCCTCAGACACATGGGGAGGACAGGTATGTCGTCATGTTTGGTGGTCTCAAACATTGAAATGGCCATGTGGAATAATACAGTTGGAGACTATCTGGATGACTCAGGTTGGACTACTGCACTTACAACAGGGAGGCATTGACTCCTCAGGCACAGCACATGTATTTAATCGCAGCTCCCATCTCACCAGAACAAGGCAAGCACACCAAATTAGTTCTATGGCCTGGGCCAAGCTACAGCAGGATGCCTTCTCTTACACGGAGCAGCTCCAAACTGATGAAGCAAAATAACTTTGGAGACAAGACATCAGCAGCAAGAGCCCAACATTCCAGTATTAGGATATCCTCAACCTAGAGCTTCTGGGTCTCATCTTCATCAGAGCTCACTGTGAAGCAAACTTCCAAATGTATGTGAAATCACTGAAAGCCCTGGTTCCATGAACTGCATCACCCGAATGATGTTCGTTGGATCCCTGTTCACTTTCGAGACATGGAAAACCTACCTCATTCCATCCAAGAAGAATTTGCGCAACATGGCAATTGGATTGTTCCCAAGACTACAAACTAATTCTTAGCCATATCCATCGATCAGGCCCATGAGCAAAATAATGACATGGTGAAAAGCTTTAGCGGTGCAGTAGCACTTACGGAAAACCCATCAGACTTCCGAAAGCAAGCAAGATTGCTGAATGAGTTTTAGGAATGCTTTTTGGGAAAAATTGAAAAGCACCACCAGGAGGAGGGCCTGTCTGTCCAAAATAACTTCAGACTGTACGCCCTGAGTCTGGCGGTGGCCGTCAGTGAAATGGGCAAACCTTTCCTGAGCGACACTCCAGAGCTGCTAACTTTGGATTCTTGTGATGTTCTGAATGAATCTGTGATTAACACTGTCCACAATGTAGAAGCACCCAATCAAAAAGAACTGCCTACGACTCTTCAAGTGTCTTGAGCCTATACTCAAAACCAAGCAAGCTGACAAGATCACAACTTTGAAGACTGATGTCAACCTTTTCTCCCATCTCTATGTTGTGGCACAGCTCAGGGAAACAGACATGGGTACCTTTTTCATGCATGAAAATCACCCCCGTCTCTCTCTGACAGAGGCAGTCTGCATCTGGGAAATAAGTCTTACCTACTAACTTGTCTGGTGGAAACAACTCAGACAGAGGCTCCAATGCAAGTTCTAGATGATGATACTGACCTGGTAGCATGTTTGATACAAACTACTGAGACAGAGACTATAAGTTCCATTGACATCACAGTTCTAGATGTTGCTCCTGATCTGCTAGCTTGTCTTGAACAAACATCTCAGACAGAGCCTCCAAATATATTTGACATGGACACTCTAGACAGTGCTGCTGTCTTGCATCCCCACTCCACAAGCAGTATCACAATATTTGGAGACTGCCAATGACAACTTTATGCCCTACATCATGAACCAGCTGGGAAATGCCAAGAGAGTGGATATAGTATGGGACACCTACCTCAAAAGCAGCATCAAAGAATCTACAAGAGAGATGAGAGGCAAAGGCATCAGGAGAAAGTCTCCCAGTCAGAATAATATCCCTAGGAAGTGGAAAGATTTTCTGTGTGATCCAGAAAACAAGCAGCTCTTTGCCTTCCTCTCGGACAAAGTAGCAGTCATTGAATTCCCAACTCAAAAGGAGGTTGTTATTATATGTTTAGTGACTGTGCTTGTCACTGTATGGTGCCGGGGCTTGCGAAGCCACGGCCGGTAATGTGTTCTCATTATGGGCAGCCCGGGTTACGGGATGTAGTACCAGCCCTAGCGGGGCTTGGGTGAGCACTGGTTAGCGCGGAGGCACCGTGAGCATTGTGCGGTGCGGGCTCCCGGTGAGGGAGCAAGAGGGAGCGTCAGCCAGCCAGGGTTACCTTGGAGCATGATACACTGGTTGACCTGCTGTCACGTGAACGGATGATATTGGAGGGGGGCCACCAGTGGACGGGGGCCATGGGGCGGTCACGTGGTCCAAAGGAGCTCTCGGGAACCTTCGAGAAGGAGCTCGAGAGACCTGGAAGGTGGGCGGGGCGAAGGGCGGAGCCAGCCCCAGCCCAGGGGCATATAACGAGGGCCCCGTGAGGAGCTCGAGGTTCTTCGTGTGCTGGTGTTACGAAGATCCACGTCAGGGAGAAGAATTCTCTAGCCACGCGGTCCGGGACCCAGCTTGTGGTCCGGACCGGGATAGCGAACCGTGTCTAGTTCTGCCGTAGCGTGGTTAGATGGGCATTCGAGACCCGAGTGTAGATCGTGTTGTGTTGCGTGTTAATGTTAATAAATAGTGTTGCTCCCAAGATAACGTCTGCGACATGTGATCAAAGTGTTGTGATCAGAGGAACCAACAGCAGCATACTCTTTGGTTCTATTCGGTAAAGTCACGTAGGTAAATAATAAAACAACAATAATCACGACGTTTCGGCCACAACACAAGCGGCCTTCATCAGGTGAAGGGACGAGCCTGTCTGGAGGACAGGCTCACCTGATGAAAGCCGCTTGTGTTGTGGCCGAAACGTCGTGATTATTGTTGTTTTATTATTTACCTACGTGACTTTACCGAATAGAACCAAAGAGTATGGATCCTTGCAGTCACGAAAGCTTTAAATCTAGAATCAACTGCAGCATGCCAAAATGTGGCAAGGAGGAGGCGGACACAAGAATGCTGGTTCATTTGCAGGGTGCCTTGCAGAATGGTTGTCACGTGTTTGGTTCACATATGAGTAGCTTCGGCGGGGGAAAGAACTTCAGCTATTTTCACATCAATGCCATCGCCCAGGCTTTAGGAGAAAACAAATCCACTGCCTTACCCATTTTCAACAGTTTCACAGGCTGTGATACGGTGTCTTCCTTTTTTGGAATAGGGAAAAGGTCAGCATTGCAGACTTGGAAGTCTTATCTCTAAGTAACAGAGGCTTTCACCTTCATGGTGGAGAATCCATACACTGAGTTGGATGTGCAAACAATGGAAATGGTTGCGCCAACACAAAGGGCATTATCACAGCACTCAAAGTAACGAAGTTTCGAAGTTTCCAATGAAGTTACAAAAGTGTGAAATTTATTTTTAAAAATGAAGTTATATGTGAGCTCCATAAATGTATAATGACCTATCGTTGATATGATTGTTTTCACATAAAAAATAAATTAAAATTAATCTGCTACGTTCGGGTTTTTTTTTAACCGTGCAATCAAAAATGTAAATGTCACGTGATAGCATCCAAGATCTCAAATCTGATGGATTCTAGAAAAAAGTTAACCAGTAGGACCTAAACAAGTAAATCACAAAGTTTATTGCTTTTATCCAGTCTGTCCCCTTCATTTTGGAAAGCTGCCTGACTAATTGGGAGGTTTGGCCAAACACTGAGTGTCTGGCCACTCAGTGTTTACATTCGTGCATGTGCGCGTGGAACGTTAGAGCCGCTTTACGGCTACAAAAAACCCCCGAGACGCAACACGAAGCACGTGCCTCCATGTCTCAGTTTCTCTGTCTCAGTGTCTCAGTGTGCCCATACTTGGATTTACTGATTGAAGAAGAAATCTACATTAGACTGGCCCTGTTCATCCATAAAATCCTTATTGGCAAATCTGCACTATACTTAGCTAATTCATTAACACCATAGTGAAACCCAGGAAACCTAAGACGTCCATCTAATTGCCTTTTAGCTATCCTGAGAACAAGAATTGGAATCGGTGACAAAGCCTTAGCCAATGCAACATCAACATAGGCTTTCGCGTACAATATCATCCATAATATAGGTTTTTTTGGGTTAGATCGCGTAAATATAAAATTGTGTCGTTAAAACCCGCCACCATCCGACACAGTCAACAAGTAAGGGTTGTCACGTAAACAGAACGTGGCCAATTCGTCACTAGCACAGCACACTGGTGTGTTGGAGAACCAAGCCACAACATTTACAATCTGAGTACGACGTTTCGCCAGTAATTACAACTAGCTTCATCAGGTGTGTCGAGTGGTGGCGGGTTTTAACGACGCATTTATATAATTACGCGATCTAACCCAAAAAAAAACTCTTATGGAAAACACCAAGATATTGGAACAGCCTCGTTTCATACCTTAACATAGTACATCTTCAAACATTCTCCTGAAGAAGATTCGTGTTGGATACAACCACATTTGCTTACAGTGAGGGAAAAAAGTATTTGATCCCCTTCTGATTTTGTACGTTTGCCCACTGACAAAGAAATGATCAGTCTATAATTTTAATGGTAGGTTTATTTGAACAGTGAGAGACAGAATAACAACAAAATCCAGAAAAACGCATGTCAAAAATGTTATAAATTGATTTGCATTTTAATGAGGGAAATGAGTATTTGACCCCTCTGCAAAACATGACTTAGTACTTGGTGGCAAAACCCTTGTTGGCAATCACAGAGGTCAGACGTTTCTTGTAGTTGGCCACCAGGTTTGCACACATCTCAGGAGGGATTTTGTCCCACTCCTCTTTGCAGATCTTCTCCAAGTCATTAAGGTTTCGAGGCTGACGTTTGGCAACTCGAATCTTCAGCTCCCTCCACAGATTTTCTATGGGATTAAGGTCTGGAGACTGGCTAGGCCACTCCAGGACCTTAATGTGCTTCTTCTTGAGCCACTCCTTTGTTGCCTTGGCCGTGTGTTTTGGGTCATTGTCATGCTGGAATCGCTATCCACGACCCATTTTCAATGCCCTGGCTGAGGGAAGGAGGTTCTCAACAAGATTTGATGGTACATGGCCCCATCCATCGTCCCTTTGATGCGGTGAAGTTGTCCTGTCCCCTTCGCAGAAAAACACCCCCAAAGCATAATGTTTCCACCTCCATGTTTGACGGTGGGGATGGTGTTCTTGGGGTCATAGGCAGCATTCCTCCTCCAAACATGGCGAGTTGAGTTGATGCCAAAGAGCTCCATTTTGGTCTCATCTGACCACAACACTTTCACCCAGTTGTCCTCTGAATCATTCAGATGTTCATTGGCAAACTTCAGACGGGCATGTATGTGCTTTCTTGAGCAGGGGGACCTTGCGGGCGCTGCAGGATTTCAGTCCTTCACAGCGTAGTGTATTACCAATTGTTTTCTTGGTGACTATGGTCCCAGCTGCCTTGAGGTCATTAACAAGATCCTCCCGTGTAGTTCTGGGCTGATTCCTCACCGTTCTCATGATCATTGCAACTCCACGGGGTGAGATCTTGCATGCAGCCCCAGGCCGAGGGAGATTGACAGTTCTTTTGTGTTTCTTCCATTTGCGAATAATCGCACCAACTTGTTGTCACCTTCATAATTAGACCTCCTTTGCCAGTACCAAAATGTAATAATATGGTTTTTCCCCTCTTTTCTGGCAACAAAACCCTATTGGTGCTCGACCAGAGGATGCACCAATTGGGTCGAGGCTCAAAAGAAAGCCGTCCCTTGGTGTGGACCAATCATTTTCAAGGACAATGCATATATTATCATATTATGTTTTTGTTTGCATTTTGACTGCAGGTATTGTGGTTAATGCAGACATGAATCCTTGTAAAAAGGTGTCAGTTTTGCCAGAAAAAAGGGGAAACCCCCTATTATTATTATTATTATATGTTGTCACTTTCTCACCAAGTTGCTTGGCAAAGGTCTTGTAGCCCATTCCAGCCTTGTGTAGGTCTACAATCTTGTCCCTGACATCCTTGGAGAGCTCTTTTGGTCTTGGCCATGGTGGAGAGTTTGGATTCTGATTGATTGCTTCTGTGGACAGGTGTCTTTTATACAGGTAACAAGCTGAGATTAGGAGCACTCCCTTTAAGAGTGTGCTCCTAATCTCAGCTCGTTACCTGTATAAAAGACACCTGGGAGCCAGAAATATTTCTGATTGAGAGGGGGTCAAATACTTATTTACCTCATTAAAATGCAAATCAATTTATAACATTTTTGACATGCGTTTTTCTGGATTTTTGTTGTTGTTATTCTGTCTCTCACTGTTAAAAAAAACCTAACATTAAAATTATAGACTGATAATTTCTTTGTCAGTGGGCAAACGTACAAAATCAGCAGGGGATCAAATACTTTTTTCCCTCACTGTATGTAATTTGTTAATGTGTGCGTTGTCTTGGTGTGGTCTAGGACTGTGGTTGTTATCCTGCCTTGCCCAAGCTTGCATTTAGTGTTGAAAAATCGGCAGGAATGTATGTGCTTATGCAATATCTAATTGTATACTATTTATTTATTTATTTTCGTGATTTACTTACCTTTTCTCTATCTTGCACTCTTATTTTTTTGTATTGTTGTAACTTGCTGACCCGTCCCTACTGGGCATCTGTGGGAAAGAGCTTCATAGGTCAGACTGGATTCCACCTCCAGTCTAATGATTCCGATTGTGACTCCGATCACCCTGTCTCCCTGTGTCCCCATGTCTGAGTGGCCAGTGTCTCTGTTTCCCTGTGTCTCGGTGACCCCTTGTCCCCCGGGTGCCCCCCACCCCCCCCCCCCCCACCGTGTCCCCCCCGTGCCCCCCCTCCCCCGTGTCCCCACCCCCCGCGCCGTGTGCAGCTCTGGGCAGCACTGTCCGCCGCGTGGCTGTGCGTGTGGGGGGAGGCGGGGCGCTGGCACTTTCTCCGGATGGGGCGACGCTCCTCGTCGGCGCCTGCGAGGGCCTCGTTGTGCTCAACGCTCACCAGCTTGACCACCAGCCCCGCACGGTGAGCTTACATGGGGGGGAGGGCTCGCCGGGGCAGGGAGCATGGTGGACGTCAGATGGCATGGTGGGGTTGGAAGTTGGTTTGTGAGTAGTTAAAGAAACATCAGCCATATGAAGCAGAATGGCTGTGGTTGAGTTAGGTGAAGGTGGAGTGTGCGTGCATGAGTGGGGAGCGGTAGTGTTGCGGTTAGCGCGCTGCGCTCCGAACTCGGCGATCTGAGTTCGATTCCCACTCATGGCCAACACCAGTGTCGATTATCTGAACCAATCCTGGGCCTCCCATAGGTCGAGTCAGCCTCAAATTAGTACCTAATGCAGTGTGTAAACATTGCCACTGGGGAGACAAAGGCGGCCAGGCATAATGTTGGCCACCCACCCCCTCGTGTGCTGTGCCGTCCTTCATAGGTGTTTGCTTACAGCACTTGCTCCAACAGTCTGTTAAGACTGTACGGGGGATCTTAATCTGTGTGCATGCGTGCGTGTGCATTTGGGGGCTTTGGCACAGTGAATAGCGCACTTCATTACGAACTCGATGATCCGAGTTCATTCCCGCTCACAGCCAACATTTTAACACATTGGCTTTCGTGACCAATATTATCCATAAGAGGTTTTTTGGGTTAGATCATGTAAATATAAATGTGTCATTAAACCCGCCACCACCCAACTTTGTTGACAAATATTTAAACTGGTCATGGGCCTCCCCTAGGTCGAATCAGCCTCATGAGTATCTGGTGTGGCATTTAAACATCTCCTCCGGGGAGACAAAGGTGGCCTAGCATAGGGCTGGCCACACCGCCCATCGTGTGCCATGTCGGCCTTCATAGGTGCTCGCAAACAGCACTGGCCCCAAAAGTCTGTGTAGGCTACACGGGGGACCTTTGTCTTTGTGATGTATCTGGTGTGTGCGGTGTAACAGATTGTGTGGAATGCCACGACTGCCAGCAAAGAGGAGTGCATAAGGAAAGGGAGACACCCTGAGGTGCCACCAATAACACTAACACCACCGCCACCACCACCATCATATAATTTCAACCATCACCACCATCATATTACAACCACCCCGATCACCACCAACATCACTACCACCACCATTCTCATCACCATCATCATGACAATGACCATCACCACTACTTATATAATAAAATCCACTACCAACACCTTTGCTCACATCATCATCAGTGTCTGTAGCATTGGCAGATGTTGTGGTGCACGCCTGTGAATCTCTGTGGGGGATGACAGAGATTTCTGAAAATCTCAATCCCACCGGGCTGCAAGAAGGTGGCCAGGAGATGGCAGTATAACAAATGGCTTTTACCATAACCACATCGTGTTTCCCATGGTGGCTGAGTAGTCACATGCCTTCTTTCTGTGACCCCGTGTGTGTGCGACCCAAGTTTAATTTTCACTCATAGCCAACACCAGCGACGATTATCTGAATCGTTCCTGGGTGTGGTCGACTCAGCCTCAAATAAGTACCTGGTGCGGTGTGTAGTTAACGTTTCCATTCGAATGACAAAGGTGGCCAGTCGTAGTGCTGGCCACCCACTCCCTTGTGTGCCACGCCGGCCTTTGCAGGTGCTGCTACTCGCTAACAGCACTTGCCCCAGCAGTCTGTGTGGGCTACACGGGGGGTCTTTGTCTTTGCAGAGGGAGTGCCTTAACTTTGTGCGCGTGCTGCACTTCGTGAACGCGTCCCACCTGTACACATGCGGCACGCACGCCTTCGACCCCCAGTGTACATACGTGGTGAGTGGCGCGGGTGGGGGTGAGTATTTGGCGAGTGTGGGGTGAGTGACCCGTGGTGTCTGTGTAGGGGGTCTGTCTTTGCACATGTGTAAAGACCAAAACAATAGACCACTTGCCCGATGTGGTACGCATGCAGACGGACAGTCAGGTAGTGTGTTAGGGGCCTCTGATTGGTGCAGGGAGGGCTCAAAGAGCAATTGTTATGGTGAGAATTAAACTGATTAGAAGGAAAATTCAAAGGTAAAATGTGGGAAAACGAGGGTAGACTGTATGGGTAATGGTTGACAACCATTCGGCAAAGAGGACAAGGATTGGCTGGAGGAAATTGGGTGAGCGAAACTTCGAGAAAGGGGGTTCGAGGAATATAAAAGCGTAGAGCACAAGGGGAAGGGACGGTTGGAGAGAAGATGAAGTACAAGCATCATGAACTAAAGCGTGGGGCTAGAATTAGCGTTGTGTATAAAATAAAGGCTCATGGTAAAGCAAGAACGTGTGTCGGCATCACGACACATGTGTACACTTGTGTACATGTATGTATGTGTGCAGGCGAAAACAACCCCCTACCTCCTCGCTGGTGCCGGACAGCAACGCTGTGATGGATGTGAGCAATGCAATGGAGGGAAGGCCAATTCCAAAATCGGCTATACCTCTTCATGGCGCTTGTAGCCAGCACAGCGACCAAACGGGGGCTCTGGATGGGTGCAAGAGGCTGGTAACCCCTCCACCTTCTATTAATTACTACGAAACCACATGAAGAATATAGAACGAAGCTTGTGCCGGATGCCTCAGAGGGACAGGCATCTAGGACGTCTCTTGTCCAAACCCCATTTGGCGAAACCAGGAGACTCCAATCTTTACCTTCAGGATTCCTCCAGAAACAGCAAAAAGCCATTGTGGGTGGCCACGTGGAATGTTCGAATGCTCACTGCGGAGGAGAGGCTGCCACTCCTCTGTTGGGAGCTGGACCTCTGTGGTATTCAGGAGGTCCGGTGGACTGGCTCTGGCTCCTACCACCATGAGGGCTGGACAGTCCTCTACTCGGGGCAGAAGACTGCCAAACAACACGGAGTGTCTCTTCTTTTGAACAAATATACGAAGGGGGTGTAGGAGCATGGTGGTGAGGTGTGGAAAACTGTAAGCCCCAGGTTACTGTGGGCTCACCTTCCCATCAACCAGAAGTGAGGAGTAATGGTCGTGGTTACTTATTCCCCCAGCGAAGATAAACATCAGTGGAGGGATGCAGGCAAGGCCAATGAGTCAGATGTCTTCTATGACCTCCTGTCACAGGTGCTAGCTAAAGTGGCCCCTCAGGATAGAGTCATCCTGTTGGGTGATTTTGATGCCTGAGTGGGTCATGATGCTGGCACCTGGTCTGGAGTAATCGGAAGGTATGGGCAAGATCAGTTAAACAACAACGGTAGGAGGCTACTAGACTTTTGTGTAACCCATGGGCTTGTACTTACCAACACGCTGTTCCGGCATCAGCACAGCCACACATCATGGATGCACGCCGCCGGGTCCAAGCAAGAACATCTGCTCAACTATATAGTGACGGAACAGCGGATATGGGCCCATGTCCTTGACACAAGGACCTACCGTGGAGTTGATCTGCCCACTGACCATCGGCTTGTCATCTGTAAGATGCGCTTGCCATTCTTCCACTCCAGTAGTGGGTATACATCCAGGACCCCATTTAAACCCAAAGTGGCTTGATCTCAGCTAGCTGATGAAAGTTGCAAGTGATCATTTCATCATCCTTTGCAGCTGAGGTTGGTATCGTCCCCCACTCCTCCTGATGCTGAGGGGACATGGATGAGGTTTAAGACTGTGGCTCATGCAGTTGCAATGGCTGCTTTGGGTGCACGGACCAAATCTCGCCATAGACCCTGGCTGACAGAGGAGGTGTTCCGGCTGCTGAGAAAAGGCTACAGGCCCACTGTCACTGTCTACAGCATCCCACGTGAGAAAATGCTTACAAAACAGCCTTCGCTCGGAGGTTCGAAGAGCCGTGCGGCACAGCAAGGATGGGTGGTTGCCTCCATAGCCCGCGATCACAAATAAGTCTTTAAAAAAAATAATAACTTGCAGCACCACACCTATCACCATCATTAGAGGAAAGGAAGATGATCCGATCTCCGACCCTCAGGAATAGGTATGTATTTCTGTAAGGTCTTGGGGCAGGGTAAATCCCTCAACCTGGAAAATATCATCGAAGTAGGGATGAACCAGATGAGGCTGCGGTGCCTCAAATATTGGAAGTAGTTACCCCCTGGAGTAGCTGGCTGAAGTGCCATCTGTTGAGGAAGTACAGAAGGCTATCCAGAGTCTGAGACCAGGAAAAGCACCAGGGAGAGAAGATCTCCCAAGCAAAATGCTGAGGGAGGGTGGCATTTGTGTGCAGATAGCCCTATATGACATCATAATAACAGTCTGGACTACTGGACGGGTTCTGCAGGATTGGGAGGATGCCCTAGTGGTCCCCCTCTTTAAGAAGGGGGACCGCACAGACTGTATCAGCTACAGGGACATCTCCCTCCTCAGTATGCCGGGAAAGGTTCTGGGAAGGAGAGGCTCAGGCTTGTAGGAAAGGACAGTCCTGCACATATGCCATATATTCTGTCCATCTGCTACAGCAGAGGTGTATGGAATTCCAACAGGACCTACATCTCTGTTTTATTGACGTGGTCAATGCCTATAATACCATCAGTAGACCTGGGCTCTGGGTTGTTCTTTATGCTTTCAGAGTCCCTGACTCTGCTCACAATCATTAAGGACCTTCATGATGGTGAGCAGGTCCGGGTAAAACTACTTGTCCAGGAGTCAGAGCCATTCCCTATTCACCTTGGGGTGCGACAGGGATGTCCTCTGGCTCCAATATTATTTAATATCTATTTCGACTACGTCGTTCGTGAAGCCTTCGATGGCTGTACTGGAGGAAGGAATTTCCATCTGGTACAGATACAATGGGAGGCTGATTGATGCCCAGGTGTGGTCAAGGGATGGCTCCCTATTGGTTAATCATCATATGTGTCGTGACTGTGATTGTCACTGTGTGGTGCCGGGCTTACGAAGCCACGGCGGATAATGTGTTGGCATTATGTGTAGCCTGCTTACTGGGCGTAGTACCAGCCCGAGCGGGGTTTGGGTGAGCACTGGTCAGCGTGGAGGCACCACGTACAATGTGCGATGCGGGCTCCCTGCGAGGGAGCGAGAGGGAGTATCAGCCAGCCAGGGTTACGTTAGGGCATGATATGCTGGCTGACCTGCCGACACGTGACTGGATGATATTGGCGGGGGGCCACCGGTAGACGGGGGCCGCTGGGCGGTCACGTGCTATAAAAGAGCTCCTGGGGAGCCTTCGGGAAAGAGCTCGAGAGATCTGGAAGGTGGGCGGGGCGAGGGGCGGAGCCAGCCCCAGCCCAGTCTGATATAACGGGGGCCCCGTGAGGGGCTCAGGGTTCTTCGTGTTGCTGGTGATGAAGATACTTGTCGGGTAAGCGTCTAGCCATGCGGTCCGGGACCCAGATTGTGGTCCGGGCCGGGATAGTGAACCGTGTCTAGTTCTGCCGTAGCGTGGCTAGATGAGCATTTAACACCCAAGTGTAGGTTGTTATGTTACGTTGAGTTTTGAATAATGTTGCTCCCAAGACAACGTCTGCGACTCAGTTAGACTCACTACACATGTATACTGATGATCTGGTGATTGCTGCTCACTCAGAGGGGAAGTTGGAGGCATTACTGCAGAACCTGGAGCGTGCCACTAAAAGAGGTGGGGCCTTATCATCAGCCCCACCAAAACTAAACACCTGCCTGGGTATTTTGTGCCATCAGACACTCTATCCACACAACTCACAATTGGTGATGGGGTAATTGTGGAGAGAGTGAAAGTTTTCCATACCTGGGCAGTGTGCTCATAACCGGCTCCGGTTTGACAGCATAGGTCTCACTCCGAATCAGTCAAGCGGCATTATCTTTTCATCAGCTGTGTAGCAGTGTGGAAGCTACCTAGTCTGTCGCTCCACACGAAGCTTCGGGTCTGCTTGGCCACAGTCATATCCTCCCTTTTCTATGCTTGTGAAATGTGGACCCCTCTAATGGAACATCTACTCTGGTTAGAAACATTTACGCTGATCTCCCTACGATCCTTCCTACGATCCTTCCATCAGTGAGCTCCTGTGGAAGACAAGGCTGCGTTGTCTGGGTCATGTAGCCCGCATACTCAGCCACCGCATGCCCAAGCAGCTTCTGTTTGGCCGGATAGAGAGGGCTAAACATACATGATACGGGCTGGAGAAGAGATGGACTGATGCAGTACCGGAGGATGTGGAGCTGAGTGGACTTGCGGAAGACTAGTACCAGCGATGTCAAGACAGGCCTCTATGGAGGAGGCTCATAAAGGACCCTACTGATCAGTTGGAGGCAGTTGCTCTCCAACAACAACGGAGGGTAGAGGAGCGATGCTCATAACCGCAACCAGAGTTTCTGGCAGATAAAATACAGCAAGTTCGCACAGTAGGGGGCACAGCTGGTGCATCTGCCAGTCATCTAAGTTAACCCATGCCACCTGGGTCTGTCCCGTGACCTCCTTCAGCGAGCCTTTGACACTTCACGTGGCCTCAAAGTGTACCTGGCCTGGTACAAGCACCGTTCTGATGTCACCGCCACTTCATCGCGAATGGCGGGTGTTGTTGCTGTTGTTGTTTGTACAATGGTGGGAGTGGTAGTGTAGCAGTTAGCGGGCTGCGCTATGAACCCGTGGACCCGAGTTCGATTCCCGCTCATGGCCAACACTAGTGACGATGATCAAAACTGGTCCTAGGCCTCCCCTAGATCGACTCAGCCTCAAACATTGCCACCCACTCCCTCGTATGCTGTGCTGGCCTTCATAGGTGCTTGCTATTGCTATCAACACTGCACCAACCCAATATATAATTCGGCTCTAAGATTTGCTCTGTATGCCCCTTAGAAAACTCATCAGTGTGACCTATATAGAGAGACTGGCCTAGCATCCCTCCATGATCGCAGAATCATTCACCAGGCTTTGTTTATTCAAAATGTCCTTAGTTCCAATTCAGCAGAATATTTGTTGGATCTGTTGACACCACGGGATGCCATACCTAACCTGAGGAGCTCATCATTGTTTTTGTTGAATGTTCGTAGGTACGAAACAGGTTTTGGTAAACAGGCATTCTCAGTGGCCATCCCTAGTCTCTGGAATAATATCACCACAAAACTTGATTTACAGTCACTATCTTCACTCAATCATCTTAAATCACTTCTTTCAAGTGCATTTCTCCCAATCTGCCACTGCTGAAATAAGTAGATGATATATTTTGTATATGAGTCCCGTTGTAATGTGTGCAGTGTCATGGTGATTGGTATGATTACTAGTGTTACTTGAAATTTGTTGTTTGCACGGGAAAACTATTTTACCAAAGGCGTTTCAATTCTCGTTTTGCAATATTTTATCGAATCTTATTCCTCACTCTAGATGCACTATTTTGCAATGTTTCTCTAATCTTAAAGTTCACTTTAGTGAAATATTTAATTAATAATTAAGTAATATATTGTAAAAAAATAAAAGTTGTTGACTTTTTTCATTGCTGTATTTATTGTATTTATAATTTTTATGCGACCTGTTGCAAGCGTTGTGTTTTTAATTTTAGTTGTTTTGTTGTTGATGAAACTCTATTCAAGAGCCTCTTAGCTCACAGGGGAATTCTAAATAAACTGTTCTGTTCTAAACCAACAGTCTGTTCAGGCTATGCGGGGATGTTTGTTTTGTACACGTGTGCATGTATACGTGTGTGTGCAAATGTAGGATATGCGCTCACTGCAGCTGTTGTTTCCCACGGAGGCGGGCCGGGGCCGGTGTCCTTACCACCCGACGCAGCCCTTCTCATCTCTCATGGACGGTGACTACGGCAACGTGCAACCCACAGCGCTTGCTGCCATCAGCGAGCCTTCCTCGCTTCACGCGATGGCCTCAACGTGCACCTAGCCTGGCACAAGTACCGTGGTGACATCACCACCAAGAGATGATCAGAGGCAGCTGCTGCCGTTATTATTTCCACGTGTGTGTTGTATACACACGTGTTCGTCGAGAGTGCGCAGCGGTGGTGCAGCAGTTAGTGCTGCACCGCGCTACGTACCCGGCGACCCGAGTTCGATTCTTGCCCACAACCAACATCGGTGACGAGTATCTTAACCGGTCCTATGCCTTCTCTAGGTCGACTCAGCCTTAAATTAGTACTTGGTGGAGTGTGTAAACATCACCACTGAAGTCTATTGGGAACACAAAGGCGGATGGGCGCAGAGCTGACCCCACCATAAGTGCTCGTTAACAGCACTTTCCCCGACAGCCTGTGAAGGCTACCCGGGGGACCTCTCTGTGTGTGTGTGTGCCAGACGGAGACCTGTATACAGCGACTGTGAGTAACTTCCTGGGCTCGGAGTCAGTGATCGCTCGCTCTATGGGATCGCGACCCCACCTCAAGACTGAGCCACTTTCCAGCTGGCTCAACGGTTTGCAACTTGCTTACTCACCCGCACACTTACTGACTCACTCAATCACCTGCCCACTCGCCTGCCCACTCGCTCACCCAGTAACCCACTCGCTCACTCATTTTCTCACTCATTCTCCGACTCATTCACTCACTCACTTGCTGACTTACTAGCTCACTCATTTGCCTGCCCACTTGCTCACCTACTCGCTCACTCACCTGCTCACTCATCCACTGACCCACGTGCTCGCTTGCCCACTCACTCACTCGCCTGCCCACTCGCTCACCCACTCGCTCACTCACCCATTCACTCATCTACTCACCCACTCACTTGCTTGCCCACTCGCATATTCACTCTCTCACTCCACCACTCACTCCTTCACATGCTCACACATCCTCTCACTCACTTACTCATCCACTCTATCACTCATCTACTCACTCACCCACCTGCCTGCTCACTCATTTGCCCACTTGCTCCACCACTTGTTCACTCACCCGCCCACTTGCTCGCTCACTCTTGTGAACCATGCATGCTGAAATATATGGTGTGGTGTGGGGGTGTATGTGGTATGAACTCTTGACGATGATGGCAGTGGTGGTGTTGAGTATAGTTTCAGTTTCATTTATTTGGTATAGCCCTGTGAGCCATTCGACTCTTGAATCGGGTGCAACTGCAACAAACAAAAACATGAACAAGAAAACATCTTAAAGTGACTCTGTGACTGTGCAAACATAAAAGCCAGGAAAAAACAGCAAAATATTCCTGAAAAAGCACCATACACCAACGCTGTGTGCAAAAATCCCAGTGGGATGCAAGTCAAACAACAACAACCACAAGTCAACTTATATTAAGGCCATCAGTCTAACTCCTACTACAACAAACAAACATGGCCAAACCAAAAACTTTTCGAAATCACCAAAATAAATCCATAAAAGCAATGTAACAGTGATGATAGGAACTGTGACCGAATTTTCACAATAAACGACATAAACAACATGTAATACCAAACCCTAGAGCCATAGCTGGCTGCATGAGTCACTCCACAACAACAGGAGCATCAGTCGGAGTATCAAATTTTTCAATGCACCTTTAAGATCAGCACACTAAATCAAAATACAGATAATACTTTGCAGCGGTCATCTGGAGCGAAACATTTTATTTAATTTTAGGCCACTGAATAGCAGTGGCAGCTAGTTTTGAGCTAGTTTTGAGTGAAGATCTCATAGGTAGTGATTCAAGTTGCAGTTTATTGGCAATAGCATTCCAGACCCTGGGAGCATCAATAGCAAAGGCCCTTCCTCCAGTTTTGTACGGCAATAGGGAATGTGAAGCTGGTAAATGAGCGAAGACCTGAGATCAAATTTGTTTTTTGAAACAGAGAGGAGATCCAACAGATAGTCTGTGGAATTTTTTGTAAGTACATCGTGAATAAATAAGATCTGGTGCACAAGCCGTCGAACATTGAGAGATGTTAAGTTTGACCCAATGTAGAGATCACAGTGGTGAGTCCTATATGGGCAGTTCAATGCAAATCTTAAGGCCGCGTGATAGATGGAATCAAGCTTCTTCAGTACAGTACTTGGGCTGATTTATACACGATGTCACAGTAATCAAGTAGAGGCAGTATGGTAGCTTTTATCAATTCCAAACGGAACATAGGGGGGAAGCAGTGCTTGTGTCGATACAGAAAACCACAGTGATGGTGGTGGTGATGTCATTCAGTATAAAGTGATGCCAATGACGGTGGTGGTGATGGAGTTGAGTATAAAATGACCACGGTGATGATGAGATGAAGAAGACGCTCACGTTAACGATGGTGGTGAAAGACGATGATGTTTGCTTTCAGAACCCACTTTTGCTGGATCGGCGTTTGTGAGAGAAGACGATGACGGTGGTGCCGATGGCGGAGATGGTGACAATGGCGACGAGGACGACGATGACGACGAGGACGACGATAAGATTTACTTCTTCTTCAGTGAAACGGCCAAGGAGTACGACTTCTACACGCGGCCCAGGGTGGCACGCGTGGCACGCGTGTGCAAGGTGAGAATGAGGTGGAGAACATGCGTGTATGTGCAAGGTGAGCGCTAGTTGGAGAGCGTGCATGTTTGTGCGTATACAAGGTGAGAGTGAGGTGGAGAGCGTGCGTGTGTGCAAGGTGGAGAGTTTGCGTGTGTCTGTGTGCAAGGTGAGAGTCAGGTGGAGAGTTAAACGTCTCAAGTCCATCAAATACATGATCGGGTGTCCGTTTATCATTTCAGTTATTTTTACTCAATATTAAGCAACTGTGATTATTGAAAGCCACCGTGTGTACAATACAAAGCCTATATGTGCGGCACCAATTTATCCACTGAGCAGAGCACCCCATCAACGCCCCAATTGTGAACAAAATTCAGGTACTGTGTTAGTTAAGAGCACAAATTGTAAATCCAGTTTGAGCCTCGCTCGTAGCTCAGCAGGGAACTAAACAGCAGCTCCCAAATGCCCTCGTTGCCAGTAGAGTTGCGGCCCAGGATAAAGAGCTTGGGATAGAATTCCAGCCCTAACTTGAGCAGCAGGTTATTCAGCAGTTGTAACAAGAAGTGTAGGCTCCTGCACTCAAGGAACACGTGGGATAGGCTCTCCTCCTCTCTGCAGTGAGGGCACCTGGAGCCTCTGTCTTCAAACCTCGCCAGATACTGTTGGGTGACCTTCAAGCTTAGATCCCCAAGCTTCTTTGGGCTCACACTAAGCATCTGCCCCCAGGCATATATTTATGGCTGCTGAGTGGCATTTGATGGATGTGATGTACCATCATGAGGTAGAGGTCACGTCTATTACAGGTTCTTAGATCAACTTCTATGGCTGCAACCGCCACCAGACATCTGGCTTCAGCATCTCTAAGCCTGACCAGCAGTATATTCTTGGTTCTTTCGGTAAAGTCACGTAGAAGGGAAACAATAAATAATAAAAATATAAAACAATAAAATTATCACGACGTTTCGACTGCAACACAAGCAATCATCATCAGGTGTGAAAACCACAACAAGAAAATTTGAAAAAAAGTGGCGTTTTTTTAATGTTAGCACCACGGATGTCCTTGCACTATTTGGTGTGGACCAATCAGTTTCAATGCATATATTATCATAGTGTGTTTTTTGTTTGCATTTTGACTGCAGGTATTGTGGTTAATGCAGACATGAATCCTTGTAAAAAGGTTTCAGTTTTGTTGCCAGAAAAAAGGGGGAAAAACCCTATTATTATTTGCTGCAAAGCAGTTGGCAGAAACTAAATCCGGGTTCACGTCCCCATGACTTTCTGGGCACTCTTGCATATCGCCCACGTTCTGCTGCTCCTTTGGGTTTACTTCCCCATGATTCTCAGGGCGCTTTTGAGGCTCGCCCACATCGTGCTGCTCCTCTGGGTTCATGTCCCCATTATCTTCCTGGCGCTCTTGGGTGTCATCATTCACATCGTGCCGCTCCTCAGGAGTTGCTACTGCTGCTTCTCCTTCCCAGGCATCAGATTCACCCCCATCCTCGGCATCATTTAGCTGGGTGCTGTCTGAGCATGTATCCCCTGGAGAGATCAAAAGCTTTGTTTAAGCATTCATTGAGGCTTCGAATGTCACCTAATTTTCATCATTCCCTCATGTTGATGTGGCCTTGTCATCTTGCACATCTGGCATCGGTTCCTTCACACATGTTAGCTGTTCAACTTGAGTATTTGAGAACTCAATTTCAACCAGAATCATGCACTTATTTGGCAGGGGTGGCTGCTGTTTGACGGTTCTTCTTGTGTCCCCCTTTTTCCACTGAGGCATGTGCATTACTGTTGTCTTCTGAGCAATGACCCCATCACTCTCCTTATTGCTATGAGGTTCTTCCTCTTGACTCCAGTGGAGGGATGTCGCTGTCTGCGTCCACCACCTCCGTCTCTGTTTCTTGTGAACTGGAACCAGATCTGTTGAGCTTCCTCTTGTAAGACAGCGCAGGGCAAGTGATACTTCATTTTCTATCAATATACTCAATTCGGGAGTGGGAGCCGACGTTTGGCAAAGGGAGTCGCAGCCTGAGGATGCAGCACTGCTTCCACCGGTTCTTGCTGCACCTCTGTGCTTTTGTTTGCAGGCTCCACCACAATTTCACCACTCTCAAATTTGTTTTATCTTATAGTTTCCCCCATATTATTGATGGCCCTGGGAGTGGGACAGTTCTTGCGGATATGCCCATGCCTTCCACAACCGTTGCACTTAAGCATGTTGGCAGCATAGTAAATTATGTGAGCAATATCCTAAAAATTCACAATGAAGCTTGCTTCGAACCGATTTTTGAGAAATGGGCAGCATTTGTATGTGGCATCGAGAGGAAAGCACATGTTTTAGCCTTGGAATCTTGGTCCTGATAGGGACCGGGAAGAAAGGTGACGTGATCTTGCCAAGCTTGACGATGTGCTCTCTCAGCATTTCATCAGGGATGTACATGGAAACATTGTAGAGAACAATCCTTGTGGTTGGAGATGTCGGTGGCTCAAGCTGCACGAACAGTCCGCCGACACAAGAGTCCAGTCTCCACAGCACGGTTCACTGCAGACTCGGTCGAGATGTAGAACACCGCCTTGCCGCTAACCTTGGCAGCACATGTGATTTCACGAGCTGGGATGACGTCTGCACAAGTGCATCCGCATATTCCTCGATGGTTATATTCGACGAGGCAAGCTCCGGACACCGCTGCGTTGCAAAGCCGGCGTTGAGTTGCACACGGCAGCTGCAGCAGTTGACTTTCCAGCAGCTGTTACGCTCATGTAAGTGGCCAATACAAGTTTTAATTATAACAAAACTATAACACAGTGTTATACTAACAATCCTGTACCCTAACACCACTGCATCAACAGCCTAACAGCACCATAACAATACCTAACACTAGATGTATTAATAAAGTATTAAAGCTTTCGTGACTGCATAAAATTACTCATTGGTTTTTTCGGTAAAGTCACGTATGTAGAAATACAATAAAATTATATTAAAACAAAAAATACAAAACGGCAGCTCAAAAAAGGGCACATCTTACACATAATTACAAGAGGTGGTCATTTTTTGAGCTGCCGTTTTGTATTTACAAGAGGTGGTCCTTTTTTGAGCTGCCCCCTCTCTTTCTCTCTCTCTGCCTCCTTGTCCGTCTTTCCTCCCTCCTTACCTCTTGGTGGACTTGTATATGTATTTCTACTGACCGTGTACCTCGTATTTTTCATTCTATCTATGCTGGTATGTGCAATCCAAAGGTTGAACACGAAATTTAACACTCTTCTGAAATTCGTGGTCCGCCAGGAAGTGTCTAACTGTGTTGTTGGCCTGACTGGATGTGCTTCACATGTTTTTTCAGGTTTGTTGAATTCTCGTCTCTCATCTTTTTGTTGTATTTACCTCCGGGATTTGTTCTTGACACCTGATGAAGATCGCTTGCGTTGTGATCGAAACGTCGTGATTGTTTTTGTTTTAATATAATTTTATTGTATTTCTACATACGTGCCTTTACCGAAAAAAACAATGAGTACTAGATGTATTAATCACTACTGCAGTTATTATTTTGTGTATATGGGTCGGGACACACTACAGTCAAGCACCAATGGGGTGTGGAGAGGAGAGCACACACAACCCACTATGGTCAGAGGGCAACAAACACAACAGTATAAATGGAAGTGAAAAGTGATAGAAAGCAACTCAGAAGGAGCAAGGCTTACAACGGCAGGCTTGCCTAGATGCTAGGCCTTCGAGGCCTAATGCAGTATTACAAGACAAAATGACATCAACTAAATATTGACAAATAACACGGAAAATAAACACAGAGAAAGCAACAGAGACATGAGATAAAAGAGCGAATTGGGGGGGGGGGGGGGGTTTAATCTCAGGCCTAGGCTAGGCCGATCTAGGATAGTCAGGACTTGCCTACACACAAGGATGACAAGGCCTCACTACCATCAAAATCATACTGTAATGAGTGACTTCCACGACACGTCGTATAGAGGGTACTTCTATATTACTCACACTGGGCACAACACAGGCCAACACTGGTTCTTCCTCCACTGAATATACTCTAGGCAATAACACCCTTACTGGCTACATGCACAGCCGATCACTCGGCGTGGTTCCTTCACCCTCACTCGTCTTTGCCGCTGGCTGGCGGCGTGACGATGACGGCGATGGAACCCATGCAGGAGATCTTCCACTTGGCCGGACGACGGAAAAAGATGTCGGTGAACAGCGACACGCAGGACCCAGGATCCCCACACACGAGCCCCGAGCTCCGGGTCCGCTCCCCCTTATATATCCCCCCAGGCGTGGTTAGGCCCCGCCTCCCTTCACGCCCTCTCGTGGAACCTTCGATAGGTTCCCGGAGTGTCTCGGCTAGCCCCACCTGTTACTTTTGTCCCAGATACACCTTCCCTGATTGGTTGTTACCTCTGTGGCCGTACCCGTGAATCCCTTCCCAGGCCAGCAGGTGTCACCCTGTCATTACAATACCATAACTACAAATATAACATTCAAGAAGAAGACACGTAAGTACTCACAAGACATCCACCAAGAGAAAGGTAACAGATATGACCCCAGAAGTTGTCCAAATTGTAAGAAAATAAAGTTCAGGAGCTCATTGCAGCATTACCTCTCTCCAGGTAGAGAGAATGTGTGTGTGTGCAAGGTAAGAGCCAGGTGGAGAGAATGTGTGTATGTGCAAGATTAAGAGTGTGCGTGTGTAGAGGTTAGCGAGAGCGGTGGTGCAGTGGTTAGCGCGCTACACTACGAACCTGGCGACCTGAGTTCGATTCCCACTCATGGCCAACACCAGTGACGATTATCTGGACTGGTCCTGGGCCTCCCCTAGGTTTACTCAGCTTCAAATTAATACCCAATGCGGTGTATAAGCATTGCCACTGGGGAACCAAAGGTGGTTGGGCGTGGTGTGCGTGCCGATTTTCATAGGTGCTCGCTAACAGCACTTGCCCCAACAGCCTGTTAAGGCTACACGGGGGATATTTGTCTGATGTACGGGCTGTACGTTCGTTGTGGTGGTTGCTGTGCCGCTGCACGTGGCTGCTTGTAGTGATCCAGCATTGTGGAGGCAGCAGCAGCAGCAGCGAGAGTTGTTGGATCACCACACAGACGTTGTGAAACTCCCTTCCCGTGGGTAGGCAGCGAGGAGGAGCCCGTAGCCTGTCTCGCCAGGAGAAGGCGCTACGGCAAAGTGTGGACTAATCTCCACCTGGCCCATCTGTATGGGGTGTTGGCCTCTCGCATGCATGTGGTGCTCCAGTTTCCTCTCTGGAGGAATGGAGTTGGCCAAAAAACATTACAATATTAAAACTATTTAACTATACTAAACTATGAAACGTTTTTTTTTTTATTTTACCAGGTAAGACCCACTGAGCTATATAGCTCTTTTTCAGAACGACCTGGCCACAAATGATAGTTCAACGGAGTGGCTCATCACGTGGAAATTTATAGCAGCAGCCAAATACTCTGAACACGGGTTGTTGATTCTAACTGTGGAGGGAAAAACAGGAGGACCTGGAGAAATATCCACACAACCACAGGGAGATAGACATGCAAACTTGAAATATACAGGCGTCAGGGTCAGGATGGAACCCACGACCTATATACCAGGTGAGGGAGTTAACATCTCGCCACCGCAGCGCCCTTATATATAGGGGCACAAAGCTTGGAGAATTGTTGGTAACGCCAGTTCTGGCTGCCTTTCCACTTGTCTGTGCCACTCCCACACCTCTGAATCACACAAACTGTGCAGCGCATTATAACTGTGTAACTTTCGCTGTAACTTGTGCATGTGTGTACGGACGGAGTGTGTGCTAGGCGTGTGTGTTTGTTCCTGACCCTCTGCTCACAATAGTTATGGTCCTTCGTGACAGGCCCGGTGAACAGGCCCGGCTAATGATGCCTTGCCAGGAGTCAAAGTCATTGTGCGGAGTGACAGAGAAGCTTTCCATGACTCTACCAGAGGGATTTCAATCTAATACAGATACAATGGGAGGCTAATTGATGCCTGGGTGCGGTCAAGGGATGGCTCCCTATATTGGTCAACCACGTTATATATGCCGATGATTTGGTAATTGGTACTCACGTTTGAGCAGGAGTTGGAGAATAAGAGATATGGCATTACCATCAGCCCTACATAAACAAAGCACCTGCCTGAGTATTTTATGTCATCAAATACTCCACCCCTTCAATTCCTCATTGGCGGGACAGTTGTGGAGAGAGTGGAGAGGTTTCCGTACGTGAGCAGCTTGTTTATGAACAGCTCTGGTTTGGCAGCGGAGATCTCACTCCAAATTGGTCGAGTGGCATTTTATATTCATCGGCTGCATAAGGCTGTGTGGAAGCAACCTGATCTGCCGCTCCCTGTGACGTTCCGGGTTTTCTCGGCCAGAGTTATGGCCACTCTTCTGTATGTTTACAAAACTTGAACCCCTTTAAAAACACATTTGCGTCGGTTTGAAAAATTCAGGCTGGCCTGCTTACGATCCATCCTGGGTTTAACCAGGCTGGATTCTGAGGAGCTCACAGATCCTTCATCTGGACAAAGTCCTATCAATGAACTCCGGCAGGCAAGGCTGCATTGGCTGGGTTTATGTAGCCTGCATGACCAGCCACCGCATGCCCAAGCAGGTTCTGTTTGGCTGGATAGAGGTGGCTAAATGGGCATGCCATGGGCTAGAGAAGAGTTGGACTGATGTCGTATGGGAGGATGTGCAGTTTAGTGGATTTGCTGATCACTTTTACCAGCGGTGTTAAGATCGGCCTATGTAGAGGAGGAGGCTCGTGAAGGACGCTACATGTGCAGTTGGAGGCAGTCGCCCTCCAGCAACAACGGAGGGCAGAGTAGCGATGCTCACAACAATGAGGAGAGCGCCAGGCGTCCAAAATACAGGGGGCACAGGTGGTACATCTGCCATTCATCTCTGTCAGTCAACCCATGGCACCTGTTGGGTCTGTCCCGTGAAACTTCTGCCAGCGAGTCTTCGACACTTCATATAGCCTCAAAGCTGAAAGTGCACAGCCTGGCACAAGCGATGTGGTGGCATCATAACCACTTAGTGGTGAATGGGAGGTGTTTTTGTGTGCATGGTGTGTGGTTTGGTGGTGTGTGCGTGCACAGTGTATTTGTGAATTAGGCATGTGTGAATTGTGTGTGTGCGCGGGTTGAATTGTCTTTGTGTGTTTGGGTTGTGGCTCCCACTTCTTGTGTCTGTCTCCTGTGTCTCATGTCCACATGTGTGTCTCTGTCTCCTCGTGTTTGTGCTCTCGTGTCTCTGTGTCTTCCTATCTGTATATCCAAAAGTCTCCATATCCACCTGCCTCGTGTCTTTCCGTGTCCCTATGTCTTCCTTTGTCTCCTCGTGTATCCCCGTGTTTCCCTGTGTCTCAGGGAGACGTGGGTGGACTCCGCACGCTACAGCGCCGCTGGACTAGTTTCCTGAAATCGCACTTGGAGTGCGGCGCCACCCCGCACACCCCACCCCACCTCCTCTCCCAAGTGCGGGGGGCCCAGCTGTCCCGGGGGGCCCTCTACCTGCTTCTCACTGGGGGGCCCACGTGAGTCTCATGTGGGGTAGGGGAGGGAACGCATTGCGTGCGTGTGTGCATGCGTGTGAGTCCACTGTGCTCATTGGGAGTGGTAGTGTACTAACGGTTAGCGCTCTGCGCTACAAACTCGGCAGGGACCCCGAGTTCGATTCCTGCTCATTGCCACCAATACCAGTGACGATGATCTGAAACGGTGCTGGACATCTCCTAGGTTGACTCGGCCTTAAATTAGCATCTGTTGCGGTGTGTAAAATATTTCCACTGGGGAGATAAAGGCAGGCAGACATGGTGCTGACCACCCACCCCCTCGTGTGCTGTGCCGACCATCTTAAGTGCTCGTGGGGGATCTTTGTCAGCTGCGCTTATCTGTGTGTGGGTAGCGGTTGTGTAGTGCTTAGCGTACTGCGCCGATAATCCAGCGACTTGAGTTTGAATCCTGCTCACAGCCAACATCAGTTATGAATATGTGAACCAGTCTGAATTATTACCTGGTTAAACAAGATCAACTTGAACGTTGAACTTGGTCCTGGGCCTCCCCTAGGTCGATTGAGTATGAAATGAGTACCTCGTGTGGTGTGTGAATATCACCACTGGGGATACAAAGGCGGCCGGATGTGGTATTGGCCACACCACCCACTTGTGCAGCATGCCGGCCTCAATAGGTGAGCACTAAGAGCACTTGTCTCAACAGCCTATTAAGGCTACACGGGGGATCTTTGTATTTGTTCTTGATTGTGTGACTGTGTGAGTGATTGTGTGTATCTGCATGTGAGTGAGTGAATGTATGAATGTGAGTGTCTGGCATGTGGTGTAAGTGTGGTGTGTGTGTGGGATTCATGTGGTGTACATGACATAAAAGGTGTTCTTATGGCTCGGCATGGTGTGGCTTGGCCTGGTGTGACGTGGTTGTGGTGTGATGTTGTGTGACTCGGTGTGGCTTGGCGTGGTGTTGTGTGGCTCGGTGTGGCGTTGCGTGCTGGGCGTGCAGCTCCCGGCTCTCGGCCGTGTGTGTTTACCGCATGGCGGATGTGAGAGCCGCATTCCGCGGCTCCTACCGTCACCACGACGACGCCACGCGCAAGTGGATCACCTACCCTCGTAGCGTGCCAGACCCCCGACCTGGAGCGGTAACGGCCACCCCAATCTCATTACACTAGCCTCACAGCACCACTATCAACACCCCATCCTCACCGCACCGCAGCACATACTCGGGTATCCGACGTACCCACACAGCCTGCAGGTCCCCCGGCCCAGAGCAGGACCTGGCCACACCACCAGTCTCACCACACCACAAATTACAGATGAGTGCAGAGTTCATGGCCCTCTCTCCATACGACACCGTCTGCTGGAAGGGTCTCCGGCTGGTGAAGGTCATCGACTACCGGCCGAACAACCGATCGCTGCCCTAGCGACCTCAGTTCCCGTGTGAACATCAGCAAAAGATTGTTGCGAGGAGCGAGAGACAGAGTGGTGGAAGGGGGCGTGCAAGAGTCAGAGTGGAGAGCGTGAGATAGAGTGGTGGGCAAGAGACAGAGTGGGGGGCGAGAGACGGAGTTGGAGGGCGGCGAGAGACAGTGGGGGGGGGGGGGGGGGGGCGAGAGACAGAACGGGGGGCGAGAGTCAGAGCGGGAGGCAAGAGATAGAGTGGTGGGCGAGAGGCCAGCGAGGAGGGGCAAGACAGCGGGGGGGGGGGGGCACAAGAGACAGAGCGGGGGAGATGCTTGATGAGGCGACACTGGCGACCCTGCAAAGAGACCGATAAACTGAACTATCTTGATTTGAAGCTTTCGTGACTGCAGGAAACCATACTCTTTGGTTCTTTAGGTAAATTCACGTAGGTAGAAAAATAATAGATCACGACGTTTCGATCGCAACACGAGCAATCGTCATCAGGTGGGACAACCACAGCAAGAAAAAACTTGTGAAGTAGGCGAGAGATCTGCCATGGCATGAGGTTATATAGGACTCGGCAGATATATAAACACAGACACAACTTCAACTGAGAAGATGGGTGCAAACTGAGCAATCATTGTAAGGACGTTATTAACCAGGTAAAGTCTTAACTGACTGATGTTTCCATCCTACCTGCCTATGTCAGCTGTTATTTCCAACTCTCTGTGTGTATTTCTCTCTCTCTCTGTGCATCTCTCTCCGATCTCTACTCCAGTGACCCGGGTACTGCTGCGGGGTCCACTTTCTGCCCCGCCACCTCCCCCCCCCCCACTTCTCTCCCCCCCCCCTACTGCTGAGGCCTACTATATAACCTCGTGCCACGGCAGATCTCTCGCCTACTTCAGCAGTTGTTTCTTGCTGTGGTTGTCCCACCTGATGACGATTGCTTGTGTTGCGATATACCTACGTGACTTCACCGAAAGAACCAAAGGGTATAAACTGAACTATTTTTTATTTTACCAGGTAAGATCCACTATATAGCTATATTGTTATTTTTCAGAGAGGCCACAAATGATAGCACGATGAAGTGGCGTATTGTGTGGAAATGTATCACAGCCAGATACTCGAAAAGCATGTTCATAAATGTGTAGAGAAAAACCGGAGGATCCGGAGAAAAATCCACACAACCACAGGGAGAACATGCAAAACACCAAATATACAGTACAGGCATCAGGGTTGGGATGGAAACCACTACCTCCTGCATACCAGGCAAGGTAGTTAACACCTCGCCACCTCGTCACCCTGCAAGCCATGGAGGGATAGCTCCGCACCCAGCGCTTAGATCCAAACGCAGCGGCAACGAGAAGACGACCACAAGGCACCGATCTGACCACACTGAACTCACCGCACCACCCTCACCGCACCGCCCTTTCCGCACCTATTTCACCACACTGCCCTCACCCAACCACCCTCACCACACCGTTCTCCCCTCAGCACATTTGCCATGTGCACATTGAGTGGTTCGATGCTTGTGTTGTTATTGTGGTGAGTTTTGGACCTGGTGTTGAGTAGTGGGCTTGTTGTCGTTGGCAACGCAGTGTGTGAGCGCAGGTGTGCGAGCCCGTGGCTTCCCGCGTTCCTCCTCTCTCCCTGACCGCACGCTCTCCTTTGCGCTGGAGCACCCTCTCATGTTCAGCTCAGTTCGGCCCTCCAACCCCGCCAGCCCTACCAACACCACCACCGACTCCACCGCCGACTCTACCACTACCGCTGCGGCCATCTTGGCTGTGCGTGGAGACTCGCTGGCGGCCATAGCGGTGACGCATGTGGAGGTCGCCACAGCAACAACGAAGGCGACAGCCTACCCTGTGCTTTACCTTGCCGGCGGTATTAACACGTTCGCTTGCACATACCACTTAACTCGCACGTACTAACTGGCATATACTAACGCACTAACGATAGCTTAGGTTTGCGGTTTCTGCAGCCTTGATCGCAATTCCTATTTACCTCCATTCGGGAGCGACTTCATGCACGACCCCGTCGATGATTGTTGCTCAAGTCACCCTCCTTCCACGTGGTCTCCGTGGACCACACCATCTAGCGGTGAACTAGGAGTGGGAATGTAACGCCATGATGAATGTCGCACCGTGAGTGCCACCGTATCGCTCACAAATTGCGACCACGTGCCATAGCCAGGGGTGGAGCCAGGATTTCAGGCCGGGGTGACATTCAACAAATTTTAATTTCAAGAATGATTAGAGAGTCAAGCTGTTGAACTAGACGCCATCGGTTGGCGACACGCTCTGACAATGCAGTTGCACGGAGTCCGCCAGACCGAGTGTCGTACACTTATACGCAGAATGTCACCCCTGTCACCCCCCCTGGCTCCGCCCCTGGCCGTAGCACAGGCAGCCCACACAGCAGCAAACAACAACGTGTAGCAACGGCATGCACTCTACCGGTGCCACCAAAGACAGAGATCCCCTGTATAGCCTTCACAGACTGTTGGCGCAATTGCTGTTAGCGAGTAGCACCTATGGTGGCAGGAACGGCACACGAGTGGGTGGATGGCCAGCACCACGCCTGGCCCAGTGGCGATGGTAACACATCGCACCAGATACTCATATGAGGCTGAGTCGACCTAGGGGAGACCCAGGACCGGTTCAGATAGTAACTAGTATTGGCCTTGAGCGGGAATCGAACTCAGGTCACCGGATTCGGAGTGCAGCATGCTATCCGTTGCATTCCCACTCCCTACACCAGCACAACCAGCATCTGTCTGGTTTCTGAAGCCTTGTCTGGAATCAGATTCGCCTCATATACTACTCCAGACCTTCCCTTGGGCTTTGTGCGACTAACGCAAAAAATACACAGCAGTATGCACCCACTCAGAAATAATAACTAACAGATATACTAACTTGGAGAGATACTAATACAGAAATACTAGCTCAGTCAGAGATACTCACTCAGATACTAACACAGAGGTTCTAACTCAGATAAATACTGACACTAAAAAACTGACCAGGAATAGCTCCCTTATGCGGTGTGTATGGCGTGATGGTGTACACAGTATGATGTGGTGTATGATGTGTATGACGAGGTGTGTATGATGACATGCGTGTTCAAAGCAAGATGTATATGGTATTATAACACGGCGTGTGTATGGTATGACGACACGGTGTGTGTGTGTGCTGTAGAACGAGGTGTGCTGTACAAGGCCGTCCTAATTGGCTCGTTGTCACACATCATCGAGGAAACCCGCCTATTCCCCGAGCCGCAGCCAATCAGCCGTCTGCTTCTCTCAGCCAATCAGGTGACAGCATGCACACGTTGTAACACTCACAGGTGGCGGCTCCCTGGCTTGGCCTTTCGCTCCATAAAAGCAGCATGTACGTGCGTGCATGTACATGTGTTTTGCGCATAATGAGCAGTAGTGCCGTGGTTAGTGCACTGCAATACGAACCCAGCCACCAGCATCAATTCCTGCTCACAGCCGAAGATTTGGTCGACTGTTCAACAGTGGTGAAGACGAGGCTCAAAAGAAAGCTGTCTCTGGTGTGGACCAATCAGTTTCAAGGACAATGCATCTTTCGGTAAAGTCACGTAGGTATAAAAATAAAATAAATTAAATCACGACGTTTCGGGCGCAACACAAGGGTCCGTCATCAGGTGTGACAACCACAGCAATAAACAGTTGCTGAAGTGGGCAAACGGGATGCTTGTATCAAGAGGCTATATAGGTAAGAGAGGCGGGGGCAGAGCCAGGGAGGAGAGATAGAGAGGGTGGGGGTGTGGGGTAGGGGGAATATGGTGCTGCACGACGACAATGCCGGGGCTGAGAAGTGAGCGGGGCTAGGAGTAGGAGCCTGAAGAAAATTGGAGATGCGGATATGAAGGCAAACTATAAAGCAGTTAAGGTTTTACCTGGTTAATACAGTAATATCCTTCCAATTTGTATCCATCTTCTGGGTTGAAGTTATGTCTGTGTTTATATATCTGGATGGCTTCATGAACAAACCTTTGATCGTAGCCGGAAGGTTTGCAGAGCACCTTGGTCTCGGAAAAAACAATATCATGAGAGCCCACAGCGTTATAGCTGCATATATTATCAGAGTATGCTTTTTGCTTGCATTCTGACCACAAGTATTGTGGTTAATGCAGACATGAGTCCTTGTAAGAAGGTTTCAGTTTTGTTGCCAAAAAAAAGGGGGAAAAACCTATTGTTATCGTGGTGAAGATTTGAACCAGTCCAGGGCCTCCCTTAAGTCGAATCGGCCTTAAGTGAGTACCTGGTGCGGTGTGTAAACGCATCAGCACCAGGGAAACGAAGGCGGCCAGAAGTGATGCTGGCTACCCGCTCCCTCGTGTGCCATGGCGCCCTTCGTACTTGCTCCTCACTAAGAGCACAATACCTTGCTGATCTCATCAAGGAGCATAAGCCATCATGCGAGCTCTGGTCATCCTCGCAGCGCCTTTTGGCGAACCATCGAACAAAGACGGTCACTTCATCACCTATTTGTACAGGCTTTCCCTGTAACTTAAGATTTTAAATACTATTCTATTGTCTGATTGGATTACTATGCAATTATTAATCATAATTCTTCATTGTATTGAAATTTCGAGAATCATTGATATTGTTATTATCAGCTTCCTATTTCGCTTAGATTTTATTTGAATTTGTGAGTGTCGCTTTATTTTTATGTCCAGTGCTTTGAGATATTTCAAAATGAAAGGCACTGGAAAATAGAGGTTATTATTCTATTATTATTGCGTGCTTTCAGACACACTTCTGCGGCCGTCTGGAACGCTAATCCGATACTAGGAAGCTACAGAAGCTATGCACTTTTAAATAATCTAGACTGAAAACTAATTTCTTGAGAACTGATTTTTTGTGTGTTTAGTTTGTTGTCCTTCCCCACACCTCCAATTAGCACGGTTGGCTACGTACGGTGCGAAATAACGTTAACGTACACACGTACATACTTGTCCCAACATGCTGCCTGAGGCTACACGGGAGACCTGTGTGTGTGCAGCGCGCAGTGTTTGTGTTGGCCGAGGCCTCGTGCCTGCAGCTCCCCGCCGCCTCGTGCTCGCGCCTCACCTCCTGCGCCGACTGCATCCTCGCTCGTGACCCGCACTGCGGCTGGGACGCGCGCACACGCACGTGCAGACACATTCACAGGTACACGCACAGGTACATGCACAGGTACAAAGACAAAGATCCCCCGTGTAGCCTTAACCGACTGTTGGGGAAAGTGCTGTTAGCGAGCACCTATGAAGGCCGGTACGGCTCACGAAGGGGTGGGTGGCCAGCACAACATCCGGCCGCCTTTGTGATGTTTACATATCGCACCAGGTACTCATTTGAGGCTTAGTCGATCTAGGGGAGGCCGAAGACCGGTTCAGATAATCATAACTGGTATTGGTGTCTGTGAGTGGGAATCGAACACGAGCCGCCCAGTTCATAGCGCAGTGCAGCGATAACCGCTACACTACCGATCCCCAGAACACGGCTACACACACATGCGCATGTACTGACACACACAGGCAAATGTACACACACCTCCGTGTTGATGATGTATGTGGATGGGCAGTGTTGGTTTGTGAGTGTGTGTGTACGTGCAATGACGGCCACTGCGACGATCGGGGCGAATCGCAGGCTTCTCTCTCAATGTAGCCCGGGTCTATTGTAACTTCACAAACATTGTCAGCAAAGGAATAACGTGTATCATCGACGGGGTCGTGCATGTACGTATGTTCAACCTCTTTCACACAGTACGTAGACAATCGTGCTCATCAGAGGTGCAGGGGAAGGACAAAAAAACTAAACACTACAATAATTTCTAAAGACATTAGTTTTCAATCCAGATTTTAAAGTGCATTGTTCCAGTGGCTTCCGAATAATCATGATGGCTATTGCTGTGATGCCTCATGCTCAACAAGTAACTCCATGTACAACACCACTCGACCTGAACTCTCCACTCCGTCCACTTGGCCCGTAGACTTTTTATTAACTACACTAAAACTAAACTTTTACTTACCAGGTAAAGCCCACTGAGCTATAAGCTCTTTTCGGTGGGTATCTGGCCACAAATGGTAGCGCACCATCGCAGTGGCTGATATGAATTAATAGCAGCAGCCATATAATAATCTAAACGCATGTTTGTAAATTTGGAGGAGGGAAAAACCGGAAGGACCGGAGAAAAATCCATGTCACCACCATGGGGAGAGAGAGAGAGATCATGCAAACTCCAAATATACAACAGGCATCGTCAAAGTCCGGGACTGAACCCATGCACTTCTGTGTACATGGCGAGGGAGATAACATCACCTCCCTACCGCAGGGCCCTGTCTATACTCCACTCCGCCACTCGTCCTCTTCACTCTTCACTGGACATCTGTAAAAAAAGAGCTTCATAGCTCATCGGATTCCTCCAGTATAAATAAATATTCTGATTCTGTCCATATCCACCCGCCATTCGGCGGCTCAAACCTCTCGCACCGTCCTGTCACCCCCCACCCCTTTCTCCCCTCCTCTCTCTCCCCCCCTCTCTCTCTCCCCCTCTCTCTCTCCCGCTCTCTCCGCCCCCTCTACTCCCCTCTCTCTCTCGGTGGTCTTAGTGATGCCCTCAGTCTAAATTTCTGTGCTGGGATCATGACCAAGAATTGTGATAATCGAATCGCGGGGTGGTGGAATCTGCTATCAGAGCATTTGTCATTCTTATTGGCTGAGTGAATGATGGGGTTGGGGACATTTCCTTGGCCGGAGCTGCTGCCGCTGCTGCATATTCTCACCCGTAAGCACTTTGTAGATTTTTTTGTATCACTTTTTGGGATCCAATAAGGAATCGTCGCTCCGTGGGGTCACGCTAAGCAAGTTCTGCTCTGTATTGCAGTCACAGGGGAGGGCGGCTGCTGCAGAATGTGGAGACGGGCATCACGGCCGGGCTGTGCGATGTCACTCGCACCGACACCACGGGTGAGCAGGAGGAAGAAGGGGAGGAGGCGTGGGGACTCCATCATTCTCACGTCATCATCATAAATACCTTGCCGTCATCGCAATCTCCATTTCATCATCGCCATCTCCCATCGTGCCACCTGTGTTTCCACGTCTCTCGTGGTGGCTGTCTCAATCCTCGTGGACCCGCCCTCCTACCCCAAGTGCCCTCACGTGACCCTGTGTCTCCACGTTCCACCATGACTCCGTGTATCCCCCTGTGCCTCCATGTCCCCCACGTGTCTCCGTGTACCCATTTCTCTCTGCGTCTCCATGTCTCAGTTGAGATAGTGTCCGCACATGTGTCCGCATGTCTCCATGTCTTAATTCCGGTCGTGTTTATTGCTGTGTCTCTTGCATGTCTCCGCATGTCTCCGCATCTCAGTTCTGCTGCTCGACGTCCCCGTGTCCCCGTGGCTCCCGGCCATCTTCCTCCCGTGCCCTCTGACCTCGAACCTGGCGCGCGCCACCTGGATGCACAACCTCCGACCTTTGACGCCAGTGCAGGGCCCGCTCGGGGTCCCCATGGGGCAGGGCCCCAGCCAGGAGCCCCCCGGCCCACCCCCCACGCCATCCCCGCGCCGCCTGGTGGTGGCGTCGGACCTGGACCCCCATCCAGGGGTACGCGCGGTGGGGGGGTCGCCCCTCGACCGGGGCGCCTTGCCCGAAGCTCCCCTCCCCGCGGGTCCCCTGGCGGCGACCTCGGCCCAAGCGACCCCCCGCTGGGTCCCTGTGGCCCCCCGGGAGGGTCCTCCGGGGCTGCTGGTGTTCACGGACGGAGGGGGGGCGGAGCTGTCGTACGTGGCCGGCGAGTACCGCTGCTGGGAGGAGGAGGGGGATGCGCGGCGTGCCGTCGCGGCATTCCGCCTCGTGGTGGGGGGCGCTGGAGGCCCCGCCGGATCCCCCGCCGCATCCTGCAGGGTCCAGGTGTGTGCGGGGGGTCAAGGCGTCGGGGGTCAGGGTTCGGTTAGTCCGTGGGTCACAACAACAACAACCGGCATTCGCCACTAAGTGGCGGTGATGTCACCACATCGCTTGTGCCAGGCTATGTGCACATTAAGGCCACATGAAGTGTCGGACACCCGCTGGCAGGAGGTCATGGGACAGACCCAGGTGCTATAGGTTGACTGACTGAGATGACTGGCCGATGCACCACCTGTGCCCCCTACTGTTCCAATTTGCTGTGCTTTAGCCATCCAGCGCTCCGCTTGTTGTTGTGAGTGTCGCTCCTCTGGCATCCATTGTTGCTGGAGGGCGACTGCCTCCAACTGCCCAGTAGCGTCCTTCACAAGCCTCCTCCACAGAGGCCGATCTTGACACCGCTGGTACCAGTCATCTGCAAGTCCATTCAGCTCCACATCCTCTTGCATCATCTCTTTTCTAGTTGGTGCCGTGCCCTTTTCGCCCCTCTAATTGGCCGAAAAAAAGCTGTTTAGGCATGTGTTGACTAGGCATGCAGGCTGTATGATCCAGCCAATGCAGTCTTACCTGCCAGAGGAGCTCACCGATGGGACTTTGTCCAGATCTTTCACGGATTTGTTAGCTCGTCTCACAATCCAGCCTGGTTAAACCCAGGATGGATCGTAGGCAGGCCAGCCTAAATGTTTCTAACTGGCGAAGATGTTCCATTAGGGGGTCCATGTTTCGCAAGCATAGGGAATGGAAGGCATTACTGTGGCCAAGAAGACCCGAAGGTTTGTGTGGAGCGACAGACCAGGTAGCTTCCACACAGCATTACGCAGTTGATGAAAAGATAATGCCGCTCGACTCATTCGGAGTAAGACCTCTGCTGTCAAACCGGAGCTGGTCATGAGCACACTGCCCAGGTATGGAAAACCTTCCACTTTCTCCACAACTGCCCCATCACCAATGGGGAGTTGAGGGGGTGGAGTTTTTGCTGGCAAAAAATACCCAGGCAGGTGCTTAGTTTTGGTGGGGCTGACGATAAGGGCCCACCTTTTAGGGGCATGCTCCAGGTTCAGCAGCAGCACCTCCAACTCCTCCTCTGAGTGAGCAGAAATCACCAGATCATCAGCATACATACGATGGTTGACCAATATAGGGAACCATCCCTTGACCGCACCCGGGCAGCGATCAGCTTTCCATTGTATCTGTACCAGATGGAAATTTCTCTGGTACAGCCATTGAAGGCTTCACGAACTATGTGGTCGAAATAGATGTGTAATAAGGGAGCCTGAGGACATCCCTCTCACATGCCAAGGTGAATAGGGAATGGCACCAACTCCCAGCCACATAGTTTTGCCCGGGCCTGTCCACCATCATGAAGGTCCTTAATGATTGCGAGCAGAGAGTCAGGGACTCTGAAAGCACGAAGAACAGCCCAGAGCCCAGGCCTAATGATGGTATCGTAGGCCTTGACCAGGTCAATAGAGCAGAGATGTAGGTCCTGCGGGAATTCCCTACATCTCTGCTGTTGCAGACGGACAAAAAATATGGCATCTGTGCAGGATGGCCCTGGCCTGAAACCACATTGGGGCTCCGCAAGCCTCTCAGCGTAACTGGCAAGGCGATGTTGAATAATCCTTGCCAGGACCTTTCTGGGCACACAGAGGAGGGTGATGCCTGTAGTTGTTAGAGTCTGCGGTCCCCCTTCTTAAATCCTGCGAAACCCGTCGAGTGGTCCAGAATGTTATTATGATTTCATAAAGGGCAGTCTGCACACAAACGCCACCCTCCCCCAGCATTTCGCTTGGGAGATAATTTCTGCCCAGCACTTTTCCTGGTCTCAGACTCTGGATCACCTTCCGCACTTCCTCAACAGATGGCACTTGAGCCAGCCACTCACAGGGGGTGACTACTTCTAATATTTGAGGCATGGCAGCTTCAGGAGGGTCAACTCCACTTTGCCCCATGATGTTTTCTGTGCATCCATGATGTCGTGTGGATGTGCCAATGCCGAAACAGCGTGTTGGTAATTACAAGCCCATGGGCTACACAACAGTCTAGCAGCCTCCTACCATTGTTATTGAGCTGATCTGACCTATGGCTTCCAATCACTTCAGCCCAGGTACCAGCATCATGACCCACTGGGGCATTAAAGTCACCCAACAGGATGGCTATCCCGAGGGGCCACTTTTGCTAGCACCTGTGACAGGGGGTCATAGAAGGCATCTGACTCATTGGCCTTGCCTGTATCCCTCCACTAATCATCTTCGGTGGGGGCATAAGTAACCACCACCACTCTTCACCTCTGGTTGATGGGGAGGCGAGCCCACAGTAGCCTGGGGCTTACATCTTCCCACACCTTACCGTCATGCTCCCACACTCTGTTCATTCTTTTGTTTAGGAGAAGAGCCACTCCCTGTTGTTTGGTAGTCTCCTGCTCCGAGTCGAGGACTGTCCACCCTTATTAGTGGCTGGAGCCAGAGCCAGTCCACCGGACCTCCTGAATACCGCAGAGATACAGGCGGTATCAGTCCAGCTCCTGACAGAGGAGTGACAACCTCTCCTCCGCATTGAGCATTCGAACATTCCACGTAGCCACCCATAGTGGCGTTTTGTAGTTTCTGGAGGAACCCCGAGGGTAAGGATTCAGACTCCTGCCTACGACAAATGGGGTTTGGCCAGGAGACGCCATAGACACCTGTCCCCCCGGGGCCTCCAGAACAAGCTTGATTAGATTTTTTCACGTGGTTTCGTGGTACTTGGGTTGAAGGCGGAGGGGTTACCAGCCCCTTGCATCCATCCAGAGGCCCCTTTGGCCGTTGTGGTGGCTACAAACGCCATGAAGGGAATAGCCAATTGAAATTGGACCTCCCCCCATGGCACTGCTCACCACAGCGTTACCGTCCGACACCACCGAGGAGGCATGGGGGTTATTTTGCCGTGCTAACCGTCGGGTTGAGTCGTGTCCCGTTTTGGACTGGAAGGATCCGGTGGAGTGTGGGCCCTGTACATCCGATGAACTTGGATCTAGGTCTAAAAATCCCTCTAGTGATGTGTCCTATTTATGTGTCCTGCCATCACGTCCGCTGCCCGGTGGATAACATGCGGAGTGACCGGACGGTGGAGGGAGGAACATGACGAGGTTTCAATTCACGGTGGCCAGATGTTAACTTCCTCGCCTGGTACATGCAGGAGGTCATGGGTTCGATCCCGACCCTGACGCCTGTATATTTGGAGTTTGCATGTTCTCCCTGTGGCCGCATGGATTTTTCTCCGAGCTGTCTAGTTTTGGAGTACAGTAAAACCTTGGATTGCGAGTAACTTGGTCTGCGAGTGTTTTGCAAGACGAGCAAAATGTTTAAAGAAATATTAATTTGATAAACGAGCGAGGTCTTGCAATACGAGTAGTAACGTATATGCTTTGTCTGCCGAGCGTCACGTGATCATAACTGATATACGAGTGCTTTGGATTACAAACACGTTTCCGGAACGAATTATGCTCGCAATCCAAGGTTTTACTGTATTTGGGTTCTATACATTTTCACTTGATAGGCCACCTCGGTGAGCTGTCATTTGTGGCCAGGTCGCTTCTGAAAAAGAACTACATAGCTCAGTGAGCCTTACCTGGTTATTTTTTTTATAGTTTAAAAGTTTAAATAGATTCAGACAACATAACAATCGCCAAGCCCATTGGATGGACCGCGAATGGACCTGCCTAAGAATAAGAAAAACAACGACGATAACAGTGACATTAATTTACACAGGAAAGCCACGTTCAGTCTTTGGACTCTCCCCAGGAGGGTGCTGCTTTTTGGTGTGCTTGGCCGATTGTTAGTGGTTGTGGCTCAAGGTGTTGTTGGGAGTCGATCATGTTGTTTAATCTATGTATTGTATGTATATTCAACTTCTTTCGTGTTCTATATAGCCAACCATGCTAATTGGTTGGCTGCATATATGTTCCGTGTGCTTGTTGTTGGTGGCTGCTGTATCCCATGCCCGCAGTGTGCCGTGTACCTGCCCGGGTGGCTGCTCATGGCTGCGGCGGTGACCGTCCTGGCGGCCTCTACACTTTACGTGCACCGGCGGAGAGACCGGGAGAGTGGGGAGGGGAAGGTGAGAGAGCGGGGAGAGAGGCGAGAGAGCGGGGGGAGAGTGGGGAGTGTGGCGAGGGGGAAGGTGAGAGAGGATGGAGAGAGTGGTACTGCTTGTGTCCCAATGCCAGGAAGTGGGAGTGGTGGGGCACTGTGATGGTGTGTATCGCGGTGGCCGGCATGGTGCTGGCCACCCACCCCTCGTGTGCCATGCAGGCCTTCATCGGTGCTACTCGCTAAAGGCACTTGGTCCTACAGTCTGTTAAGACTACACAGGGGATTTTTGTCTTTGTGTGTACTACAGGAGAATGGAGCACCAGGAGTGTCCAACGGAAACATCTCTCACACTCCCAGTGAAGCGCACGTCATGCAATCGGACACATCCGTGAAGAGCAGCAACACGCACATAGACACCCGTCAACATGCACAGACAGATGCACGTACAGACACAACCACAGAAGATACCCGTCAACACACACATACAGAGACAGTACCTGGCACGGGGACACACACACAGACACAGACATGCACGCAGTGACCACACACAAACACAGACACCCACAAACGCTCGCAGACTCACACAAACAGGGAATGGCTCTGACGTCCAGCTAGGCAGCTTTACCTGGGCCTGCCCAACATCATAATGGTAACAGTGGCTGTGAGTTACAGGCTGGTATGGGCTCGCCTCCCTATCTATGGCAGGGGAGGAATGGTCCAAATAGGTGGATTACGCCCCCATTGAAGATGAACATCAGTAGAGGGATGCAGACAAGGCTTATGAGTCTTTGACCTCCTGCCAGGTGATGGCTAAAGTGACCCCTGGGGATAGTCATCCAATACATTGTTTTGGGATCGGCACATCCAGACATTAAGAACTAGTGACGAGACAGCAAATGCGGATCTTGACACCAGGACCTACTGTGGAGCTGATCTGTCCGCTGACCATCGGCTTTTCATCTGTAAGATGCGCCTGCCATTCTTCCACTCCTGTGGTGGGCGTCCACCGAGGACCTCATTCAAACCCACAGTAGCCTGGTCTAGGCTAGCTGACGAAAGTTGCAGGTGAGAATTCGATCATTGGTTGTGGCTGAGGTTGACACCCCCCCCCCTCTAATATTAAAAGGAAATGGGTGAGGTTCCGGACTGTGGCTCATGCAGCTGATTTTGCTGTATTGTGTATGCAGTCCAAACACTCCCAAAACTGGTTAATGGAGGAGATGATCCATCTAGTTGAGAAAAAGCAGCAGGTCCACTCTTACCATATATAACATCTCGCAGGCTTTGCTCAGAGGTTCACAGAGCCATACGGCACTACAAGGATAAGTGGTGGTTTTGAGTTGCTGAGCAAATGGAACATGCCTCAGCAGAGATGGAATCTCGCGACCACAAATCACTCTTCAACATCTTCACACACACAAACTGATTCTGACACAAAGGTAAACGATACCATTTTTATTCCTATAGCGTGTAAATGCAAATGCATCTCTAGAAATTGTCTAGAGGCAGTGGAACTTGGGCATCTTGGTGAAAGGAGACATATTTATTTACTTAATTTATAGACCAAAAGGGGCATCCAGTGTTTGGGATAGGAAACGAGAACGGACTTAAGCCACGGCAGCACGGGATGGCTGGGGAAGGGAGTTTCAGACTTGGAGGCAGCACAGGAGAATAAGTGATCTCCCACTGAGCGAAAATTCACTGGGGGCTTTGACGGAAATACTTGGTTACTGGAACAGAGTGCGTGGAGGGGAGTAGAGTGGATGAGAGGGGAGAGGTGGTATAGTACATGGAGGGGAATAGAGTGAGATGAGAGGAGAGAGGTAGGAGAGTGTGTGGAGGGGAGTAGAGTGAATTGAGAGGGGAGAGGTAGGAGAGTGTGTGGAGGGGAGTAGAGTGAATTGAGAGGGGAGAGGTAGGAGAGAGGGTGGAGGGGAGTAGAGTGAGATAAGAGGTAGATGAGTGCATAGAGGGAAGCAGAGTGAGGGGAGGGGTAGGGAGAGTAGAGTGGATGAAGGTTCTTGAAGACGGTGAGTGTGATCTTGAAGTTGATTCAGGATTGGATTGGGAACCAGTGGAGGTAGAGGAGTATTGGGAGATGTGGTCTGATTTATAGGTGCGGGTGAGGAGTCTGTTTGGCAGTGGACATTTTAATTACGCGTAAGTGGTAGATCAGCCATTTGGGTTGATAAGTGTGCCGCAGACCCCTACGCCATCATGGGAGTGCTCAAGGATGACCGCCTCGTCTATGGTATCAAAAGGAGCAGAAATATTTTAGGAGAATTCGAAGCAAGAGGGATCCACGGTGTTAGCAGAGAATTAGCTCACCGACCAAACGTAGGAGAGCAGTGTCAGTCGAATGGAACCGGCGGAAATCAGATGGAGTGGGGTCGTGGAGACCACAGAGAGGAAGGAGAAGATGCCCCTTTGTAGGACGTCTCTGAGGAAGGGGAGGTTTGAAATTGAATGGAAATGTTCTGGAATGTCGGGGCCCAAAGTGGATTTTGTCGGGGATCGGAGTGACAGCAGCAGTCTTGAGGGCTAAGGGAACGGTCCCGGATGAGATGGAAGCATTGACGAGGCCGGTAAATTATGGGGTCGGGGTGAGTAGAGGTAGTGAATGGTGAATGAGGAGGGAAGACAAAGAGGATAGATCATTGTAGCGATGTTTATGGTGACAGGCTGAAGGATGTTGAGGTTAGGTCGAGGGAAGACACAAGGACAGGCGATATGGTGAGAAGAGTCAGACACTAGAGTTATGTTTGTGATGTTTTCAACCATTTGAGAGAAATAGGAGAGTTGTAAAGACAAAGATCCTCCGAACAGCCTTAACAGATTGTCAGTGTAAGTGATGTTAGCGAGCACCAATGAAGGCTGGCAAAGGCACACGATGGAGTGGATGGCCAGCACCACGCCCGGCCACATCAGTGCTGATGTTTACACCGCACCAGGTGCAAATTTTAGGCTGAGTCGACCTAGGAAGAGTTTGCGCACCGCATTAAATGAGGCATTCACTATCTTTGCCATCCATTCTCACTCATTTATACAATGGTGACAGAGAGTTAGGGTGAATGCAAGCGACTGGTGTAACCATGTTCACTCTATTTCACACTCAACACTAATTCACACTCACTCGCTGGCACTCTTCACCAGGTCAAGCCCATGCGTGCTTGATTGCGTCCAGTTGTGCATGTCTCGGGGCAGAAGGCATGACTATCGTTCAGCGCGATTAAACTCGGTGAGCCGTGATCTTACAATCTGTGTGTCTCTCTCTCAGTGGCGAGCTCGTTTATATGTCGCCACTAGCACCACCTGCCCGTGCACGCCTGCGTGTGTGTGAGGTGGACTGATGCGGTGCGGGAGGATGTGGAGCTGAGTGGACTTGTCACTGACTGGTACCAGCGGTGTCAAGATCGGCCTCTGTAGAGGAGGTTCGTGAAGGACGCTGCTGGGCAGTTGGAGGCAGTCGCCCTCCAGCAATAGCGGAGGGCAGAGGAGCGACGCTCACAACAACGAGCGGAGCGCCGGGTGGATTAAATGCATAGATATGGCACAGTGGGGAGCACAGCTGGTGGTGCATCTGTCAATCATCACCTGGGTCGGTTCCGTGACTTGCCAGCGAGCCTTTCATATTTGACGTGGCCTCAAATGCACTTCGTATGGCACAAGCGTCGTAGTGACGTCACTGCCACTTAGTGGTGAACAGCGGTTGTAATTCTGTAAGACAAATTGTTAATGTTGATGGTAACACGTGTTTACACTGGTTTGTTTAGCTGCTGACGTGCATTTGTGGGGGGGCGGTGGGGGTGGCAGTGTCGTGGTCAGGGCCCTGCATTGTGAACCCGACGACCCTAATTTGATTCCCGCTCACGGTCGTTAACAGTGAACGAGTCGTGAGCCTCCCCTTGGTCGCCTCAACCTTACAGAAGTATCTGGATCAGTGTGCAAACATCAAGGTGACCTGGCGTGACGTTTGTCACACGTCACACCTCGTGTGCTGTGCCAACTTTCATAGTTACTCGCTAACAGCACTTGCCCCAAGTGTTAAAGTCTATATAGGGGGTCTTTGTGACAACACGTTTTTGTGCACGTGTGAACGTCTGTGTTTGGTAACTTTTTGTGTGTGTGCCTGTCAGTGCATCAATGTACTGTATGTGTGTCACAGTGTGCGGAGACCAAGTTGCAGTGTGTAAAGACGACTGGAGAGAGATCAGCTCCAATGACCATCGGCTTGTCATCTGCAAGATCATGAGCCTGCCCTTCAACTGCGGTGGTGGGTGTCCACCCAGGTCCCCATTCAAACCCACAGTCGCCTGGTCTTGGCTGGCTTCTGAAGGTTGCAAGAGAGAATTCCATCATTGCCTGCAGCTGGGGTTGTTGGCATCGTCAGGAGGGGGCCTCCTGATGCCGAGGGGAAATGGGTGGATTTCAGGGCTGTGGCTCATGCAGCTGATATGACTGCAAGGAGGGAGGTGTTCCAGCGAGCTGAAAGAAAATGGCAGGCCCACACTCGCCATCTACAACATCCCACGTCCCAGGATTAAAAAGCTAACTGCAGCCTTCGCTCAGAAGTTCGGAGAGCCGTGCGGCACTGCAAGGTTGAGTAGTGGTCATGATCACAAATCACTCTCTGATTCTATCAAAAAATTGAGAGCACCACCCCGAATCGTAAACTAAAGAGTGGTGATATCCATTCACCAGGAACAGGTTTGAAAATTGAAGATTTCTGTGAAGTTTTGGTGGGGAAACCCCTCGGACCATATAACATCACAGGGCAAGTTTAATTCTGATCCTGATGCAACTGCAAGGTCGGGGTTGAGTGGTGGTAGGAGTTAGGGATAGAGTCGCGTTAGTTGTTGGGGTAAAGTGGTGGTTAGTAGAGTGATGGTAGGAATTGGGGATAAAGTAGGGTTAGGTGTTGGGGTATAGTTAGGATGAGGCTTAGGACTGTGATCATTATAATTAGAATATGCGTCAGGGGTTAGTGTTGCAACCTGCCTGAGTGTGACTTGGACAGTCCAGGAATTGACAGGAGTTGACTTGTACCGAGATCTGGTGGCATGGTGTTGAACTCACGGTAAACTCGACAGTATTGATAGATCTAGCAGTGTCAGGGGTTTTGGATAGGGTCATGTTGATCAGAGGGGTAGAGTTGAGGCGATGATAATGAGGGTTCGTTTTAGAGCCAGGTGTTAGGGGACAATTACGAGTAAGGGGTGGGAGTTAGGGTCTGGGGGACAGGGTTAGATTGATAAGGTTTTGGGGACAGCGTTAGGGTTATGACAGGGTTAGGGCGAGGTTTGGAGGTAGGGTTAGGGGTATAGTTAGGTTGGAGTTAGGGCTTATGATGAGACGGGGTTAGGAGTATAGTTAGGATAGAGTTAGGGCTATGATGGTGAGACAAGGTTAGGTTTGGGTTCAGGGATATAATGTGACAGGGTAATGGGTCCGAGTTAGGGGGAGGATTGGGGCAAGAGTTGCAAGAGCCATTTTTTTAGAATTTGGTATAAAAAAAACCCTAAATATTTCACGATCCACAATGCACGTGAATAACGCCACGGAGCCGTCCTTAGGAAGAGCCGCATGCGGCTCCGGAGCCGCAGGTAGCCAACCCCCTGGATCAGGGGCATAGTTGAGCCGGGGTGCGAGCCCTGCAATAATGAGGGCTTGGGGATGGAGCCGAGGGAACGAAGTGATCGCTCCGCATTCTTTGTGGCGATTGTTCCAACATCGTCTCTGGCCCCCAGGCTTCCCCCACCTCATTCCTCCCCCGCACGTCCGGGCTCGCCCGAGACACGCGCCTTGCGGCGCACGTGTGCGGTCGGGGTGCCGATTATAATGCGTTGCGTGCGTGCAATTTGCAGCGTGGAGGGCTCGGTGTGCGTTCAGTGCGTGTGTTGTGGCCGTGGCAAGCCTGCAGTCCTTGAATTTTGCGTGTGGGGTGCAGGGCGTAGTGTGTGTGACGGTGGGAGGTGGAGCAGAGTGAGATGGAGGTGGGGTGGAGCGGAGTGAGAAGGGGGGGGTGGAGTGAGACGGGGGGTGGTGGAGTGAGACGGGGGGGGGGTGGAGTGAGACGGGGGGGGGGTGGAGTGAGACGGGGGGGGGGTGGAGTGAGACGGGGGGGGGGTGGAGTGAGACAGGGGGGGGGGGTGGAGTGAGACGGGGGGTGGAGTGAGACGGGGGGGGTGAGACGGGGGGGGGGAGTGAGACGGGGGGTGGAGTGAGACGGGGGGGTGGAGTGAGACGGGGGGGGGGTGGAGTGAGACGGGGGGGGGTGGAGTGAGACGGGGGGGTGGAGTGAGACGGGGGGGGGGTGGAGTGAGACGGGGGTGTGGAGTGAGACGGGGGGGAGTGAGACGGGGGGAGGTGGAGCGGAGTGAGACGGGGGTGGAGTGAGACGGGGGGGGTGGAGTGAGATGGGGGGGGGCAGGTGGAGCTGATTCTTTACCATGAATCATTCAGTCGGGGAGGCACTGCGTGAAACAGCAATAAGTTTTATTCCATGCTCACACGAAATCCTTAACACACGCCACACACACACACGTAATATACACACGTATTACACACGTAACACACATGTAACACATACGTGACACACGCATGCCACACACATGTAACACACACACATAACACACATGTAACACATACGTGACACACACATGCCACACACATGTAACACACACACATAACACACATGTAACACATTCGTAACACACACATGTAACACACACACACGTGACACATGCCACACACACACGTAACACACACACGTAATACACGTAATACACACACACGTAACACACACACACGTAACACACACACACGTATTACACACACTCACGTAACACACACTCACGTAATACACACACACGTAACACACACACACACACGTAACATACACGTAACACACACGTATTACAAACACTCACGTAACATACACGTAACACACACGTAACACACACACACACGTAACATACACGTAACACACGTAACATACACGTAACACACACACGTAACATACACACACGTAACACACACTCACGTAACATACACATAACACACACACACGTAACATACACGTAACACACACACACACGTAACACACACTCACACACACACGTAACACACACGTAACACACACACGTAACTTACACACTCACACACGTAAGTGGTCAAGCATGAGCATCCCAGGCAGCAAGAGGAGCTCCCCCGTGCCCTCCACGTCCCCTTCCCCGCCTCATCCGTGGTAGAGGTTGACGAAGAAGGAGCAGAACGCGTTCCACGTCTCGCTGCAGTACTGCTCGCTGGGCTGAACACAGACACAGACAAAGGGTCCCCCGTGTAGCCTCCATTGGCTGCTCGGACAAGGACTGCTGCTTGTGAGGACCACCTATGTGGGGGTGGTGTGGTGAGCGCCTTTCTCGGACGCCTTTGTCTCCCAAGTGCTGATGTTTACACCCCACAGCACTGTACAGGTGTCCCTCGACTTACAAAAGGGATGCGCTCTTCAAATAAAACCATGCGTTTAAATAGGAATGGCTTTGCCAATCAACATCATACAGAAAATGAGGGACCCAAAGAGTGACGAACATAGAAGAAAAAGGTTGCACATAGAAGAAGACAACCTGATGATGCAGGCAGTGATGAGGACCCTGGCACTAGTGAGGGAAAAAAGTATTTGATCCCCTGCTAATTTTGTACGTTTGCCCACTGACAGATAAATTAACAGTCTATATTTTTTATGGTAGGTTTATTTGAACAGTGAGAGACAGAATAAGAACAAAAAAAATCCAGAAGAACGCATGTCAAAAATGTTATAAATTGATTTGCATTTTAATGAGGGAAATAAGCATTTGACCCCCTCTCAATCAGAAATATTTTTTTTATACAGGTAACGAACTGAGTTTAGGAGCACACTCTTAAAGGGAGTGCTCCTAATCTCAGCTTGTTATCTGTATAAAAGACACCTGTCCACAGAAGCAATCAATCAGATTCCAAACTCTCCACCATGGCCAAGACCAAAGAGCTCTCCAAGGATGTCAGGGACAATATTGTAGACCTACACAAGGCTAGAATGGGCTACAAGACCATTTCCAAGCAGCTTGGTGAGAAGGTGACAACAGTTGGTGCGATTATTCGCAAATGGAAGAAACACAAAAGAACTGTCAATCTCCCTCAGCCTGGGGCTCCATGCAAGATCTCACTTCGTGGAGTTGCAATGATCATGAGAACGGTGAGGAATCAGCCCAAAGCTACACGGGAGGATCTTGTCAATGATCTCAAGGCAGCTGGGACCATAGTCACCAAGAAAACAATTGGTAACACTACGCCGTGAAAGACTGAAATCCTGCAGCGCCCGCAAGGTCCCCCTGCTCAAGAATGCACATATACATGCCCGTCTGAAGTTTGCCAATGAACATCTGAATGATTCAGAGGACAACTGGGTGAAAGTGTTGTGGTCAGATGATACCAAAATGGAGCTCTTTGGCATCAACTCAACTCGCCGTGTTTGGAGGAGGAGGAATGCTGCCTATGACCCCAAGAACACTATCACCACCGTCAAACATGGAGGTGGAAACATTATGCTTTGGGGGTGTTTTTCTGCTAAGGGGACAGGACAACTTCACCGCATCAATGGGACGATGGACGGGGCCATGTGCCGTCAAATCGTGGGTGAGAACCTCCTTCCCTCAACCAGGGCATTGAAAATGGGTCGTGGATGGGTATTCCAGCATGACAATGACCCAAAACACACGGCTAGGGCAACAAAGGAGTGGCTCAAGAAGAAGCACATTAAGGTCCTGGAGTGGCCTAGCCAGTCTCCAGACCTTAATCCCATAGAAAATCTGTGGAGGGATCTGAAGGTTCGAGTTGCCAAACGTCAGCCTCGAAACCTTAATGACTTGGAGAAGATCTGCAAGGAGGAGTGGGACAAAATCCCTCCTGAGATGTGTGCAAACCTGGTGGCCAACTACAAGAAACGTCTGACCTCTGTGATTGCCAACAAGGGTTTTGCCACCAAGTATTAAGTCATGTTTTGCAGAGGGGTCAAATTCTTATTTCCCTCATTAAAATACAAATCAATTCATAACATTTTCGACATGCGTTTTTCCGGATTTTTTTGTTGTTATTCTGTTTCTCACTGTTCAAATAAACCTACCATTTATAGACTGATCATTTCTTTGTCAGTGGGCAAACGTACAAAATCAGCAGGGGATCAAATACTTTTTTCCCTCACTGTATTTGGACACACATGTTGTATGGACAACAACAGAACAATTGAAAGTGTGTTGTTCGGGAAAATGGCTATCAACAAAGATTAGTTCATGAAGCCATCCATCTATACAGACACAGACACAATTTCAACCGAGGGGAAGTTTATAGACTCTGCAATCATTGGACATATGTCATCAACCACTTTGGGTCATGACTTGACTTGTGTTTTCTTGTCAATCAACCTCCACCGACAGCAGTGTGGTGTGTGGAGCGGTGTGCAGTGATTTCCTGGCGGACCTATGCTGCATTAGCATTGCTGCTGCTGCATTGGCATTGCTGCTGCATTGGCAATGCTGCTGCATTGGCAATGCTGCTGCATTGGCAATGCTGCTGCATTGCCAATGCTGCTGCATTGGCATTGTTGCTACATTGGCATTGTTGCTGCATTGGCATTGCTGCTGCATTGACAATGCTGCTGCATTGGCAATGCTGCTGCATTGGCATTGTTGCTGCATTGGCATTGTTGCTGCATTGGCATTGCTGCTGCATTGGCATTGCTGCTGCATTGGCCACACCTGGGCATCGATCAGCCTCCTATTGTATTTGTACCAGTTGGAAATACTTCTGGTGGTGCCATGGAAAGATTCTCGAACTACGTGGCCAGAGAACATCCCTATCGCACCCTGTAAACGGGGGATGGCTCTGACTTCCGGGCACGTAGCTTTACCCAGGGCTTGTGCACCATCATGAAAGCGCTTTATGGTTGTGAGCAGAGAAAGAGTCGGGGACACCGAAAGCACGAAGAACAACCCAGAGCCCTGGCCTGCAGATGGTATCATAGGCCTTGGTCAGGTCAATAAAGCAGCTATATAGGCCCTGTTGAATTCATCTGCTGTGGCAGACGGACAGAGATAATACTACGTGGTAAAAAAAACCCTCTGTGGACAGACACGTGGACACACACACACACGGGAGAGCATCGCACGCCTCACCGCTTTACTTTTCGTCTTTTCAGCTTTTGGAGTTTTCTTCGGTGGATTCAGCTTTGATTTGAATTTTGAAGGAGACTTCGTTACCTTGGTCCTGTCATCACACCCCACACACACCGCACACACCACACACACCGCACACACACCACACACACCGCACACACCACACAAACGGCACACACCACACACACCGTACACACCACACACACCGCACACACCACACAAACCGCAGACACCACACAAACCGCACACACCACACACACCGCACACACCACACACACCGCACACACCACACACACCGCACACACCACACACACCGCACACACCACACACACCGCACACACCACACACACCGCACACACCACACAAACGGCACACACCACACACACCGTACACACCACACACACCGTACACACCACACACACCGTACACACCACACACACCGCACACACCACACACACCGTACACCACACACACACCGCACACACCACACACACCGCACACACCACACAAACGGCACACACCATACACACCATGGACACCGTGCATACCACTCACCCCTAAACCAGTACTCTAACTAGTCAGCTCTACCCTCTAATGCCTCACCCTCAACGCTATCCTTGATTCGTAACAGTTAACGCAAACCTCTAATCACAAACCCATAATATCTAATCCAAATTATAACTTCTAATGCTCACCTCAACCCTTTTACAGTATACAGGGTGTTTGAAAAACATGGAACCAATTTCAAAGCAGTATATTTCACGATGGCAACATGTTAACACAAATAGTTACAAACGGTTTAATGAGTTAATCTAGTTTTTGAGGTCATCTACATTAGTCGCTAATGGTGGCACAAGAACACCACGGGTCTTTGACGTATCCCCACAAGAAAAAGTCGCAGGGTGTGATATCTGGGGATCTTGGGGGCCAAGAGTGTAGCGCCAAGACTTAGGGTCCCGTGTGACCTATCCAAAGTTGAGGCGGTGTTGTCTTGCGAATGACTGAGGCTAGGGGCTGTTTGTGCGCTGGGAGAGGCATCTCGCGGTCATCATTTGAACTCTATGCCCCGCCCTCTCTATGCCCCGCCCTCTCTATGCCCCGCCCTTTCGAATGGTAAGAGTTCCATTCATGGGCGGTTCGTGGTTGCAGAGATACAGCGATTTCAAATCGGGTCCATCTTTTGAAACTCCCTGTATTATACAGACAGCCATCGACTTAAATTTTGATTTAAAGCTTTCGTGACTGCAGTAATTCACATTCTTAGTTCTTTCGGTAAAGTCACGTTGAAGGGAAACAACAAAATAATAAAATATATATAAAACAATATATTTTATTATATAAATAAATACACCGTTTAAAAATAAATTTATGCAAACCAACACACCTGAAGACAACCGTTTGTGTTATGGTCGAAACGTCGTGAGAATTTTTATTGTTTTATATATATTTTATTATTTTGTTGCTTCCCTTCAACGTGACTTTACCAAAAGAACTAAGATTATAGCCATCGACTTATGAACACCTGATTTACGAAAACTCGAACTTACGAACCAGCTATCGACTTAAAACGTGAACTCGCACTTTTCAGAGGGGCAATCTTCCTCAAAATGTAATGAGTCACCCTCGCTCTAGTGATTGTGCGTTTGTGCGCACATATGTATGTGTGTGTGAAAGTGAGCGTGTGTGAAAGTGAGTATGTGCGCGTGTGTATGCGCGCGTACCCCGTGTGTTTGCGTGGGGAGTGGTGGTGTAGTGGTTAGCGCTATGCTGCGCAACGAACCCGGCGACCCAAGTTTGTTTCCCACTCATGGCCAACAGGAGTGACGATTATCTAAACCGGTCCTCGGCCTTCCCTAGGTCGACTCAGCCTCAAACGAGTACCTGGTGCGGTGTGTGAAAGTCGCCGGCCTTCATAGGTGCTCGCTGGCAGCACTTGCCCCAAAAGTCTGTTCAGGCTATACGGGGGATCGTTGTCTTTTTGTGTGTCTATGTGTGTATGCGAGAGCGCGTGCACAGTGTGCGTGTGTAATTGTGGTTACTCATTGTGCCCCGTTCCGACAAGCCAGCATCAGGACTCATGGTAATTGAAAATAAAACGGATATTTTTTCCTATTTACTATACAGTATTTTTTTAAGTGTTTCATGCAAATGTACCATATTTTTTTCTTATTTCAGAGTTGAACAAAGCTTCCCTTTTTTGTTGAACCGTACACATTTCATAACACTGACCGTATGGGCATTTAAATACAATGCATTGTTGTTTCCTCACTTACAAACTGTTCGTTCGACTTAACAACGGATCTCAGGAACTAACAGAAGTGTGTTCATACGTTGAGGACTGTCCGTAAATGAAATTGCGATGTCTGTCCACGTCTCATCAGCTGACAGCTGGAGGAGCTGCGATTGGGATTGAGCCATGGGTCAGTGCGACCCCAGGAGGGACCATGGTAGGATGGAAACCTGTTGTATGATTGTAGAATTCGTCACTTCTGTCTCCTGCCCCTTTCTTCCTCCCTGTCGCCCCTTGTCTCATCTCCCCCTGTTGTCCCATGTCTCCTGTCTCCCCGTTTCTCATCACTTATCTTGTCTCTCTCCCAGTGTCGGCCCCTGTCTCCCCGTGTCCCTGCCCATGTCCCTTCTTTCCCAGGTGTCTCTTGTCCCCATGACCCTGATGTCTACCCGTATCGTCTTCCCGTGTCACCTGTCTTTGGTGAGGAAGGCCTCCCTGGGCCCGTCCCTGCACACGTGCGGCTTGATGGTGGCGTGACCTCCACACGGCTCCTTCTTGCTCTTCAGGGCCTTCAGGGCCTGGGTCCAGTACTTGGCCTCTCGCTTGGCGAAGGCTTTGCAGGCCGCGGGCTTTCCCTGGTACTGGCACTCAACCCCACCGCCATCGGGAGCATCGCACGTCACGGACAGGGATATCCGCGACTTCGGGGAACCTTTCGTGGCCCAGCGGCATGCGTCTCCTTTCACTGCCCTGAAGGACCCCCCAGAGGGGGCCCTAGGGGTCCTGGGGGCGGCAACTCTCCTCAGCCTAGGCAGGGTATCCCCTGAGAGGTCCCTGGGCTCAGGACTCTCAGCGAGGGGATCTCTGGGCTGAGGGATCTCAGCTATGGTGTCCCCAGGCTGAGGGGTGCCGAGTGAAGGCCCGAGTGAGGCCCCGATGAGGGCGGTGAGAAGAAGGGCCCCCCACAACATGTCCCTGGGCCTGGAGGGGTCATTAATGCATCGTCATCATCAAAACATCAATCTTCTCGACATCATCTAATATCAGTAACAACACGACACCTGATCATTTCAACAAACACTACCGAAAATAAATGTCTTAACATCACGTCGTGATGATTGCATCACCTAAAACATCGTAATGTAAAACAATCATCTCAGCATCATTACCTCATCATCACCTAATCCACAGTACATAAAAGATCATATAAATCATAATCATCCAAACATGATCTAGAACACCACTTATCATCACCAGTCTCTCACCCACCTGTCACACGTCTGTCTCTCACTCCCACCTGTCACTCGTCCTCACCCGTCACTCACCTGGTTACCATTTACCATTGCCTGCCTATTACCCGTCTGCAACTCACCTCTCACTCACCCTGCCGTGACGTCTCTCTCAGACGCGTGTAGCCTCACCACGTGTTGCCTCACCAGCCACTCACCACTTGTAGCCTCACCACATGTAGCCTCACCAGCCACTCACCACATGTAGCCTCACCATCAACAACAACCGCCATTCACTACTAAGTGGCGATGACGTCACCATGGCGCTTGTGCCAGGCTAGGTGCACTTTAAGGCCATGTGAAGTGTTGAACGCTCGCTGGCAGGAGGTTACGGAACAGACCCAGGTGCCATGGGTTGACTGAGATGACCAGGAGATGCACCACCTGTGCCCCCTATTGTGCCAACTTGCTGTATTTTATCTGCCCGGTGCTCCGCACAACGGAAGAGCAACGCTCATTATTGTGAGCGTCGCTCTTCCGTTGTTGTTGGAGGGCGACTGCCTCCAACTGCCCAGTAGCGTCCTTCACGAGCCTCCTCCACAGAGGCCGATCTTGACACCGCTGGTACCGGTCATCGGCAAGTCCATTCAGCTCCACATCCTCCTGCACCACACCAGTTCATGGCTTCTCCAGTCCGTGTCGTTCCCGTTTAGCCCCCTCTATCCGGCTAAACAGAAGCTGTTTGGGCATGCGGTAGCTGGGCATGCGGGCTACATGACCCAGCCAACGCAGCCTCACCTGCCGGAAGAACCTCACCACGTGTAGCGTCACACTCACCACGTGTCGGTGGAGACGCAGGTGTGCAGGAGAGCTCCGTGCAGAGCTGGACGTGCATGCGCAAATGGTCAGGTGTGCATATATATGTGTGCAGGTGTGCAGTTATTTCGATGTACAGGTGTGCAGGTATAGAAGTCTACAGTGGTGTAGATATGTAGGAGTGCAGGTAAGTGCAGGGGTGCGTGAATGTGCAGAGGCTGTGTAGGTGCAAGATGCGTGTAGGTGTATTGGTGTAGGTATATAGGCGTGTAGGTGCGCAGATAGAGACGGGTGCAGGTGTATGTGTCAGTGTACAGGCGTGTCAGTGGGTGTACAGGTGTCGGTAGGCGTGTCAGTGGGTGTACAGCTGTGAGGGTGGAGAGGGAGAGAGCTGCACAGGGTAGTGCAGCAGCTGTCACGTGGCTCGCAAAATTGACACCTGTGCCGGGGAGGCGGGGCTACAATAGAAGCCCCGCCCCCTCCTCAGCTCCTCCCCTATTACAAGACCCCGACCTTTCCACGAGGACACGGTCATCCCCCAGGCATTGAATATTGGTGGCTAAACTCTGCTGATGAGTCCTTGTCAAAACAAAAGCGGCCGACAGTTTGTCTCTCTAGATCGCTGCTGCTGCTATTAGTGTCACAATCTCCAGAATTGATTTTGATGGTGATCCATACCTGTCAACCGCTTATCAGTGCCTACCTTATTACAGACCAATGCAGACCTTATTGGTCACCCCGTGCCCTTATAAATCTCAACGTTCATCCTACAAAGTCCAATTACAATGGAGGAACACAAACAAATAGACAAAACACATGAATAAAATGTTGACCTTATTGAAACGGCTGTACGCCATATGGAGCTGACAACTACATTTCTCCGTAGAAGAATACAGGTAAACCATATGGGTTGACAGTGATGTACACACACAAGACAAGATCAAAGGGGTCGCATAATGCGCATGCATAATGTGCGTTGACTCATTAATCCCCCCCCCCCCCACTTTGCGCAAGAGCGCAGAACTGCGGTCACCACATCTACGAAACAGGTGGACTTCTCCACAAATCTGGCTGTCGCCTGATTTTAATTTCAGTTTCAGTTTATTTATTTTGGTATAGCCCTGTGAGCCATTCGGCTCTTGAATCGGGTGCAACCACAACAAACAAAAAAACTAAAACACGAACAAGAAAAACATCTTAAAGTGACTATGTGACTGTGCAAACAGAAAATCCATGAAAAAAACCAGCAAAATATTCCTGAAAAAGCACCGTACACCAACGCTGTGTGCAAAAAATCCCAGTGGGATGCAAGTCAAACAACAACAACAACCACAAGAAAACTTAGATTAAGGCCATCAGTCTAACTCCGTACTACAACAAAACAAACATGTCCAAATCAAAAAACTTTTCGAAATCACCAAAAAATAAAGCCATAATTGCAACGTAACAGTGATCACAGGGACTGTGACCGAATTTTTACAATAAACTACATAAATAACATGTAACACCAAATCCTAGAGCCATAGCTGGCTGCATGAGTTATTCCACAACAACAGAAGCATCAGTCGGAGTATCAAATTTTTCAATGCACCTTTAAGATCAGCACGCTAAATCAAAATACAGATAACACTTTGCAGCGTCATCCGGAGCGAAACATTTTATTTTATTTTACGCCAATGAATAGCAGTGGTAGATAGGGGTGTACAACTGCTCTAGAGCAGTTTTGAGAGAAGATCTCATTGGTAGCGATTCAAGTTGCAGTTTACTGGCAATAGCATTCCAGACCCTGGGGGCATCAATAGCAAAGGCTCTTCCTCCAGTTTTTGTACGGCAATAGGGAATGTGAAGCTGGTAAATGAGCGAAGACCTGAGGTCAAATTTGTTTTTTGAAACAGAGATGAGATCCAACAGGTAGTCTGTGGATTTTTTTGTAAGTACATCGTGAATAAATAAGATCTGGTGCACAAGCCGTCGAACATTAAGAGATGTTAAGTTTGACCCAATGTAGAGATCACAGTGGTGAGTCCTACAGTATATGGGCAGTTCAATGTAAATCTTAAGGCCGAGTTATAGACGGAATCAAGCTTCTTCAGTACAGTACTTGAGGCTGATTTATACACGATGCCACAGTAGTCAAGTAGAGGCAGTATGGTAGCTTTTATCAATTCCAAACGGAACATTGGGGGGAAGCAGTGCTTGTGTCGATACAGAAAACCAATTTTTATTTTTGCCTTTTACCAATATAATCAATGTGATCTTCAAAATTCAGTTTTTAATCCAGGATGACCCCAATATACTTATAGATCTTGACTTGCTCTATTTGATAATTATTTAAGGAATGTAATTGGCGAAAAATAACTTCCTGCTTTAGTCCTGGTGAGAAGCATAGCACCTTGGTTTTGGAGGTATTCAGGACTAGTTTAAGAGCAACTAGCTGATGTAGTTTGTTGAAATCACCCTGTAGCTTAGCAATCACGTCATCCGGAGAGCGGCCAGCAGTAATCAGTATCGTGTCATCTGCAAAAAGATTTACCCTGGAAAGATCCAGGTCAGTGCCCAAGTCATTGACATAAAGCAGCTAGTTGTAATTACTGGCGAAACGTCGTACTCAGATTGTAAATGTTGTGGCTTGGCTGTCCAACACACAACCGGTGTGCTGTACTAGTGACGAATTGGCAAGTTCTGTTTACGTGACAACCCCTACTAGTTGGCTGTGTCGAGTGGTGGCGGGTTTTAATGACACATTTATATATTTATGCGATCTAACCCCAAAATAAACCTATATTATGTGTATATATTACACATCCCATCAACCACATCGCCATCTGAGTGTACACAATTTTAGCAACATTGATTCCACGAGCAAAACGGTGTCAACATTCGGGTGATTGGGTTAATGGGTCATTGGGTTATTTTGATATTCGGTTGCAAGGTCATCAGGGGTAACGGCTTAATGGTTACCAGGTCATTGGAAGCAACGGGTTATTGGGTTATTGGGTAATATGCAATAACGAGTTCATGGGTTATTGAGTTATTGGGTGAGCACGACTGAGCCAGGGTCACTGTAGGGTCAATGCCGACTCTGGCGATGCTCGTTACGGGGCCCGCTGGGTCGGGGCCCCGAACCGTGAATTGACAAACAGCTTCCGGTGTCTGCTGTCGTTTCCCGCCAAATTTAGAGTCGCGGAGCGGTGGGGAGCGAGCGAGCGACGTGTAACCTCACAACTTAGCACATCACCTCACCACTTACTACATCACCTCACCACTTACTACATCACCTAACCACTCACTACATCAACACGCCACCTCACCACTCGCTACATCACCTCACTACTGCATCACCTCGCCACTCACTACATCACCTCACCACTCACTACATCAACACGCCACCTCACCACTCCTAACATCACCTCACTACTGCATCACCTCACCACTAACGGATAGACAGGGTAAGGGGTGAGGCGTTATCCCCAGGCATGGAGGATCTGCACGAGTTGGAGGGGACGAGGAGCGGTGAGGAGGAGGAGGAGGGTGAGGAGGTAACGCCGGCAGAGCTGGTGAGCAGACTGCGCGAGGTGAGGCCAGGGGCTGGAGAGTGAAGGGTGGTGGGGGTTGGTTTGTTGATTTAGTGGTGTGTGTGGGGTGTTAATGTAGTGGTGTGTGTGGGGTGTTGATGTAGTGGTGTGTGTGGGTGTTGATGTAGTGGTGTGTTAATGTAGTCGTGTGTGTGGGGTGTTGATGTAGTGGTGTGTTAATGTAGTCGTGTGTGTGGGGTGTTGATGTAGTGGTGTGTTAATGTAGTCGTGTGTGTGGGGTGTTGATGTAGTGGTGTGTGTGGTGTGTTAATGTAGTCGTGTGTGTGGGGTGTTGATGTAGTGGTGTGTTAATGTAGTCGTGTGTGTGGGGTGTTGATGTTGTGGTGTGTGTGGTGTGTTGCTGTAGTGGTGTGTGTGGTGTGTTGATGTGTGTGTGGTGTGTTGATGTTGTGGTGTGTGTGGGGTGTTGATGTAGTGGTGTGTGTGGGGTGTTGACGTAGTGGTGTGTGTGGGGTGTTGATGGTGTGGTGTGTTGATGTAGTGGTGTGTGTGGGGTGTTGCTGTAGTGGTGTGTGCGGGGTGTTGATGTAGTGGTGTGTTAATGTAGTCGTGTGTGTGTGGGGTGTTGATGTAGTGGTGTGTTAATGTAGTCGTGTGTGTGGGGTGTTGATGTAGTGGTGTGTGTGGTGTGTTGATGTTGTGTGTGTGGGGTGTTGCTGTAGTGGTGTGTGGGGGGTGTTGATGTAGTGGTGTGCGTGGTGTGTTAATGTAGTCGTGTGTGTGGGGTGTTGATGTAGTGGTGTGTTGATGTAGTGGTGTGTGTGGTGTGTTAATGTTGTGTGTGTGGGGTGTTGCTGTAGTGTTGTGTGGGGGGTGTTGATGTCGTGGTGTGTTAATGTAGTCGTGTGTGTGGGGTGTTTATGTAGTGGTGTGTGTGGTGTGTTGATGTTGTGGTGTGTGTGGGGTGTCGCTGTAGTGGTGTGTGTGGTGTGTTAATGTAGTGGTGTGTGTGGGATGTTGATGTAGTGGTGTGTGTGGTGTGTTGTGGTGTGTGTGGTGTGTTGATGTTGTGGTGTGTGTGGGGTGTTGCTGTAGTGGTGTGTGTGGTGTGTTGATGTAGTCGTGTGTTGATGTAGTGTTGTGTGTGGTGTGTTGATGTTGTGGTGTGTGTGGGGTGTTGCTGTAGTGGGGTGTGTGGTGTGTTGATGTAGTGGTGTGTGTGGGGTGTGTTGATGTAGTGTGTGTGGGATGTTGATGAAGTGGTGTGTTGATGTAGTGGGGTGTGTGGTGTGTGTGTTGATGTAGTGGTGCCTGTGTGTTGATGTAGTGGTGTGTTGATGTAGCGATGTGTGTTGCATGATGTCGTGGTGTGTGTTGATGTAGTGGTGTGTGTGGTGTGTTGATGTAGTGGTGTGGTGTTGATGTAGTGGTGTGTTGTAGTAATGTGTGTGTGTTGATGTAGCGGTGTGTGTTGATGTAGTGGTGTGTGTGGGGTGTTGGAGTAGTGGTGTGTTGATGTAGTGGTATGTGTGCTGTGTTGGTGTAGTGGTGTTTAGTGTGTTGATATAGTGTTGAAGTAGTAGGGTGTGTGTATAGCGTGTTGGGGTAGTGGTGTGTGTGTTGTGTGACCTCAAGGTGCACATGGCCTGGCACAAGCGTCGTGGTGATGTCACCGCCACTTAGTGGCGAATGGCGGTTGTTGTGTTGTGTGGGGAGCGGTAGTGTAGCTGTTAGTGCGCTACGCTACGAACCCTAGTTTGATTCCTGCTCACGGCCAATACCAGTGACGATTATCTGAACCGGTCTTTGGCCTCTCCTAGGTCGATTCAGCCTCAAATGAGTACCTGGTGTGGTGTGTAAACATCACCACTGGGGAGACAAAGGCGGCCGGGCGTGGTGTTGGCCACCCATACCCTCGTGCTGAACCCAGCATTCATAGGTGCTTGCGAACAGCACTTGCCCCTGAAGTCTGTGCAGGCTACACGGGGTATCTCTGTCTTTGTATGGTGTGTGTATGGTGTTTGCATGGTGTGTGTATGGTGTTTGTATGGTGTGTGTATGGTGTGTGCAGGCGTGGCTTAATGAGAAGCTTTGCCCGGATTTGCTGCCTCAGCACTCGGAGCTCACAGAGTGTGTGGTGGAGCAGCTCACGCATATGGTGGGGTCTGCGCACATCCCTTACTCACCCCGCTTACTCACTCCCTTTCAATCACCCCCCCTCACTCAGCCCTCTCACACCCCTTGCTCATTCAAACCCCTCACTCAACCCCTCTCACCCCTCTCACACCCCTGGCTCACTCACACCCCTGGCTCACTCACACACCTCACTCGCCCCTCTCACCCATTTCACCATTTACACTCCTCTCTTAAACTCCTCATGCCCCTGACTCGCACCCCTCACAAACCAATCACTGACCCCTCTCACTCGCCCCCTCACTCACACCCCTCGGTGTGTGTGAGTAGGAGGGCAACCTGCGGAGGGTCCAGCGTGCGGATGTGAAGTCGTCTCTCCACCGCATGGAGCTCGAGAGAATCCGCTTCATGCTGAGCTCATACCTGCGCACGCGCCTCAACAAGGTGAGCGCGTGGCACGCCACCATGCAGCACACCACACCACCACGTAGCACACCACTCCACCATTCTGCACACCACACCACCACGCAGCATGTGTACAGTGAGGGAAAAAAGTATTTGATCCCCTTCTAGAATTGAAGCTTTTGTGACTGCAAGGATCCATACTCTTTGGTTCTATTCGGTAAAGTCACGTAGGTAAAAAATAAAACAACAAAAATCACGACGTTTCGACCACAACACAAGTGGCCTTCATCAGGTGAAGGGACCAGACTGTCTCGAGGACAGCGCTGGAGTGAACACAGCCAAGCTCAGACCGCGACCTTTAAGCTTGTGTGAGAGGAATTAAGGTGCCTTGACAAAGGAATTTGCATAACAATTAGCATTCATTTGGCGGATTTAGCATGGTGAATGGTGTAGAGGGGGTGAACATGTGCAGACCGGCGAGGGGGGAGGGGGAGTTTACATATTGATGGTGTGAAAAGGGAATTTAAGCAGCAACCATTGGAAAGATGTTCTAAATCGAACCAAACATTAAACTAATTTTCAATAGTGCAGTATATTTTTTCAAGTAGTGGTATCCCAAACTTTCGCAGCTGCTAAAATTCCCTTTTCACACCATCAATATGCAAACTACCCCTCCCCCCCTCGCCGGTCTGCACATGTTCACCCCCTCTACACCGTTCACCATGCTAAGTCCGCCAATTGAATGCTAATTTTTATGCTAATTCCTTTGTCAAGGCACCTTAATTCCTCTCACACAAGCTTAAAGGTCGCGGTCTGAGTTTGTGGTCACTCCAGCGCTGTCCTCGAGACAGTCTAGTCCCTTCACCTGATGAAGGCCACTTGTGTTGTGGCTGAAACGTCGTGATTTTTGTTGTTTTATTTTTACCTACATGACTTTACCGAATAGAACCAAAGAGTATTTGATCCCCTGCTGATTTTGTACGTTTGCCCACTGACGAAGAAATGATCAGTCTATAATTTTAATGGTAGGTTTATTTGAACAGTGAGATACAGAATAACAACAAAAAATCCAGAAGAACGCATGTCAAAATGTTATAAATTGATTTGCATTTTAATAAGGGAAATAAGTATTTGACCCCCTGTCAATCAGAAAGATTTCTGGCTCCCAGGTGTCTTTTATACAGGTAACGAGCTGAGATTAGGAGCACACTCTTAAAGGGAGTGCTCCTAATCTCAGCTTTTTACCTGTATAAAAGACACCTGTCCACAGAAGCAATCAATCAGATTCCAAACTCTCCACCATGGCCAAGACCAAAGAGCTCTCCAAGGATGTCAGGGACAAGATTGTAGACCTATACAAGGCTGGAATGGGCTACAAGACCATTGCCAAGCAGCTTGGTGAGAAGGTGACAACAGTTGGTGCGATTATTCGCAAATGGAAGAAACACAAACGAACTGTGAATCTCCCTCGGCCTGGGGCTCCATGCAAGATCTCACCTCGTGGAGTTGCAATGATCATGAGAACGGTGATGAATCAGCCCAGAACTACACGGGAGGATCTTGTCAATGCTGTCAAGGCGGCTGGGACCATAGTCACCAAGAAAACAATTGGTAACACTACGCCGTGAAGGACTGAAATCCTGCAGCGCCCGCAAGGTCCCCCTGCTCAAGAAAGCGCATATACATGCCCATCTGAAGTTTGCCAATGAACATCTGAATGATTCAGAGGACAACTGAGTGAAAGTGTTGTGGTCAGATGAGACCAAAATGGAGCTCTTTGGCATCAACTCAACTCGCCGTGTTTGGAGGAGGAGGAATGCTGCCTATGACCCCAAGAACACCATCCCCACCGTCAAACAAGGAGGTGGAAACATTATGCTATGGGGGTGTTTTTCTGCTAAGGGGACAGGACAACTTCACCGCATCAATGGGACGATGGACGGGGCCATGTACCATCAAATCTTGGGTGAGAACCTCCTTCCCTCAGCCAGGGCATTGAAAATGGGTCGTGGATGGGTATTCCAGCATGGCAATGACCCAAAACACACGGCCAAGGTAACAAAGGAGTGGCTCAAGAAGAAGCACATTAAGGTCCTGGAGTGGCCTAGCCAGTCTCCAGACCTTAATCCCATAGAAAATCTGTGGAGGGAGCTGAAGGTTCGAGTTGCCAAACGTCAGCCTCGAAACCTTAATGACTTGGAGAAGATCTGCAAAGAGGAGTGGGACAAAATCCCTCCTGAGATGTGTGCAAACCTGGTGGCCAACTACAAGAAACATCTGACCTCTGTGATTGCCAACAAGGGTTTTGCCACCAAGTACTAAGTCATGTTTTGCAGAGGGGTCAAATACTTATTTCCCTCATTAAAATGCAAATCAATTTATGACATTTTTGACATGCGTTTTTCTGGATTTTGTTGTTGTTATTCTGTCTCTCACTGTTCAAATAAACCTACCATTAAAATTATAGACTGATCATTTCTTTGTCAGTGGGCAAACGTACAAAATCAGCAGGGGATCAAATACTTTTTTCCCTCACTGTATACTGTGGCATCAACCTCTGGCCCTGCTGACATGGATCTTGTGTAGGGTGTGGAGTTTGTGCTGTGTATGGGGTTGTGTGTGGTATACTGTGTGTGTGTATGGTGTGTATGTTGTGTTGGTGTTGTGTGTGTTTGTCAATGTATTGATGTGTATAGTAGTTATGTGTGTGATGGGTTTGTGTGGCATTGATGTGTGTGGTGTAGATGGTGTGCGTGGTGTGTCCACGGTGTGTGCGGTGTAGATCGAGCGCTTCTACACTCACGTACTGGAGAGGGAGAAGTCTCGCACCGAGGGGCAGCCCTCACTCCTGTCCCCCGAGGAGTTTGCCTTTGCCATCGAGTGAGATCCCTCACCTCATTACACCTCCTTCAGCAACACCTCACACATCATGAGCACATTACGTCACCACCATACCTCATTGTCAACACACGCTTAAGCATAGACAAAAGACAGAGACAAAGATCCCCCATGTAGCCCACATGGACTATCGGGGCAAGTGCTGTAAGCGAGCACCAATGAAGGCTGGCACAGCACATAAATGGGTGGGTGGCCAGAACTGCGCCTGGCCATCTTAGTGTCCCTAATCGCGATATTTACACACCTCACCAGGTACTAATTTGAGGGCAAGCCAAAGACCGGTTCAAATATTCACCACTCTTATTGACCATGAGCGAGAATTGAACTCGGTTTGCCGGGTTTGTAGCGAAGTGCGCTCTACCTCTCCCTGCACTCAATCAGCTCATGTCATCACATACACCTTACACTACACCTCACACCACATCATCACCACCACACCTAACATTACCAGACATCACATCACACCACTTCATCACCTTATCTCACACCTCATCATCACGTCTCTCACCTCGCACTATCTACGCCTCCTTAAAAGTCTCACACCATCTCCATCTTCGCACATCTCACACCTCATCACCATAAGCACTCATCATCAAACACTTCATCATCGTCACATCACCACACATCACACCTCATAATCCAATCATATTTCCCACCATGCACTCCTATTGCCACAATTTCACACGCAAAAACACCTCATCACAATCACACATCACTGCTCGTGATCATCACATCATCCATACCTGCTCCCCCATTACTTTACCGCATCACGCATCAGACCTCACTTTAACCAATCGATATGTCACCACCCTCCAACTCACACAGACAGATCCTCTGTGAAGTCATACAGACTGGGCTTTGTTCATCTGGGCTTTGGTGTGTGCATGTGTAATGAGCGACTTCCGCGACACATCGTGTAGAGGGTACTTTTTCTTTGATTACTCACACTGGGCACAACACAGGCCAACACTTATTCTTCCTCACACTGAGTACAACACTCGATATTAACGTCTCTACTAGCTACACACAGCCGATCACTCGGTGTGGTCCCATTGCCCTCACTCGGCTACACTGCTGGCTGGCGGCATGACGATGACGGCGATGGAAACCATGCAGGAGATCTTTCATGTGGCCGGATGACGGAAAGAGATGTCGGCGAGCAACGACGCAGCCTGGACCCAAGACCCCACACACGAGCCCCGGGTCCGCTCCCCCTTATATCCCCCCAGGTGTGGCTAGGCCCCGCCTCCGGCCACGCCCTCTCGTGGAACCTTCGAGCAGGTTCCGGGAGTATCTCGGCTAGCCCCACCTGTTACCTTTGCCCCAGATACACCTCCTTCTCTGATTGGTTGGTACTTCACCGTGCCTGTACCCGTGATTCCCTTTCCGGCCAACAGGTGTCACCCTGTCATTACACATGTATACACGTGTTGAGTGTATACATCTGTCTTTGTGTTCAAATCTGTATATGTAAAAGTAACAGCTCTTTCCTTATATGCCACATTTACTGAACTCTTTCAGTTGGTTGTTCTAAACGACAATGCGACCACACATCTAGTTCTTGTGAAATGGTGGTGGTGTAGACATTGTTAAGATATGTTGTGCGTGCAGTGCTGGACACTTTTGTGCTGCAAAATATACGTGTGTATATGTGCACACATGTCTCTGTATTTGTACACGTGTGTGAGAAAAGTTGCAGTGGGGTGCAGTGGTCCAGTGGTTAGCGTACCGTGCTGTGAACCCAGTGACCCAAGTTTGATTTCCACTCGCAGCCAACATCCGTGACAACTGAACCGGTCCTGGGCTTTCCCGAGGTCAACTTGCCCTTAAACGAGTACCTGGTGCGATGTGTCAGCATAAACACCGGGGAGACAAAGGCAGCAGAACCTTGTGCTGACCACCCACCCTCTTGTGTGCCATGTTGGTAGCCCTTGCTGCGACAGCCTGTTAAAGCTTAAAGGGGGATCTTTGTGTTTGTGATTGAAGGTATGCTTCCAACATGGAAAGGTTCCTGAAGTCTGTGGCTCTGAGGCACATGCCACCCAACCTACAGGCCCTGGACCTCAGCAAAGCAGGTGAGTCTGAGAGAGAGGGGAGTGGTAGTGTATCGGTTAGCGCACTGCACTATGAACCTGGCAACCCGAAGTAAATTCCTGCTTACGGCCAATACAAGTGATGATTATCTGAATCGGTTGTGGGCCTCTCCCCTAGGTTGAATGCGATGTGTAAAGGTCGCCACTGGGGAGAGAGGGTGACTGGACGTGGTGTTGGCCACCCAACCCCTCGTGTGCCATACCAGCTTGCTAAAAGCACTTTCCCCAACAGTCTGTTAAGGTTGTACAGTGAGGAAAAAAAGTATTTGATCCCCTGCTGATTTTGTACGTTTGCCCACTGACAAAGAAATGATCAGTCTATAATTTAATGGTAGGTTTATTTGAACAGTGAGAGACAGAATAACAACAAAAAATCCAGAAAAACGCATGTCAAAAATGTTATAAATTGATTTGCATTTTAATGAGGGAAATAAGCATTTGACCCCTCTGCAAAACATGACTTAGTACTTGGTGGCAAAAACCCTTGTTGGCAATCACAGAGGTCAGACGTTTCTTGTAGTTGGCCACCAGGTTTGCACACATCTCAGGAGGGATTTTGTCCCACTCCTCTTTGCAGATCTTCTCCAAGTCATTAAGGTTTCGAGGCTGACATTTGGCAACTCGAACCTTCAGCTCCCTCCACAGATTTTCTATGGGATTAAGGTCTGGAGACTGGCTAGGCCACTCCAGGACCTTAATGTGCTTCTTCTTGAGCCACTCCTTTGTTGCCTTGGCCATGTGTTTTGGGTCATTGTCATGCTGGAATACCCATCCATGACCCATTTTCAATGCCCTGGCTGAGGGAAGGAGGCCCCGTCCATCGTCCCTTTGATGCGGTGAAGTTGTCCTGTCCCCTTAGCAGAAAAACACCCCCAAAACATGTTTCCACCTCCATGTTTGACGGTGGGGATGGTGTTCTTGCGGTCATAGGCAACATTCCTCCTCCTCCAAACACGGCGAGTTGAGTTGATGCCAAAGAGCTCCATTTTGGTCTCATCTGACCACAACACTTTCATCCGGTTGTCCTCTGAATCATTCAGATGTTCTTTGGCATACTTCAGACGGGCATGTATATGTGCTTTCTTGAGCAGGGGGACCTTGCAGGCGCTGCAGGATTTCAGTCCTTCACGACGTAGTGTGTTACCAATTGTTTTCTTGGTGACTATGGTCCCAGCTGCCTTGAGATCATTGACAAGATCCTCCCCTGTAGGTCTGGGCTGATTCCTCACCGTTCTCATGATCATTGCAACTCCACGAGGTGAGATCTTGCATGGAGCCCCAGGCCGAGTGAGATTGACAGTTCGTTTGTGTTTCTTCCATTTGCGAATAATTGCACCAACTGTTGTCACCTTCTCACCAAGCTGCTTGGCAATGGTCTTGTAGCCCATTCCAGCCTTGTATAGGTCTACAATCTTGTCCCTGACATCCTTGGAGAGCTCTTTGGTCTTGGCCATGGTGGAGAGTTTGGAATCTGATTGATTGATTGCTTCTGTGGACAGGTGTCTTTTATACAGGTAACAAGGAGCACACTCTTAAAGGGAGTGCTCCTAATCTCAGCTCGTTACCTGTATAAAAGACACCTGGGAGCCAGAAATCTTTCTGATTGAGAGGGGGTCAAATACTTATTTCCCTCATTAAAATGCAAATCAATTATAACATTTTTGACATGCGTTTTTCTGGATTTTTTGAGTGCCTGGTGCAGTGTGCAAACTTCAGTATTAGGGAGACAAAGGTCGCTGGGCATGGAGTGAACAACACCTCACCCTCGTGCACCATGGTGGCTTTCATTGATGTTTTCTAGCAACACCTGCCGAAAACATTATTTTTCTCTGTGTACGTGTTTATGTATATATGTGTGGATGTGTTGTGATGGTGGCGCAGGGGATAGCATGCTGCACTACGAACCTGTGCATCCGAGTTCGATTCCCGCTCCTGGCCCACACCAGTGACGATTATCTGAACCGGTCCTGGGTCTCCCCTAGGTCCGCTCAGCCTTAAATGAGTACCTGGTGTGGTGTGTAAACATCACCACTGGGGAGACAAAGGCGACCGGGCGTTGTACTGGCCACCCACTCCCTCGTGTGCCGTGCCAGCCTTCATAGGTGCTACTTGCTTACAACATTTGCCCCGACAGTTTATTAAGACTAAACGGGGGATCTTTGTTTTTGTGGCGTGACCCCTCAGTGCCCCGGCCGGACGTGGGCGCATTCGTGTTCCTGCGTGTGCGCGAGCGGCAGGAGAACGTCCTCGTGGAGGCCGAGTCCAGCGAGCAGAGGTGACGGATTACGGGAGCAGGAGCTACACACTCAACACGTAGCACACGTAGCACGTATCAACTTGATGTCAGAATCAGAATCTTTATTTAGACTCGAGGAGGAATCCGAAGAGCTAAAAAGCTCTTTTGCACAGATGTCCAGTCAGGGAGGGTCAGCAAGTTATAACTGCAAACAATACAAAAACATGATAGGAGTGCAAAATAGAGAAAATGGTAAGCAGGTCACTAAATATAACACGTAGGCTTTTGCGACCAATGTTATTTATAATACAAGTTATTTGGAGTTAAATCATTTAAATATAAATGCGTTCTTAACCCAACCCCACCCGACACAGTAAGGTTTGTCACGTAGACAAAACTTGCCAATTAATTACTACTTTAGCACACCAGTCTCATTTATCAAGATTGTGCAAGGTCACCAAAAACAACAAAACAGTCCCAGACCACATCAAGATAACACCACACAGCAGTATTCGTTCCTTTAATAAAATGGCCACATTAACATTGAACTATGTTGTGTGACCGTGTGAGAAGTTGAGAAGTCAAGAGACCAGGATAGTCTCACTTGCAAGAGTGACACCGGGTCACCAAAACGACAAAATATAAAATTCATAATAAAGGTTTTTGGGTTAGATCGCGTTATTTATAAATGTTCGTAACCCTCCAGCACCCGACACGGCCAATCAGCAAAAAAAGTGTCACGTTGACAAAAGACAATTAGTTCACTACTTTAGCCCGCCGGTGTGTTGAAGAGTGAACTAATTGTCTTTTGTCAACGTGACACTTTCTCTGCCGATTGGCCGTGTCGGGTGGTGGAGGGTTACGACACATTTATAATTAACGCGATCTAACCCAAAAACCTTTATTATGAATAATATTGGTCGCGAAAGCCTACGTGTTAAACCAAAATATAAAATATTGCACACACATAAATAGCTGTTAAATAGGTAATGCTCTGGACATAAGTTGACTTGAGCGGATTACGTTTAGACTGATCACAGCACAATTACAATATTACAGAAATATTAAACAGATTTAGGCTGAACGTTGTACTAATATGTAAACCGACGAGGATATACAAGTCAAATGCAATTGCAAGTGAAGTTATAAAGTATCAATAGCTTCGCACATATGCACATATACACATACACACAACACTACACTACAATGAGGGAAACAAGTATTTGATCCCCTGCTGATTTTGTACGTTTGCCCATTGACGAAGAAATGATCAGTCTATAATTTTAATGGTAGGTTTATTTGAACAGTGAGAGACAGAATAACAACAAAAAATCCGGAAAAACGCATGTCAAAAATGTTATAAATTGATTTGCATTTTAATGAGGGAAATACATATTTGACCCCATCTCAATCAGATAGATTTCTGACTCCCAGGTGTCTTTTATACAGGTAACAAGCTGAGATTAGGAGCACTCCCTTTAAGAGTGTGCTCCTAATCTCAGCTCGTTACCTGTATAAAAGACACCTGTCCACAGAGGCAATCAATCAACCAGATTCCAAACTCTCCACCATAGCCAAGACCAAAGAGCTCTCCAAGGATGTCAGGGACAAGATTGTAGACCTACACAAGGCTGGAATGGGCTACAAGACCATTGCTAAGCAGCTTGGTGGGAAGGTGACAACAGTTGGTACGATTATTCGCAAATGGAAGAAACACAAAAGAACTGTCAATCTCCCTCGGCCTGGGGCTCCATGCAAGATCTCACTTCGTGGAGTTGCAATGATCATGAGAACGGTGAGGAATCAGCTCAGAACTACACGGGAGGATCTTGTCAATGATCTCAAGGCAGCTGGGACCATAGTCACCAAGAAAACAATTGGTAACACATTACGCCGTGAAAGACTGAAATCCTGCAGCGCCCGCAAGGTCCCCCTGCTCAAGAAAGCACATGTACATGCCCGTCTGAAGTTTGCCAATGAACATCTGAATGATTCATAGGACAACTGGGTGAAAGTGTTGTGGTCAGATGAGACCAAAATGGAGCTCTTTGGCATCAACTCAACTCGCCGTGTTTGGAGGAGGAGGAATGCTGCCTATGACCCCTAGAACACTATCCCCACCGTCAAACATGGAGGTGGAAACATTATGCTTTGGGGGTGTTTTTCTGCTAAGGGGACAGGACAACTTCACCGCATCAAAGGGACGATGGACGGGGCCATGTACCATCAAATCTTGGGTGAGAACCCCCTTCCCTCAGCCAGGGCATTGAAAATGGGTCGTGGATGGGTATTCCAGCATGGCAATGACCCAAAACACACGGCCAAGGCAACAAAGGAGTGGCTCAAGAAGAAGCACATTAAGGTCCTGGAGTGGCCTAGCCAGTCTCCAGACCTTAATCCCATAGAAAATCTGTGGAGGGAGCTGAAGGTTCGATTTGCCAAACGTCAGCCTCGAAACCTTAATGACTTGGAAAAGATCTGCAAAGAGGAGTGGGACAAAATCCCTCCTGAGATGTGTGCAAACCTGGTGGCCAACTACAAGAAACGTCTGACCTCTGTGATTGCCAACAAGGGTTTTGCCACCAAGTACTAAGTCATGTTTTTGCAGAGGGGTCTAATATTTATTTCCCTCCTTAAAATGCCAATCAATTTATAACATTTTTGACATGCGTTTTTCTGGATTTTTTTCTTGTTATTCTGTCCCTCACTGTTCAAATAAACCTATCTACCATTAAAATTATAGACTGATCATTTCTTTGTCAGTGGGCAAACGTACAAAATCAGCAGGGGATCAAATACTTTTTTCCCTCACTGTACATACTACACTACATACACAGCGATGATGCGTCAATTGATTTAGGACGAGCTTAAAGGAACATACATAGAATTCACGCATACAGACGACATATATAAACATACACTTACTAGACACATACAATGCTTACACACACACAACACGCTCGTCGGTGACGGCTTCTGTGCCACCACAGATCGAGGAGCCCAACACAACATACTGAACGCTCAACACCTAGCTCAATGTGGAGACACAGCCCAACATAAACGTACACCCCTAGGTCAACTCAGCCTTAAATGAAAACCCAGTGTGGTATGTATATAATGTTTATGTATGTTGAACTTCTTTTGCACCGTACGTAGCCAACCGCGTTAAACATGATTACGGAGACAAAGGTGGCCGTGCGTGGGCCTGGCCACACCACCCCTTCATATGATGTGTTCTTGATAGGTACTCGCTAACAGCACGTTCGCCACCAGTTGATGTTAGCTATACGGGGGATTGGTTGTCTTTATGTGTGCAGGGAGTTTGTGGTGGACCTGGAGGAAGGCTCGCAGCACCTCATGCGCTACTCCACCGTGGCCCCACTGCTGCTCTCCTCTTCCATCCACCTCATCTAGCCCCTTGCCTGTTCCCTGTGTATTCCTTTGTCCCCGTGTGGCCCTGTGAATCCCCGTGTCTTATCGTGTAGCCCCGTATGTTCCCGAGTATATTTGCGTATCCCCATCTCCCTCTGTATCCCTGTGTAGCCCCATATCTCCCCACATCCTCCCCATGGCTCCCTGTGATTGTGGGGGGTGGTCTGTGCTGTCACTTTCTAAATTCTGGAGCTATAATGGATGAGTGATGGATGTGGTGTTCTACATTTCTTGCTCTCGTGTGTTTGTGTGGCCATTTCAAATTGGTTTGTGTGTTTTTAGTCTGATTAAAATAACATAGCGATGAATATAACAGGTGTGGTGTGTTTTCTGTAATTGGTGTGGTGTGTGTGGTATGTCTGTGTGTGGGTGTTGTTGTGGGAGCGGTAGTGGAGCGCTACAAACCTGGTGACCCGAGTTCGAATCCCACTCATGACCAACACCAGTGATGACTATCTGAAACAGGACCTGGGCTTCTCCTAGGTCGACTCAGCCTCAAATGTGTACCTGGTACGATGTGTAAGCATCGCTACTGGTGAGACAAAGGCGGTCGGGCATGATGCTGGCCAGCCACTGTTTCGTGTGCCGTGTCGGCCGTTATAGGTGCTTTCTAACCGCACTTGCCCCAGCAGTCTGTTAAGGCTATATGGGGGATCTATGTCGGATGTGTGCACGTAGTATGTGTTGTGGTTTTGGTATGGTGTGTCGGTGTTGTGGATGCTGTGTTGTATCTATATATTGTACAGAAATACCTCTTGTAAAGGAGCTTTGTTCCCAGAGGATCCGTTAGCAAAGTCGGCCATAGAGTAGTCGTCTGGGATCCCCTGAGACCCCTCCCAATAGGAGGGGGCTGCAGGGTGTCCTAGGATCCCCCGAGACCCCCCTGGAACTCTCTGGAAGGGAGGCGTGGCCAGGGGCTGACACACCGGATGAGGTGTAAAAAAGCCGGACCTCTGGAAGGGTCCGGGGCCAATCCAAGACCGAAGCCAGAAGACCAGCTAGCCTAGAATCCTGGCACCCCTAGCCCCGCTGCTCTTGTAAGGGCCGGGACTCTGTGGGCCAGTGGTGAGACCCTGGGAACCCCCGGCCTGACGTTCTTGTAAGGGCCGGGTCCAACTGGGCCAGTGGTCGGGACCCGTACCTTGGCTGGATCGGGTCAGTGTAGCCTTCCCTAGGTCACTCGTAGCCGGAGGACTTAGAGCCCGTAGCCCCGAGTTAGGACACGCTAGTCCGGAGGCCGTACTTCCCCAGGCAGTAGGTAAAAAGGGCCGTTGCCCTAGTGAAGACTGTGACTTACCGTTTATTGGAATAAACGCGTTGCCTCTACGAGTCGTCTCTGCTCTCCATAAACCCACTACAACTGCATGCCCTGTAAACACAACCTCGTATGGGTGGTTGACATTACCAGCAGCCAGTCAGCAGTGCACTTCACCGGTCTTCCCTTTCCTACCTGCCATTGCTCAAGTTCCTCGTGATGGTAAAATTGTGTTGTGGATTTATTACCCCCATTACGTCATTCAAACGACCATCTATTGCTAGTGTCCAATTTTCTGCCGATTTTAGGAAGCCACTGGAAATATGCACTTTTAAATCTAGATTGAAAACTTTTTTTTTTAAATTGTTATCCTTCCCCCACACCTTTGAGTATTACGGTTGGCTGCGTACTGCGCGAAAGAAGTTCAACACCCGTAGTGTCGTGGGTGTGTGGGGTGTAGTGTAGTGGGAGTGTAGTGTAATGGGTGTGTGAGGGGGTGGTGTGTAGTGGGGGTGGTGAATGTCTCATCAGTTGGTTTGGCGACTGGCGGAGGGGGGCAACCTCTCCAGCAATGAAAAATGATAGGAGTAGTAAGTAAGGAGTTGTCTCCTGCTTTTTATTGGACGCGTGTGCGGCGATGGCGCAGCCATCGATCGAGGGTCGAATTCGAACCGCGTTGTGTGATCGGCTTCGCGCTCGCTGAAGGTGTTTGCCTTCAGGGAAGTCGTGTACTGTATACGCAACTGCGCACAATTCTGAGTCAATATGCTCCACAGTGGCAGTGGGGGTCGCAAAATGCCGATTTATTACTAGTAAACCCCAATGATCCGATCGAAATTAGGGAATTCGATCGGATCACTGGGGGGGCACGTGCCACCCCACCCCCCACTGGCTCCGCCAGCGTGGCAAGTGTGAGTTGTAGGCGAGCGGTAGTGCAGCGGTTAGCATGCTGCGCTACGAACCCGGCGACCCAAGTTCGATTCCCGTTCACAGTCAACACCAGTGACGATTATCTGAACCGGTCTTGGGCCTCCCTTATGTCGACTCAGCCTCAAATGAGTACCTGGTGCGATGTGTAAGTATTGTTATTGGGGAGACAAAGGCGGTCGGGCGTGGTTTTGGCCACCAACCCTCTCGTGTGTCGTGCCAGCCTTCATAGGTGTTCGCTTGCCCCAACAGTATGTTCAGGCTATTTGTCTTTGATGTCTACTGAGTTGTAGGAGAGTCGTGAGTATTAGCAGAGTAGTGGCGTCTACCGAGTGGTGAGGGGTCTGGTGAGGGTCAGGTAGATGGCTCGCGAGTGGTGTGAGAATGGTGAGTTGTCTGGTGAGAGTCAAACATCAGGTGAGTGGTGGGCGACTGGCAATGGTGTTAAATGCATGGCGTCAGGTGCATAGTAGTGGGGAGTTGAGAGGTGGAGGCAATGGTGGAGGCACCAGCAAGAGAAGGGGACTGAGCCGATTGGGAACATAACCCCGTCTGTGGGATGGGAGGCCATCGAGTATAAAATAATTTGTCAGATTACTTCACAATTTCTTCATTTTGAATATATGTCGCTATCATCGCCCCCTACATAAAAACATTTTTTTGGCAAGACCCTCCTAGATATGTCATGAGGCTGAGACTGTCGCGGGTAAACAAGTGAAACGACGTGGCGTGTTCAGCCTGTGGGTGTGTTGTGTTCGGTCTCTGCGTATTGTGGTGTATTCCAGTTTGGGTGTGTGTTTCTGAAGTGGTGTTTGTGTTCCCATGTGTGTTTTGTTACAGATGCAATTGGGTGTTCGTGTATTCATGTCGTGGGTGTTTTGCGTGTGTTTGTGTGTGGTGTGTTTTTGGTGTTCAACCAATATTAATATTTTTGCCTGCTCAAGCTGAGTGTTGTGGGGTGTTGAGTTGTGATGTGTGATTGTGTAGGTATAAGTGTGTGCTAGCCTGCATACGAGCTATCTTGGGTTCAACCAGACTGGGTTGTGTGAGTTCACGGATTGTTGCAAGATCTGGACAATATTTTTTTTACTTTTTGTTTGACCAGGCAAGGGCCACTGAGCTATAGAGCTGTTTTTTCAGAAGCTACCTGGCCACAAATGATATCTGAACGAACTGGCTGATGTTGAAATGTATAGTAGCTTATACACGTGAAGGGAAAAACCAAATATACAGGCGTCAGGGTTGGGAGCGAACTCATGACCTCCAGACCAGGCGAGGTAGTTAACATCTCATCACCGTGACACTGTCCAATCAGTGACCTCTGCCGGCAAGCAACTGCATCTGCTAGGTCACGTAGCCCGTATGCGCAGCCACCGCATGCCCAAGCAACTTCTATTTGGCTGGATAGAGGGGGCTTAATGGATACGGCATGAGGCTTGAGAAGAGATGGACTAATGTGATAGAGAAGGATGTGTAGCTGATTGGACTTGTAGACTGATCTCAGCAGTGTCAAGATCGGCCTCTGTGGAGGAAGTTCGTGAAGGACACAGCAACAACGGAGGGCAGAGGAGCGACGCTCACAACAATAAACGGAGCGCCGTGCGGCTGAAACACAGAGTTGGCACAGTGGAGAGCACAGTTGGTGCATCACTCCTCTCGCCTTGCACTGAAGTTCATGATAAAACCGTATGCAGCATCACTCAAAATCTGCCTCGGACAAAGGGATAGAGTTCGGTGTGGAACTCTATCCCTTTGCACATCCGTAACAAATGCACTTTTACTTTTAAGGCTTCTCTGTTTTGGTCAGGCTTTCGAGCAGCCCTGAGCTTGGATCCGCGCCTCTGAGTTTTTGACTTGTCTGCAAAATCTGGCACGTTATAAATGTCATTATCATCTGCCAGTCATCTCGGTCAGTCAACCCATGGCACTTTGATCTGTTCCGTGACTTGCCAGCGGGCCTTCGACACTGCACGTGGCCTCAAAGCGCACCTAGCATGGTACAAGCGCCGTGGTGACGTCACCATCACTTATTGGTGAACGGCGGTTGTTGTTGCGCTTGTCACCTCACTCATCAACCCACACACAGCAGTTTCAATATACTTTATTCACGTCTCCTTCACAATGGTGACTTGCGATTGGTGGTGATGGAGATGATCGTGTTGTTTATGGTGATGGTGGTCATGAAGGTGATGACAGTGGTGGTGTTTGTAATGTTGGTAAGAGTGGTGGTAATTTATCGTGACAGTGGTGATGAAAATTATGATGGTGGTGGTGTTGGTTTGTGATGCATTTCGGCAGTGATAATGTTGGTGAAGCTGATGGTGATATTTATTAGGGTGACGATGGTGGTGGTGATGCCATCACTCCTCCTTCTCCTCTCCGTGCGTAATGATGTAGCACAGGGATTTGTAGTCAAGATGTCCTGCTGGGTCAATGGGTGCCATGTTGCACATCTGGTCTGCCTGTGTCATATCAACATCACCACCATATTAACATCATCGCATCAACACCACTATATTCACATTATCACATCAACATCACACCATGACATCATCAACATCATTGCCACATAACATCAACACCACCACAATTTAATATCATCGTCACCACTAACATCGCAAGAACATGCAACAACAAACATTATCCACTTAATTGTCGGTGATGTTACCACAGCTTTTGTGCCAGGCTAGGTGTGCGGTGTGCTGCGTTTGTGATGAGTGTATGCAATGGGGAGTGTTTGTGATGAGGTGTGTTGTGTTTGTGTGATAAGGTGTGCTGTGACGAGGTGTGTCGCATCACCTCTGTGGCTGTGAACCTGTCGGCTTGTGTCATGAGCAGTCTCTTCATTCTGAGTGAAACAACAAAGACAAAGATCACCCGTGTAGCCCTCAACAGACTGTTGGGGCAAGTGCTGTTAGCGAGCACCTATGAAGGCCGACACGGCACACGAGGGGGTGGGTGGCCAGCACCACGTCCGACCGCCTTTGTCTCTCCAGTATCGGTGCTTACACAACTCACCAGACTCATTTTAGGCTGAGTCAAGACTGGTTCAGATAATCGTCACTGGTCGTTGAGCGGGAAAACAAACTCGGGAGGCCGGGTTTGTAGCGCAGCACACAAAATGCTGCGCCACACATCACAACACAAACATCACACACAACACGTGACAATAACAACACACAACTGGAGGTGATGGTGTTGTTAGTGGTGGTGGTGATGTGATGATGAGTTACACTCTGGCAATGGCAAGGTGACGGTGTTGACACGATGGTGATGATGTTAATGATGGTGATTATGGTAGTGATGGTGATGATCAGAGTGGTGATTATGGTGTGTGGACGCACTCGTCTGCGTTGATGTGCCCTTTCCCATCGGGGTCGAAAATCTTGAACGCGTTCATGATGGTCTCCTCAGGGTCCGTGCCTGTGGGTGACAGCGGGGTCATAGTGGGGTCGGGGTGTGGTGGTGAGGTGAATGCTGTGCAGTGTGAGTGGTGTGAGTGGTGTACATTGTGAGTGGCGTGCGTGGTGAGTGATTGGTGTGCGTGGTGTGCATGGTGAGTGGTGTGCGTGGTGAGTGATAGGCGTGAGTGGTGTACATGGTGAGAGGTGTGCGTAGTGAGTGATAGGTGTGCGTGGTGTACATGGTGAGTGGTGTGTATAGTGAGTGATAGGTGTGCGCGGTGAGTGATTGGTGTGCCTGGTGTACATGGTGAGTGGTGTGCGTGGTGTACATGGTGAGTGGTGTGCGTGGTGAGTGATAGGTGTGAGTGGTGTACATGGTGAGAGGCGTGCGTGGTGAGTGATAGGTGTGAGTGGTGTACATGGTGAGTGGTGAGCGTGGTGTACATGGTGAGTGGTGTGTATAGTGAGTGATAGGTGTGCGTGGTGAGTGATTGGTGTGCGTGGTGTACATGGTGAGTGGTGTGCGTGGTGTACATGGTGAGTGGTGTGCGTGGTGAGTGATAGGTGTGAGTGGTGTGCGTAGTGAGTGATAGGTGTGCGTGGTGTACATGGTGAGTGGTGTGTATAGTGAGTGATAGGTGTGAGTGGTGTACATGGTGAGTGGTGTGTATAGTGAGTGATAGGTGTGCGTGGTGTACATGGTGAGTGGTGTGCGTGGTGAGTGATAGGTGTGCGTGGTGTACATGGTGAGTGGTGTGCGTGGTGAGTGATAGGTGTGCGTGGTGTACATGGTGAGTGGTGAGTGGAGGTGAGAGGTGCGAGTGCGGTGAGCGTGCTAAATGGTAGGTGAGTGGTGGTATGTGAGGTGAGAGTGGTGATTGCTTTGAGCGAGGCGAGGGAAAGGGGTGGTGAACGTGCTTTGAGAGGTGAGTGAGCAGGGTGAGTGTGTGATGTGGATGGTGGGTAGATGGTGAGTAGATGGTGAGTGGATGGTGAGGTGGTGGTGGTGGTGGTGAGGAGTGACCGTTGAGCTTCTCCCCGAAGAGCGTGAGGAACATGGTGAAGTTCACCGGGCCACTCGCCTCGGCCAACATCGAGGTCAGCTCCTCCTCCTGCACGTTCAGCTTGCCTGGAGACACGAGGGGACACATGGGGGGACATGCGGCGACACACGGGGGAGACACGGGGATACGCAGGAAGAGGCGGGCACACATGAGGAGAGACTCGAGGACACGCGGGGAGACGCAGGGACGAACGGGGAGACGTGGGGGGACACGGGTAGACACGCGGGGGACATGTTGATACGGGGAGACAAGACAGATATGAGGACGGTGTTTCATGGCGGCACACGGGAGGTACATGGAGACACAGCAATGAGGACACGGATGTGGGGCTCGCAGAGTGCGCCTGGAGTTTGAGGGAGCGTCTGCTGCCAGCCACTTATCCCGTTGGGGAACACGGGCAGCGTGGGGGCAGCTTGGGGGCAGCGTGGGAGTAGCAGCGCCTGCTTCACGTGGGAGTAGCAGCGCCTGCTTCACGTGGGGGCAGCGTGGGAGTAGCAGCGCCTGCTTCACGTGGGAGTAGCAGCGCCTGCTTCACGTGGGGGCAGCGTGGGAGTAGCAGCGCCTGCTTCACGTGGGAGTAGCAGCGCCTGCTTCACGTGGGGGCAGCGTGGGAGTAGCAGCGCCTGCTTCACGTGGGAGTAGCAGCGCCTGCTTCACGTGGGGGCAGCGTGGGAGTAGCAGCGCCTGCTTCACGTGGGAGTAGCAGCGCCTCCTTCACGTGGGAGTAGCAGCGCCTGCTTCACGCGGGGGCAGCTTGGGGGCAGCAGCGCCTGCTTCACGTGGGGGCAGCTTCTACCCCCCCCCCCCCCGCGCGTGGAGCCGTCACTGCGAGCCATCAACAACCACAACGTTGGGGTCACACGGAGAGACACGGGGAGACACGGAGATAGCGAGAGACACGGGGAGACACACGGAGATAGCGAGAGACACGGGAGACACACAGAGATAGCAGAGACACGGGGAGACACACGGAGATAGCAGAGACACGGGGAGACACACGGAGATAGCGAGAGACACGGGGAGACACACGGAGATAGCAGAGACACGGGGAGACACACGGAGATAGCGAGAGACACGGGGAGACACACGGAGATAGCGAGAGACACGGGGAGACACGGAGATAGCAGAGACACGGGGAGACACACGGAGATAGCAGAGACACGGGGAGACACACGGAGATAGCGAGAGACACGGGAGACACACGGAGATACTGAGACATTGGGAGACACGGAGAGAGCGGGAGACACGGAGCTAGCGAGACATTGGGAGACACGGAGATAGCGAGACACACGGGGAGACACACGGAGATGCCGAGACACGGGGAGACACACGGAGATAGCAGAGACACGGGGAGACACACGGAGATAGCGAGAGACACGGGGAGACACACGGAGATAGCAGAGACACGGGGAGACACACGGAGATAGCGAGAGACACGGGGAGACACACGGAGATAGCGAGAGACACGGGGAGACACACGGAGATAGCAGAGACACGGGGAGACACACGGAGATAGCAGAGACACGGGGAGACACACGGAGATAGCGAGAGACACGGGAGACACACGGAGATACTGAGACATTGGGAGACACGGAGAGAGCGGGAGACACGGAGCTAGCGAGACATTGGGAGACACGGAGATAGCGAGACACACGGAGATGCCGAGACACACGGGGAGACACACGGAGATGCCGAGACACACGGGAGACACACGGAGATAGCGAGTCGAGACGCACCAAGAGAGGCGTATGTCTCCTTGAGGTCGGATTTTCCAATGGCTCCGTCACGATCCTGGTCAATCATCGTGAATGCCTGGGAGTCACCACCACCACATCAGCGACACACACAGACACACACACAGATACACACATACACACAGATACACACAGACAGAAACACACACAGACACACACAGACAGATGCACAGACACAAATACAACAACAACAACCGCCATTCGCCACTAAGTGGCTGTGACGTCACCACGACGCTTGTGCCAGGCCATGTGCACCTTGAGACCACGTGAAGTGTGGAACGCCCGCTGGCAGGAGGTCACGGGGCAGACCCAAGTGCCACAGGTCGACTGACTGAGATGACTGGCTGATGCACCACCTGTGCCCCCTACTGTGCTAACCTGCCGTGCTTTAACTACCCGGTGCTCCGCTCGTTGTTGTGAGCGTCACTCCTCCGCCCTCCGTTGTTGTTGGAGGGCGACTGCCTCCAACTGCCCAGTAGCATCCTTCACGAGCCTCCTCCACAGAGGCCGATCTTGACACCGCTGGTACCAGTCATCGGCAAGTCCACTCAGCTCCACGTCCTCCTGTACCACATCACTCCATCTCTTCTCTAGCCCGTGCTGCGCCCGTTTAGCCCCCTCGATCCGGTCGAACAAACGCTGTTTCGACATGCGGTGGCTGGGCATAAGGGGTACATGACCCAGCCAACGCAGCCTTGCCTGCCGGAGGAACTCACCGGTGGGACCTTGCCCAGATCTTTCAAGGATTTGTGAGCTCCTCACACAATCCAGCCTGGTTAAACCCAGGATGGATCGTAGGCAGGCTAGCCTAAATGTTTCTAACCGGTGAAGATGTTCCATTAGGGGGGTCCACGTTTCGCAAGCGTATAGAAGGGAGGGAATGACCGTGTCCGAGAAGACCTGAAGCTTAGTGCGGAACGACAGACCAGGTAGCTTCCACACAGCGTTACGCAACCGATGAAAAGATATTGCCGCTCGACTGATTCGGAGTGAGACCTCTGCTGTTAAACTGGAGCCAGTCATAAGCACACTGCCCAGGTATGGGAAACTCTCCACTCTCTCCACAACTGCCCCATCACCGATTGGGAGTTGGGGGGGTGGAGTGTCCGATGGTACAAAATACCCAGGAAGGTGCTTAGTTTTTATGAGGCTGATGGTAAGGCCCCATCTCTTAGTGGCACGCTCCAGTCTCAGCAGCAGCGTCTCCAACTCCTCCTCTGAATGAGCAGCTATTACTAAATCATCGGCATACATAACGTGGTTGAGCAATAGGGATACACACAGATACACACACAGACATGCACACAGACACACACCATGCTGCTGGTGTCGTGTGGTGTGTTGCGTGATGAGGTGTCTACTGGTACAGTACTGGTGGTGGTGTGTGTTGTGTGACGAGGTGTGGAGTAGTAGTAGTGATGATTGTGTGTTGTATGACTAGGTGTGTAGTCTGTGTGTCGTGTGACGAGGTGTGTAGTGTGTGTAGTGTGACGAGGTGTGGAATAATAGTAGTGATGATTGTGTGTGTTGTGACGAGGTGTGCAGTGTGTGGGTGTGTGACGAGGTGTTTAGTGTGTGGGTAGTGTGACGAGGTGTGTAGTGTGTGTAGTGTGACGAGGTGTGTAGTGTGACGAGGTGTGTAGTGTGACGAGGTGTGTAGTGTGACGAGGTGTGTAGTGTGTGTGTGACGAGGTGTGTAGTGTGTGTGATGTGTGACGAGGTGTGTAGTGTGTGGGTGTGTGACGAGGTGTGTAGTGTGTGTGTGTTGTGTAACGAGGTGTGTAGTGTGTGTGTAGTGTGACGAGGTGTGTAGTGTGTGTTGTGACGAGGTGTGTGGTGTGTGTGTAGTGTGACGAGGTGTGTAGTGTGTGTGTAGTGTGACGAGGTGTGTAGTGTGTGTGTAGTGTGACGAGGTGTGTAGTGTGTGTGTTGTATGACGAGGTGTGTAGTGTGACGAGGTGTGTAGTGTGTGTGTAGTGTGACGAGGTGTGTAGTGTGTGTGTAGTGTGACGAGGTGTGTAGTGTGTGTGTTACGTGACGAGGTGTGTAGTGTGTGTGTTATGTGACGAGGTGTGTAGTGTGACGAGGTGTGTAGTGTGTGTGTGTAGTGTGACGAGGTGTGTAGTGTGTGTAGTGTGACGAGGTGTGTAGTGTGTGTGTAGTGTGACGAGGTGTGTAGTGTGTGTATTATGTGATGAGGTGTGTAGTGTGTGTGTAGTGTGACGAGGTGTGTAGTGTGTGTGTGTTATGTGACGAGGTGAGTAGTGTGTGTGTAGTGTGACGAGGTGTGTAGTGTGTGTGTAGTGTGACGAGGTGTGTAGTGTGTGTGTTATGTGACGAGGTGTGTAGTGTGTGTAGTGTGACGAGGTGTGTAGTGTGTGTGTGTTATGTGACGAGGTGTGTAGTGTGTGTGTAGTGTGACGAGGTGTGTAGTGTGTGTGTTATGTGACGAGGTGTGTAGTGTGTGTGTTGGTGACGAGGTGTGTAGTGTGTGTGTTATGTGACGAGGTGTGTAGTGTGTGTGTAGTGTGACGAGGTGTGTAGTGTGTGTGTTATGTGACGAGGTGTGTAGTGTGTGTGTTATGTGACGAGGTGTGTAGTGTGTGTGTTGTATGACGAGGTGTGTAGTGTGACGAGGCGTGTAGTGTGTGTAGTGTGACGAGGTGTGTAGTGTGTGTGTGTTATGTGACAAGGTGTGTAGTGTGTGTGTAGTGTGACGAGGTGTGTAGTGTGATGAGGTGTGTAGTGTGTGTTTAGTGTGACGAGGTGTGTAGTGTGTGTGTGTAGTGTGAGGAGGTGTGTAGTGTGTGTGTGTTATGTGACGAGGTGTGTAGTGTGTGTGTTATGTGACGAGGTGTGTAGTGTGTGTGTTATGTGACGAGGTGTGTAGTGTGACGAGGTGTGTAGTGTGTGTGTAGTGTGACGAGGTGTGTAGTGTGTTATGTGACGAGGTTTGTAGTGTGTGTGTAGTGTGACGAGGTGTGCAGTGTGTGGGTGTGTGACGAGGTGTTTAGTGTGTGGGTAGTGTGACGAGGTGTGTAGTGTGTGTAGTGTGACGAGGTGTGTAGTGTGACGAGGTGTGTAGTGTGACGAGGTGTGTAGTGTTTGTGTGACGAGGTGTGTAGTGTGTGTGATGTGTGACGAGGTGTGTAGTGTGTGTGTGTTGTGACGAGGTGTGTGTGTAGTGTGACGAGGTGTGTAGTGTGTGTGTAGTGTGACGAGGTGTGTAGTGTGTGTGTAGTGTGACGAGGTGTGTAGTGTGTGTGTTGTATGACGAGGTGTGTAGTGTGACGAGGTGTGTAGTGTGTGTGTAGTGTGACGAGGTGTGTATGTGTGTGTGTAGTGTGACGAGGTGTGTAGTGTGTGTGTTACGTGACGAGGTGTGTAGTGTGTGTGTTATGTGATGAGGTGTGTAGTGTGTGTGTAGTGTGACGAGGTGTGTAGTGTGTGTTTAGTGTGACGAGGTGTGTAGTGTGTGTGTTATGTGACGAGGTGTGTAGGGTGTGTGTTATGTGACGAGGTGTGTAGTGCGTGTGTGTTATGTGACGAGGTGTGTAGTGTGACGAGGTGTGTAGTGTGTGTGTAGTGTGACGAGGTGTGTAGTGTGTTATGTGACGAGGTGTGTAGTGTGTGTGTAGTGTGACGAGGTGTGTAGTGTGTGTGTAGTGTGACGAGGTGTGTAGTGTGTGCTATGTGACGAGGTGTGTAGTGTATGTGTTATGTGACGAGGTGTGTGGTGTAACGAGGTGTGTGGTGGTGGTGGTGCTGCTGGGAAGGTCACCTCCTTGAACTCCTGGATCTGGTTTTGCTCGAACATGGAGAAGACGTTGGAGGAGGCTCTCTGTGGCTTCCCCTCCTTGCGCCGGCTCTTTCTGCTCGCCTGCAGCAGCAACAACAACAACAAGCACCACAACATCACCACCACCACCATAACCATCAACCACCACCACAACTGGCACCTCTGCCACTACAACTAATTTCCCGTGCGTGATCTCCGCCACTGCGGTGATGAGCTACCGTGCGTGGCCAGGTTGCCTTAACCTAGTAAATACAATATACACCAACAACACCACTACAATCACCATCGTGTCACACACACCATCAACCTCTACCACAAACACCATCACCCCTACCACAAACACCATCACAACTGCTGCAACCATCAACACAAACTAACATACCATCATATCGCATTACCACAATCACTATCACGTTACAATTACCACAAGCGGAGAGCACATGACCACCACTATTGTCACCACCACACTCATCATTACCACCACCACCACACTCACCACCACCACACTCATCATTACCACCACCACCACCACACTCATCACGACCACCACAACCACACTCATCACCACCACCACCACACTCATCACCACCACCACCACCTCCACACTCATCATTACTACCACCACCACCACACTCACCACCACCACACTCATCACGACCCCCACACTCATCATCACCACCACCACACTCACCACCACCACCTCACTCATCACCACCACCACCACCACACTAATAACCACCACCACACTCATCATTACCACCACCACACTCATTACCACCACCACCACCACACTCATCACCACCACCATCACACTCATCATTACCACCACCACAATTATTACCACCACCACCACCACACTCATCACTACCACCACCACACTCATCATCACCACCACCACCACCAAGGGGTTCACCATAGCGCGCTCGGTGCGGGCTGGAGGTCGCCTGCGGACGGTGACGGGGAGCGTGGGGAGCGAACTCTTATAGTGGCTACGGGAGAGGGGTCAGAGAGAGCGGACAGGAGATTGGGGAGAGGGAGGAGAGAGGGAGGAGAGAGATGGGGCAGAGGGGAGGGAGTTGTAGGAACGCAGATTGTAGATAAGGGAGGAGATGGAGAGGGGACAGATTAGGAGAGGAGAGGGGAGGAGAGAGGTCAGAGTGGGAGGGCAGGGGAGAGGTGATGGGAGAGGAGAGGGAATAACGGGGAGATAGAACAGAGGGGAAGATAGAGGGAGGAGAGAGGAGGGCGGGAAGGGAGAGAGAGAGAGTCGAGGGAACGAGAGATATTGGGGAGAGAGGGAGGAGAGCGATTATTGGGGGAAAGAGTAAAAATGGGACAGGAATGTGGAGAGAGAAGGGAGAGATCAGGGGACGAATTGGAGACGGGGAGATGGAGGGCAGAGGAAATATCGTGGAGATGGAGGAGAGTGGAGCAGGGGGTGGCATCTGGGGGGAGGGGCTGCACCGCTCCCGTTCCTTCCCCCGACATCGCGGCCTGCGCCAGGGCTTTCGGCGAGCTCCTATTAAGGCAGCGAGGGAGGGAGCGGAGGAGATTCCCACTCTCTCTCCTGCCTCTTCTGACTCCGCGTGCCGCTGATGATGTCGTCCACTCCCAGGCACTCACTTCAGGCCGAGTGGACCTAGGGGAGAGACAGATACCGATAAGAGTTTCCACTCGTGGGCGGCCTGAAATGGAATCCGTGATAAGGTGTAAAATAAACAAAGGTCCCCGTATAGCCTTTAACAGACTGTGGGGCAAGTGCTGTTAGCAAGCAGCGTGTCTGTGTGTCTGTGTCGGCGCGGCACACGAGGGGGTGGGTGGCCAGCCCCACGCCCGACCGCCTTTGTCTCCCTAGTGACGATGTTTACACACCGCACCAGATACTCATTTGAGGCTGAGTCGACCTAGGGGAAGCCCAGGACCGATTCAGATAATAGTCACCGGTGTTAGCCGTGAACAGGAATTGACCCCGGGCCACCGGGTTCGTAGCGCACTATGCTAACCGCTGCACTACCACTCCCTATACACACACACCTACACACTGATACACCTACACACCCCTACACACCCCACACACACCTACACACCTACACACACCTACACACCTCATACACCCCACACACACCTACACACTCCACACACCTACACACCTATACACACACCTACACACACCTACACGCCTCATACACCCCACACACACCTACACACTCCACACACCTACACACCTACACACCTCATACACCCCACACACCTATACACCTCATACACCCCACACACTCCACACACCTACACACCTCATACACCCCACACACACCTACACACCGACACACCTACACACCCCACACACCCCGCACACCTACACACCTCATACACCCCACACACCCCACACACACCTCATACACCCCACACACCTCATACACCCCACACACAGCGACACACCTACACACCTCATACACCCCACACACCCCACACACCCCACACACACCTACACACCTCATTCACCCCACACACACCTACACACCGACACACCTACACACCTCATACACCCCACACACCCCACAACAACAACCGCCATTCGCCACTAAGTGGCGGTGACGTCACCACGACGCTTGTGCCAGGCTATGTGCACCCTGAGGCCACGTGAAGTGTCGAACGCCCGCCGGCAGGAGGTCACGGGGCAGACCCAGGTGCCACGGGTCGACTGACTGAGATGACTGGCTGATGCACCACCTGTGCCCCCTACTGTGCCAACCTGCTGTGCTTTAGCCACCCGGCGCTCTGCTCGTTGTTCTGTGCGTCGCTCCTCCGCCCTTCGTTGTTGTTGGAGGGCGACTGCCTCCAACTGCCCAGTAGCCTCCTTCACGAGCCTCCTCCACAGAGGCCGATCTTGACACCGCTGGTACCAGTCATCGGCAAGTCCACTCAGCTCCACGTCCTCCCGTACCACATCACTCCATCTCTTCTCTAGCCCGTGCCGCGCCCGCTTAGCCCCCTCAATCCGGCCAAACAAAAGCTGTTTCGGCATGCACACACACCTACACACCGACACACCTACACACCTCATACTCCCCACGCACACCTATACACACCTGCAAACCCCACACACCCCTACAAACCCCACATACACCACACAATCCTATGCACACCAACACAAACCACGTACATCTATACACCCCTACACACACCCCACACACCCAAACACACCTGAAATACACCCCTACACACACTCTACACACCCCCCCCACACCCCCACACAACCCACTAAGTGACGGTGACGTCACCACGGCGCCTGTGCCAGGCCAGACGCACTTTGAGGCCACGTGAAGTGTCGAAGGCTCGCTGACAGGAGGCCTCGGGATAGAGCAAGGTGCCATGGGTTGGCTGACTGAGATGACTGGTAGACCCTACCGTGCTAACGTGCTGCATTTTAGCCGCCTGGCGCTCCGCTCGTTGCCGTGAGCGTCGCTCCTCTGCCCTCCTTTGTTGCTGAAGGGGGACTGCCTCTAACTGCCCAGTCGCGACCTTCACGAGCCTCCATAGAGGCCGATCTTGACACCGCTGGTACCAGTTGCCAGCAAGTCCACTCACTTCCACATCCTCCCATACCCCATCCGTCAATTTCTTTTCCAGCCCATGTCGTGCCCGTTTAGCCCCCTCTATGCGGCCAAACAGAAGCTGCTTGGGCATGCAGTGGCTGGGCATGCGGGCTGCGTGACCCAGCCAACGCAGCCTTGCCTGCTGGAGGAGCGCACTCGTGTCCAGATCGTTCAAGGATTTGTGAGCTCCCCACACAATCCATTCTGAATGGTTCTAACTGGTACAGATGTTCCATTAGAGGCGTCCATGTTTCACCCCACCTCTTAGTGGCACACTCCAGGTTCAGCAGCAGCACCTCCAACTCCTCTAAGTGAAAAGCAATTCATCTTCTTTGGTTCTTTCGGTAAAGTCACGTAGAATGAGAATAAAATAATACATTGATAAAATAAAATAACACAATAATATTCTCACGACGTTTCGGCCACATTCTACGTGACTTTACCGAAAGAACCAAAGAAGATGAATCCTTGCAGTCACGAAAGCTTTAAATTGAAAAGTAATTACCAGATCATCAGCATACATAACATGGGTTTACCAATCGGGAGCCATCCCTCGAACACTCGAGTATCGATCAGCCTCCAGATGTATCTTTACCAGATGGAAATTCCTCTGGTACAGCCATGGAAAGCTTCTCGAACTATGTGGTCAAAGATGATGTTAAATAATGTGGGAGCCAGTGGACATCCCTATCGCACCCTAAGGTGAACATGGAATGGCTCCGACTCCTGGCCACGTAGCTTTACCTGGGCCTGCTGCCCACCATAATTAAGGCCCTTAATGTTTGTAAGCACGAAGAACTGCCCACAGCCCTGGCCTGTTGATGGTATCATAGGCCTTGACTAGGTCAATAAAGCAGATATATAGGTCTTGTTGGAATTCCCTACACCTCTGCTATAGCAGACGGACAGAGAATATGGCATCTGTGCAGGACCGACCATTCATGAAACCACATTGAGGCTCCGCAAGCCTCTCCTCAGCGTGCCTGGCAAGGCGATGTTGAATAATCCTTGCCATGAACTGGCGCAGATGTAACACCGCCACACAAACACGCGACACAACTGACACCCGCAGGCGTGCGCTGACGCGCGTCTCCCACACGCGCACTCCGATAAGGGCGAGTGGGTGAGCGAGCCCGCGGTATTGATAGCGGCGTTGGCTTCACGTAGATGCGCCGGAGAGTACGCCGCTCCAGTCCACTACCACTTGTTACCAGATAAGTAAGGCCCACTGAGATGCTATACAGCTCTTTTTCAAACGCGACCTGGCCACAAATGACAGCTCAACGAAGTGGCTTGTCGTTCTAAATATGGAGGTAAAAATCGGAGGACCCGGAGAAAAATGTATGTGACCATGAGGAGAACGTGCAAACTCCAAATAAAAGACGGCGTCCGAGTCGGGATCAAACCCACGTAGCTCTTGCATACCAGGCGAGCGAATTAAAATCTCTCCACCACCATCACAGCCCAGCGACCACACCCAGCACAGCCCACATCACATACAAAGACAAAGATCCCCCGTATAGACTCGACACACTTTTGGGGCAAGTACTGTGAGCGAGCCCCTATGAAGGTCGGCACAGTAGACGAGTGGGTGGATGACCAACACCACGCCCTACCCGCCACGGTCAAGAAAAGGTGACAAAGAATTTGTCGTTGCAGCAACAACTTTTTAGAATAACCTTGTTTCATCGAACATCGTCAAACTTTATTAAAAAAATACCTAAAGCAGAAGATTAATGCTGGATGCAACTGTATTTGCAAATGTGGTTTATAACTTTCATCTTTACCCGTGTTTCGATCGTAAAATAATTTACGTGCAATTTTATTGAGGGACGATGTGTTGTCTTGCTGTGGTCTGGGACTGTTTTTGCTGTTGTTTTGCTGCCTTGCCCAAGCTTGGGAACTGGTATACTTATGCCATTTGAACTTATATACTTTATCTATTTTCTGCATGTATTTTTTTGATTGAGTTCCTTTCCTATATCTTACACTCTGATGGTTTCTTTTGTATCGTTTGTCCTGCCTCAACCGGACATCTGTGCAACAGAGCTTTACAGCTCATTGGATTTCTCCAGGATAAATAAATATGCTGATTCTGATATAAATATTCTGATTCGGATTTTCCACAGTGGCGATGTTTACACACCACACCAGGTACTAATGTAATAAACGACTTCCACGACGACTCTTGACTGGTGTTTTTATTCAACAGAATGTCTGCACAGCGCTGCGCTCTCTCTCTCTCTCTGGGTAGTCGCTTCGCTTCGCCCGCTGCCTTGACGATCCGTCTCCGTCGTTTACTAATTCAAGCTCATGGACATGCTTATTTCTCCAGCACCCACCCGTCCCAGCACGCCACAAACCCTCTCCCCCCCCCCCCCGTGAACTCCTGCAGCCACAACTCTACAACCCCCCCCCCCGTGCCTATATAAAGCCACAACAGCAGATCATTCTTTATCACCTGATGACGGACGCTTGGGTTGCGACCGAAACGTCGTGTTTCTTTAATGTTTTCTATCTACGTGACTTTACCGAAAGAACCAAAGAGTATAGCTAGTGTTAAATAATGTGGGAGCCAGAGTGCATCCTTGTCGCACGCAAAGGTGAGCAGGGAATAGCTCTGACGCCTGGCCATGTAGCTTTACCAAGGCCTGCCCACCACAATGAAGGTCCTTAATGATTGTGAGCAGAGAGGCAGGCACTCCAAAAGCACGATGAATAACCCAGAGCCCAGACCTTTATTGACCAGGTCAATAAAGCAGAGATGTAGGTCCTGTTGGAATTCCCTACACCTCGACTATAGCAGACGGACAGAAAATATGGCATCATGTGGGGGCCAACGTCTGCCTCCCTGCTCCCTGCGAGCGGGCGGGGCGCGACGTCCCCCCCACTCTCCCCTCCTCCTCGTCGGCCGCCTCTCGCCGGGTCCCCGCCAATCAGGTGATAAGCCCCCCCACGCCAGCGCCCCCTCTGAGGGACATCGCTAATCGGCTGGCTCACCACCGCCCGGGGTTATCTCGCACACACCCACGTACACCACCACCAAAAGCGAACGTGGTGGCGTGCACGCTCGCACCCCTGCAGGCGCGTGTTTCCCCCACACGCACAAACGCGCGCGTAGACACGCGCAAGCGTCGGCGAGCGATTTTCAATTGTACCCTTCCCCCGCGTGCACACGTGCGCCCCTGCAAGGCGCTCGTTTTACACAAAGAGCTGTATGAATATACACGCGCACCTCCTTAATCCGCTTGCACACCAAGTCTAGCGTTAAAGAGCTGCGCGAATTTGCGCCTCGCCTGCTATTGTCGCTGTGTAAACATGCTGTGTTAGCGCGCGAGCTCTGGCGAGTGGGTTTATCGCACCCTGCCCCCGCCCACGCGGCACACTGCAGGCGCTCGTTTTTCACACACGCGCGCATAAACACGCGCGAGCATCGGCGGCCGTGTATGTTTTAATACACGCACGCCTCACACGTACGCTCAAATTACCAACACCACTCCGACACTTGCAGCCCTGCGCTCGCTCTCTCGCACACATCGTCTCCCCGTGCAGTCACACCACACGCAAATCACAGACACCACACCGAGATTCTACCCACACACACACAGAAATCGCACTGCACCGATACTCTGAACTAAAGTTTATTAATGGCGCAAATACACCCTATATGGAAGGGGAATATTTCGCAAGAAGGGCTTAGCCTGATTCTGCCTACGAACCCAAGCGTTATACCACGTACCTCGAAGCTGGGCTCACGGCGTCGCACGGACCACTGTGAGAGTCGGAGGGAGAAGGACGAGCGACCTCACCTATCACTGCCTTGTAGCAGCACTCGCTGCTGGCATCACACGGATGCTGCGAGCGGCTCGAGGAGGCAGGACGGCAGGGAGTGGGTCTTGACGGCCCGTAGGTTGAAGACAACTCAACTAATCGTCCCGGGGCTCCCACCTTTATTCTTTAAACTTCAAAGGCCCAGGGGGACGTCGCGCCACGCAGCCAATCATGCGCCTACCTTTCGATTTTAAACTGACGTCCCACCCTGACCTGGAGCGTTATTTTCCGTTATGCCTCGACCCATTGTCTACGCGCCCACCCTCCCCCTTTCGGATTCAGACGATTTGGCCGGTGTTGCCATCCCGCGAAATACACCTCTGCGGTGGGTCCAGGGCTTTCCCTCCCCCCTCCCCGTCTGCGCCGCCACATGCTATTTCCCCCCTGCCCCCTCCCCCGTGCTGTGAGCGTTCTCATTGCGGTTAGTCCGGTGACTTTCTGTGCGCCCATACAATTTTAAACCAATTTAGGGGCACTGCAATGTAACCTGTCCTGCGAGGGTCGGCCAATCTCCTGGCACTGGGAAACTGTGGGACTTTCACTCTAGGGGCCCTTCGGATTAAAACCCGATGTGCCAGGCAACCCCCCATCAGGACACTACGTGGCTGCGCTGCGTGTGGGTGTGTGTTTCATACGAGGTGCGGGAGGGGTTCGCTGTGTTTGCGGAGTTGCTTTGCGGTCATGGCACCACAATCGCATTGTGGGGCTCTGCAAGCTTCTCCTCAGCGTGCCTGACGAGGCAATGTTGAGTAAGGGGCCGTCCATAAATGACATCACGTGATTTTGGACGATTTTTTGCCCCCCCCTCGTCACACGGCATCACAAATGTCTGACCCCCCCCCCAGGTGCGTGACATCATTTATGGACGGCCCCTAATCCTTGCCAGGACCATTCCCGGTACATTAAGAAGGAAGATGCCCTGTAGTATTTAGTCTATGCGGTCCCCCTTCTTAAAGAGGGGGATCACCAGGGGCATCCTTCCAATCCTCCGAAACCCATCCAGTGGTCAAGACTGTTATTATGATGTCATATAGGGCAGTCGGCACACAAATACCACCGTTCCTGAGCATTTAGCTTGGGAGATCTCTGCCCAGCGCTCTTCCTGGTCCGACTCTGGATCACCTTCCGTAGTTTTTCAACAGATGGCACTTCAGCCAGCAACTCACAGAGGGTAACTACTTCTCCCATTATTTGAGGCACGGCAGCCTCAGCAGGGCATCCCCACTTTGCCCCCATGATGTTTTCTGAGTGGAGGGATTTCCCCTCCCCCAAGACCTCATAAAAATTCTCAGCAAAACTGCAAACTTGTTCCCAGGTGGCGGAGATCTGATGACCTTTCGTTCCCCGAAGGATGGCGATAGGTGTGGTGCTGCAAGTTACTTTAATGAAATTTAGCGATTTGTGATTGCGGGCAACGGAGGCAGACTCCATCTCCTCAGCAACCTGTGACGACCACTCATCCTTGCAGCAACACACGACTCTCTGATGAGCCTCATTCTCCAATATGGAATGCTGCAGATGGTGGAAATGGGCCTGTAGCTTTTACTCAGCCAGCCGGAACACTTTCTCAAACAACCAGGGTCTCTCTGGGCAGGTTTGGACTGCATAATCAAAGCAGCGATTGCAGCTGAAAGAGCCACCGGAGTAAAACCTCGCTCATTTCCCCTCGGCATCAGGAGGGGGTGGGGGGATGATGCCAACCCCAGCTGCAAGCCATGATGAAATTCTCGCTTGAAAATTTCATCAGTGAGCTGAGACCAGGCCACTGTGGGCTTGAATGGGCTTACAGATGGCACATCTTACAGATAACAAGCTAATGGTCAATGTGCAGATTAGCTACACACACAGCCCAGTCACCACAGACACACACAGGCAAACCACTACCACACACAATCACCCCAACAAGGCAGACCTGAGAAACACAACTCCTTTATTCAGCAAAATGTAGCTTGCGTCATCGTAACAGAGATCTGTCCTTACACAGGCGGACCAGGCACCATCACGCAACTCTCGAGTGAAGGAAACCCGGGCCTGCAATAATTCCCTCCTTCATTCTGCAGTGAGCCCCTCTGCGCTCTCTCGCTCGGAACGGAGATGGGAGTCAAACGTTGCAGCGTTAGCGCCTTGCAACAAATTTTCAGCTTCTCCGACCTGTAACACTACGCCACCAGTGACACACTTGGGCGTGTGACTGAAATGTGTGACACTCAGCTGAGTGACCTTGAGGTGTGTGCCACAAACATGTGGCACACTCAGGTGTGCACCACAGACATGTGACACACCCGGGTTGAGTTTTGGAAACACAGACCACACCCAGGTGAGCGTCAGGCTGGGTGGGGTGTGTGGTGGCACGTGGTGAGTGGTAAGTGTGGGACCTCTATAAACGGTGTGTGATCTCTGAGTGGGGGTGGACTCTATGGGTGGCGCTATCTCTATGGGTGGTGGTGCCATTTCTGAGTGTGGGTGGACTCTGTGGGTGGTGCTATCTCTACGAGTGTGGGTGGACTCTGTGGGTGGTGTGGCGCGCCGGGTGGCACGCCGTGGGCAGCAGGTCCTCGTGCAGGAAGCTGGCGCCATTGTTGTTGAAGGCTGCCGCCGTGTGGCCCGAGCCCCGGAGAAGCCACTTGGTGGTGAGGAGGCCATCCATGCCCACAGGGCCGCGGGCGTGGACACGCGAGGTGCTGATGCCCACCTCCGCTCCTGGAGCAGCAACATCAATAAACTATATAACCTCTGTTTACACCCGTGTGTACAGATTAGTTTATAGTTATAACTGTTCAACCCGAGCTATTAATGCCGTGATGCTTGCATTGCCTTAGTACTGTTCGCAGTTTGGCTTTCTCTGAACTAACACCAGTGGTGAGACAAGGCCATACTGGAGGCTCTCTGGTGTAAGCCAATCAGCTAAAAAAATGCATATATTATTAAAGCATGTTTATTTGAATATTTTGCCACAAGCATGTGTGATAAATCAGTATCAGAATCAGTATTTATTCTGCAAGAATCCGATGTACTATGAAGCTCTTTTCAGAAGCGTCCTGGCCACAAACGATAGCTCAACAAAGTGGCTTATCATGTGGAAATTGTATAGCAGCCAAATACTTTGAACGTGTAATGTTGATTCTAAATGTGGAGGGAAAAACTGGAGGAGCCGGAGAAAAATTCATGCAATCGGGGAGAGAAAGACATGCAAACTCCATTTATAAAGGTGTAGTGACATCGCGAGATGTCACTGTGTAGTGCCGGCCCTAGAGAGGCACAGCGTGCGGTGTAACGACATCGCGGATACCACAGTGGTATGGCTGTAGTACCGGTCCTAGAGGGGCTCGGTGAGTGCTGATTGATAGCGCTGGATTGCACCACGCTTGGCGTGCAGTGTCGGCCCTAAAGGATAGGGTGTGGGAGTGCCGGCCATAGGAATGAGGTTACTAAAGGCTATGGCACTCTGGTTGACCTGAGGGGACATGTGACCAGTTAAGTCTACAAAGGGGCCCCAAGTGGGGGCTAGGGGTGGTCACGTGGTCAGGGTCCAGATCCTGCTCGAGGATTCTGGAAGGTGGTCGTGGCCAAGGGCGGAGGCGGCCACGCCGCAGAAAATATAAGCCGGGTCCCCCAGAGGGACTGACGTTGTTGTTCATTCTGAAGCAACCTTCGTCGACGTCCGACGTTCTACCGAGTCTCCAACACGTGGACCTGGACCCGAACTGCGGTCCGGTCCGTAGTAGCAGTTACGTTGTAATTAGTGTAGTTAGCCTGGTGGTTACCACCATATGTTGTTATTCTGTTAAGGGGCAGTTACCCTGTGTGTTGGTGTTAAATAAATGTGTTGCCTCCAAGAATACGTCTGCGACTCAGTTTAACTCACTACACAGGTATCAGGGTCAGGATCGAACCCACGACCTCCTGCATACCAGGCGAGAGAGATAACATTGTGCAATGCGGCGCATTGACATCACCAACAACAATCGCCATTCGCCAATAAGTGGTGGTCAAGTCACCATGGCACTTGTGCCAGGCTAGGTGCACTTTGAGGTCACGGGACAGACCCAGCAGGTGCCATGAGTTGTGCCTCCTACTGTTCCAACTTGCTGCGTTTTATTCGCCCGATTGTCCGCTCATGGTTGTGAGCGTCACTCCTCTGCCCTCCGCTGTTGGTGGAGGGCGACTGCCTACAATTGCCCAGTAGCATCCTTCACGAAGAGCGACACTCACAACAAAGAGCTACGCGCCAGGCCTGCCTACGCTCCATCGAGGGTTCAACGAGGCTGGATTGTGGGAGTAGTTCACAAATTCTTGAAAGATCTGGTAAGTCCCATCGGCAGGCAAGGCTGCGTTGGCTGGTTCATGCAGCCCATGAAGGACGCTATTGGGCAGTTGGAGGCAGTCGACCTCCAGCAACAACGGAGGGTAGAGGAGCGGCGCTGACTACAACGAGCGGAGTGCCGGGTGGCCAAAACACAGCAAGTTGGCACAGTAGGGGGTGCAGGTGGTGCATCAGCCAGTCATCTCAGTCAACCCATGGCACCTGGGTTTGTTCCGTGACCTTCTGCCAGCGGGCATTCGACACTTCACGTGGCCTTAATGTGCACATAGTCTGGCACAAGCCCCGTGTTACCGCCACTTAGTGGTGAATAGCAGTTGTTATGTAGTGTGTAGTTGCGCGAGTGTAGTTGCAAGTGTGTAGTTGCATATCTGTAGTGTGTAGTTACGAGTGTGTAGTTGCGAGTGTGTAGTGTGTAATTGCAAGTGTGTAGTTGCGAGTGTGTAGTTGCGAGTGCATGTAGTGTGTAGTTGCGAGTGCATGTAGTGTGTAGTTGCGAGCGTGTAGTATGTAGTTGCAAGTGTGTAGTTACGTGTGTATGAGTGTTTCGTACCCAGGCCGAATCGGTATCCATCCGAGAACCTGGTGCTCGTGTTCCAGAACACGCATGCACTGTCCACATGACGCAAGAAGTACTCGGCCGTCTCCTCTGTTACACAACACACGCACACAGGACAATAAACATACAATACGCAACACACTCACCCACACAATACAAAACACACAGCACAAAACACACCACACTACACACATACAGCACAATAAACACACACAGAACCACAACCCACACACATAGCACCACAATACAGTTTAACACGTAGGCTTTATGACACATTTATAAATAACGCGATCTAACCCAAAAACCTTTATTATGAACACCACAATACACACCGCACAATCCACAACCACACAGCACAAAATACAGCACACACACATGCAGCAATATACATAAACACACACACAACACAATATAACACAACACACAGGTGTGCTGTGTATGTGTTGTTGTTTATTATTCTGTATGTTATTGTGTTTATGTTCTGTATTATATGTTATGTGCTATGATATGTGTTGTGTGGTGCATGTAGTGTGGCCCATGTGGTGTGTATGTTGTGGTGTTTGTGTTTTGTAATGTGTGGCGAGTGTGGCGAGCGTGGCGAGCGTGATGAGCGTGGAGAGCGGTGCGGCGAGACCGTTGGTCGTGACGATGGTATCGGTGTGGCCGCTGCCATAGTGGTGGATGTGCTCCACAGCCCCGGCCGGCCCCTCCACGAGCTCCAGGCAGCAGGCCAGTTCCCCGTACTCACGGCGCAGAGACGCCGCCTCCGCAGGGCCAAACGCCAGCATGGAGCCAAACCGTGGTCCCGCGTGGATCACCACCTACAGCCACAACAACCACCACCACAACCACTGCAACATCAACAACCACCACAACATCAACAACAACCATCACAATAACAAAAACACTGTCGCTGTGACCCCATGTCCCCCGTGTCTCTTTGTCCCCGTGTCCCCGTACCCCCTCTGCTCAGAGCGTGTCTACGAGCCATGTCCCCGTGTCTCCGTGTCTGTGTCTCCGTGTCCCTATGTCCCCATACCCCCTCCGCTCGGAGCGTGTCTATGAGCTGGTCGAAGAGCGGTGTGCGGAGGAGCTCGCGGTGGATGAGCAGCGTCTCCATCGCGTTACACGCGGCCGGGTACTCGCACTTAGAGTCGCGCACTGCACACACAGAGCGACACATACAGACAGACAAACACAATAACAACCGCCATTCTCCACTAAGTGGTGGTGGAGCTTGTGCCAGGATATGTGCACGTTAAGGCCATGTGAAGTGTGGAACACCCGCTGGCAGAAGGTCACGGGACAGACTGGGTGACTGGCCGATGTACCACCTGTGCCCCCTACTGTGCCAACTTGTGTTTTATCCACCCAATGCTCTGCTCGTTGTTGTGAGCATTGCTACTCCAACTGCCCAGCAGCGTCCTTCACGAGCCTCCTCCACAGAGGCCGATCTTAAGATTGCTGATACCAGTCATCAGCAAGTCGAATCAGCTCCACATCCTCTTGTACCAAATCACTTCCGCTCATCTCTAGCCCATGCCGTGCCTATTTAGCCCCCTCTATCCAGCAGAATAAAAGCTGTTTTGGCATGTGGTGATTGGGCATGCGGGCTACATGACCCAGCCAACACAGCCTTGCCTGCCGGATGAGCTCACCGATGGGACTTTGTTCAGAGCTTGCAAGGATTTGTGAGCTCCTCACACAATCCAGCCAGCTTAAACCCAGGATAGATCATAGGAAGGGCACATAGTCTTACCCGGGCCTGCTCACCATCACAAAGGTCCTTCATAATAAAGGTTTTTGGGTTATATCGCGTTAGTTATAAATGTGTTGTAACCCTCCACCACCCGACACGGCCAATCAGCAAAAAGGTGTCACGTTGACAAAAGACAAATAGTTCACTACTTTAGCCCACCGGTGTGTTGAAGAGTGAATCCACAACATTTACAGTTTGAGTACGACGTTTCGCTGGTAATTTCATCCAGCATCATCGGCCAATTCGCCAGAATGGAGAACCCCTCACTTGCTCCCGGTCTTAAATAGAGCAACAGCAGAGTGACGTCATCATTGAACTAATTCAGGTGCAGTGATTTTAGTCGGGGGGGGGGGGTATTGTAATTATATAATCGATTGATAATCAGTCAATGGTGGTGGAGCTTGTGCCAGGGTATGTGCACGTTAATCTAATATTTCTTTGGTGTTCTTTTAGTCTTATGCTGATGTTACGTCCCTTCTGTCCAATATAGCATCTCCAATATAACACAACTGTCGGCAGTGGCAGAACATGCTTGTCAACAAGGACACTCAATTGATTTTGATAACGATGAAGTGTTGTGTAAAACTAATTATTACTGGCAAAAACTAATTAGAGAATCCATTGAAATTGAGAGAAATAGAAATAATTTCATCGCTCTGACATCTACAGGCTTAGTGCGGCCTGGAAGCGTATTATTAAATAATACATATTACAATTCCTTATAGGGGAAACATACTAATTAACTGATTACTAACGTAGCATATAACCAGAATAACACATTACAACGAATGACTAATCTACAACTCATTACTAATCATAACCATTGACTGATTATCAATCGATTATATAATTACAATACCCCCCCCCCCCCTCTGCCTCAAATCACTGCACCTGAATGAGTTCAATGATGACGTCACCCTGCTGCTGCTCTATTTAAGACTGGGAGCAAGTGAGGGCTTCACCATTCTGGCGAATTGCCCGATGATGCTGGATGTAATTACCAGTGAAATGTCGTACTCAAACTGTAAATTTTGTGGATTCACTCTTCAACACACCGGTGGGCTAAAGTAGTGAACTATTTGTCTTTTGTCAACGTGACACTTTTTGCTGATTGGCCGTGTCGGGTGGTGGAGGGTTACGACACATTTATAACTAACGCAATCTAACCCAAAAACCTTTGTTATGAATAATATTGGTCGCGAAAGCCTACGTGTTAAACTGACAAAGGTCCTTAATGATTGTGAGCAGAATCAGGGACTCTGAAAGCACAAAGAACAACCCAGAGACCAGGCCTACTGATGGCATCATAGGCCTTGACCAGGTCAATAAAATAGAGATGTAGGTCTTGTTGAAATTCCCTACACCTCTGTTGTAGCAGACGGACAGACAATATAACATCCGTGTAGGACCGCCCTGGTCTGGAACCACATTGGGGCTCCGCAAGCCTCTTTTCAGCGTGCCTGGCAAGGCGATGTTGAGTAATCCTGGCCAGAACCTTTCCCGGCACACTGAAAAAAGAGATTCCCTTGTAGTTGTTACAGTCTGTGCCATCCTTTCTTTAAGAGGGGGACCACCAGGGCATCCTTCCAATCCTGCAGAACCCATCCAGTGTTCCAGACTGTTATTATGATGTCATATAATGCAGTCTGCACACAAAAACCACCCTCCCTCAGCATTTCGCTTGGGAAATCATCTCTGGATGGCCTTCTTTACTTCAACAGATAGCATTTCAGCCAGCCACTCACAGGGGGTGACAACTTCCAATATTTGTGGCACAGCAACCTCAGCAGGGTCATCCCCACTTTGCCCTAAGTTTTTGAGGCCGAGGGATTTCTCCTCCCCAAAGACCTCACAGAAATGCTCAGGAAATCTGCAAACCTGTTCCTGGGGGTTGGAGATCGGATCACCTTTATTTACCCTAATGATGGTTATGTGTGGCGCTGCAAGTATTTTCTTATGGAGTTAAAGAGTGATTTGTGATCGCGGGCTACCGAGGCAGACTCCATCTCCTCAGCAACCTGCGACCACCACCCATCCTTCCAGCGCCGCACGGCTCTCTGAACCTCCGAGTGAGGGCTGTGATAAGCCTCGTCATTCTCTGACGTGGGATGCTGTAACCGATGAGAGTGGGCCTGTCACTTTTTCTCAGCCAGCCAGAACACCTCCTCTGTCAGCCAGGGTTTCTGGGGAGGTGTGGGCCGTGTACTCAAAGGAGCCATTGCAGCTGGAAGAGCCACAGTCCTATACCTCGCCCATGTCCCCTTGGCATCAGGAGGAGGGGAGGACGATGATGAAATTCTCGCTTGCAACTTTCATCAGGTAGCTGAGACCAGGCCGCTGTGGGTTTGAATGGGGTCCTGGATGTACATCCACCATCGGAGTGGAATAATGGGAGGCGCATCTTACAGATGACAAGTCATGGTCAGTGGGTAGATCAGCTCCACTGTAGGTCCTGGTGTCATAGGCCTGCACCCGCTGTCACTATATAGTCCAGCAGATGTTCTTGCTTGAAACCCGGCGTTCATTCATTGTTGTGAGGATAGGCCGATGCTGGAACAGCGTGTTGGTAATTACAAGCCCATGGGCTGCACAAAAGTCTAGCAGCCTCCTACTGTTGTTATTGAGCTGATCTGGCCCATGCCTTCCAATCACTCCAGACCAGGTGCCAGCATCATGACCCACTCGGGTATTAATGTTATTCCTCGCCTATGGTTGTTGGGAAGGTGAACCCAAAGTAGCCTAGGGCTTAGAGCTTCCCACACCTCACCGCCACGCACCCACACACCCTTCATTATTTTGCTCAGAGGAACAGCCACTCCCTGTTGTTTGGCAGTCTCCTGCCCCAAGTAGAGGGCTGTCCACTCTTCATGGTGGCAGGAGGCAGAGCTAGTACACCGGACCTCCTGAATACCGCAGAGATCCAGACGGTACCAGTTCAGCTCCCAACAGAGGAGTGGCAGCCTCTCCGCTGCAGTGAGCGTTCGAATATTCCACGTGGCCACCCGCAATGGCTTTTTGCTGTTTCTGGAGGAACCCCAAGGGTAAGAATTCAATCTCCTGGCTCCACCAAATGGAGTTTGGCCAGTAAACGTCATAGACGCCTGTCTCTCCAGGGCCTATGACACAAGCTTCGTTCTAAATTTTGCACGTGGTTTAGTGGTAAATAATTGAAGGTGGAGGAGTTACCAGCCCCTCACATCCATCCAAAGTCCCCGTTTGACCACTAGGTGGCTACAAGTGCCATGAAGCGGCATTGCCGTTTTTGGAATTGAACTTCCCTACATAGCATTGCTAACAATGAGCATGTGTGTGCATCCAAGAGGAATTTATATCTGGTAGAGATACAATAAGAGGCTGATCAATGCCCAGGTGCAGTCGAGGGATGGCTCCCTATTGGTCAACCATGTTATGTATGCAGATGATCTGATGATTGCTGCTCACTCAGAGGAGTTGGAGGCGCTGCTGCTGAACCTGGAGCGTGCCACTAAGAGGTGGGGCCTTACCATCAGCCCCACCAAAACTAAGCACCTGCCTGGGTATTTTGTGTCACCAAACACTTCACCTCCTCAGCTCCCCATTGGTGATGAAGCAGTTGTGGAGAAAGTGGAGAGTTTCACATACCTGGGCAGTGTGCTTATGACCAACTCCGGTTTGACAGCAGAGGTCTCACTCCAAATCAGCCGGGCGGCATTATCTTTTCATCGGCTGCGTAACGCTGTGTGGAAGCTACCTGGTTTGTTGCTTCGCACAAAGCTTTGGATCTTCTCAGCTACAGTCATGCCCTCCCTTCCCTATGCTTGTGAAACGTGGACCCCTCTAATTGAACATCTGCACCAATTAGAAACATTCAGGCTGGCCTGCCGACGATCCATCCTGGATTTAACCAGGCTGGATTGTGTGAGGAGCTCACAAATCCTTGAAAGATTTGGACACATTACCATCAGTGAGATCATCCGGCAGGCAAGGCTGTGTTGGCTGGGTCATGTAGCCCGCATGCCCAGCCACTGCATGCCGAAGCAGCTTCTGTTTGGCCGCATAGAGGGGGCTAAACGGGCACGACATGGGCTGGAGAAGAGATGGACTGATGTGGATTGGGAGGATGTGGAGCTGAGTGGACTTTCCCCAGACTAGTACCAGCGGTGTCGAGAGCTGCTCGCGTTAGACACTACTGGGCAGTTGGAGGCAGTCGCCCTCCAACTGGGCAGTTGGTGGCAGAGGAGCGATGCTTACAACAACAAGCAGAGCACCAGGTGGCTACAATTCCAGTAATATCAGTCAGCCAACCCATGGCACCTGGTTCTGTCCCATGATCTCCTGTTAGCACACCTTCGACACCGCACGTGGCCTCAAAGTCACTTAGTGGCGAATGGTGAGTATTGGTTTTGGTTGGTGTGTCTCAGAGGCGTAGGGGGACCTCTGTCTGTACCTATCTTAAGCGCAGTGTCCGTGTCCGCGTCCTTGTCTATGTACACGTGGCACACGCCCTCGCTGTGTCCCAGCACGGGGATGCCACGAGCAGCCCGCGTGATGGAGCTCACCTGCACGCAGAGTGGCACATTGCGGACGGCCAAAGCACACGCTCATTCGCGCGCGTTCATTTCACTCGCGCGCGTTAACTTGCCTTCACTTGCAGGCGTTCACTCGCTCACGTTCACGCGCGTTCACAACAGTGTTCATAGGTGTTCACAGACACCCTCCTATGAGCGACCGCTGTACGCCGCCCTGTGTTGGGGCACTCGAGGAACTCCACCTCAATGAGGAAGTTACTCTCGAGGTAACCTGCCACACGTCCCACGTGGCCACCCTAGCCCCTTTGCCAGTCCGTCAGCGACTACGAACCCAGCGAGCTAGTGGAGGCCCAAACACTCTTACAAACCTGCGAAAAAGACCGCGCAAAACTCAGCCCATTTAACCACCGAGCTACGGCGTAAAGGGAGTCAACGCCACAAGAGACATTAACGGCATGGAACAGACCCCCCACGCATGGGTCGCAGCCTTCTCGGCCCAAACTCTGCTGGTACGCTCCACCAGTACGTTCTCTCCCTCGGGGGCCCATTGCCGATTCCTCACCACCCCCCCGTCCCCCCCCGCTAGGCCCCGGTCAAGCCGAGGCCAGCAGGAAGCCCCCCCCACCCCCCACCCCCCTCGTGAGGGAGGGTTCTACTCCCCCCATGAGCAACGCTCGTCCAGCCCCTCTTGGCCCCCTCCAGCACGAGGCACAAACGGCTTCTCTGCCACAGTCAGCCCAGACAGCCCAGAACCCCCCCCCACCACCCCCACCCTCCCCACCCCCCACTACCAAACCCCCACCCCCCCAATCAGAGTTCCCTCCTAAGCCGCCCCGAGGTCGGTCTCTGAACTAAACTATTTTTTATTTTACCAGGTGTAAGGCGAACTGACTTATTAGCGCTTCCATTTGAAGTTTTTTTGGGTTAGATCGCGTAACTATGAATGTGTCATCAAACACGCACCACCCGACACAGCCAATCAATAAGGTTTGTCACGTAAACAAAGCAGTGCTAATTAGTTACTAGTTCAGCACACCGGTGTGTTGGACACTGAACCCACAGAATTTACTATTCAGGTACCATAACGTTTTGCTGGAAATTACAGGCAACAGCTCCAAGTGACTTGGCCACACAAATGATAGCCCAACGAAGTTGACTTATTATCACATGGAAATTTATAGCGCAAACTCCCAAATATACAGAAGGCGTCAGGCTCGGGATTGAACCCACGACCTTCTGTATAACCAGGTGAGGTAGTGAACATCTCCTAGCCACTGTGGCACCCGCTCAGAAGCCTCTTCACTGTCCTCAATCTCCCCCTCGACCGCCGACGTGTGGGGATGGGCCGCGAGCTCTCCACCTGACCTCAGCTCTCCCTGGCCAAGCTCCAGGCCCCCAACGCACCCCCCCTGCATGTAGGTGTGGTGAGCCCTTAGGGTGAGGGAGGCAGGGATCAGCCGACGGTTCTGGATTGCCTCTCGCAACCCAAGTTGACATTCTTCAAGGGCCACACAACAGCTCTGGGGAGGGCCTTGCGCTCCTGGCTCACCTCATGCGTATCAAGCCTCGCTCCTCTGCAGACATTCAATGCTTACCAGATGGACTTTTTTCTAAGCACCCACAATTAGAAACTTTATACAATGAAGAAATGGCGGCCGCCGGGTGTGCGTGCGTTAGGGGTCAAACAGGTCCTGGGCCTTACCTAGGTCGATTCAGCCTCAAATGAGCATCTTGTGCAATGTGTTAACATTGCCACTGGGGATACAAAGACGGCCGGTCGTGGTCCTGGCCACCCACCCCCTCGTGTGCTAGTGCAGCCTTCACAGGTGCTCGTTAACAGTACTTGCCCCAACAGTCTGTTAAGGTTAAACGGGGGATCTTTGTTTTTGGGTATGTGTACGAAGGTTAGGGTTGGGGTCGGGGTCAGGGTCTGCCACTGTCCTGTGTGTCAGGGTCTGGCACTGTCCTGTGTGTCAGGGTCTGGGTCAGGGTCGGGGTCGAGCACTGTGGTGTGTACCAGAGACGAGGAGCCTCGAGGGATGATGAGGTCGACGAGTTTGTCCATCCGGCAGAGATCGCTCACCTCCTCGCGGGACGACACCTACACATGCATACACGGACACGCGCACACGGACACAGGCACACACCAATACGGACATGCATGCATACACACACGTATACGGAAACGCACACACAAAGACACACACATGGACACGCGTGCACACACGGACATGTGCACACAGAGATATGGACATACATTTACACACGCACGCAAACACACAGACACACATGCACACACGCTTGGACACGCGCACGCACAAAGACAAAGATATGAACATACACATGTACACGCACACACACGGCAGATGCAGATACAGATATACTCCCACACCGATGTGGCCTACACAGGCAGTTGGGGAAAGTGCCATGATGTTGGTAGAGTGCATGAGGGAGTATGTGTGTCTATTTGTGTGTAGGCGTGTGGGGAGCGGTAGTGTAGTGGTTAGCGCACTGCGCTACCAACCCGGCGACCAGAGTTCGATTCCCGCTCACGGCCAACACCAGTGACAATTATCTGAACTGGTTCTGGGCCTTCGCTCGGTCGATTCAGCTTCAAACGAGTGCCTGGTGCGGTGTGTAAACATCGCTACTGGGGAGACAAAGGCGGTCGGGCGTGGTGCTGGCCAACCATCCCCTCGAGTGACATACCAGCCTTGACAGGTACTTGCTAACATCACTTGCCCCAACAGTCTGTGAAGGCTACGAGGGGGATTCTGTGCCTTTCGATTTAAAGCTTTCGTGACTGCAATGATTCATCTTCTTTGGTTCTTTCGGTAAAGTCACGTAGAATGATAATAAAATAATAAATTGATAAAATAAAATAACACAATAATATTCTCACGACGTTTCGGCCACAACACAATTTCAACCGAGAAGATGGATTTAGGCTTAGTAACCACTGGAAATATGTTTTAAATCATTTCTGTTCTTAATTAATTGTATTTTTACGATGACCTTCAGACCGCAGCTCTTTCGCCAGCATTGCCTCTTAATACCTCTCACACCACGGTTAATGGTATAGTTTTACAACATGGAGCATACTAGGGCCTCGCAGCTGTCTCTCTCCCCCTCCTCTGTTCCGACCATGGACGAACTCGTCCGTCTGAACGGGGCCCGTAGCTATTCGTGGTGCTGAAATTTGAGGGTAAGAATCCACCCATTTTTTCGCCATATAGCATTGTGATATATAACGACTTATTGTTGGTAGCTTAGCTGATTGGAGAATATAGAGTTTATTGATAACATGAAGGTAATTTATATTTTAGTTTTTATTGGTTCACTATATAGTACTGTGAACAGCTCAGATGTGTAGTCATTTCTGTGACCAGTCACTAGCTAATCACTCAGTTATTTCAATGCTGGATTCGCCTAGTTATTTCAATGCTAAATTCTCCTGTTTGATTTGTACTAAGGGCCTCGGTGAATGTGTATGCTCTGACTTTAACGTAGCTATTTCTGCAGCAGGTACAAGCTCTATTTCTGCAGCAGGTACAAGCTAATCACTCAGCTATCTCAATGCTAAATTCTATGCTAATTCCATTGTCAAGGGGTGCCTCTGCGGATGTGTATGCCTTAACTTAGCTATTTCAATGCTAAATTCTATGCTAATTCCTTTAACAATGGGTGCCTCTGCGGGTGTGTATGCTTTAACTTTTAACATAGCTATTTCTGTGACCAGTCACAAGCTAATCATTCAGCCATTTCAATGCTAAATTATATGCTAATTCCTTTGTCAAGGCGCTTTGTTCCTCTCACACAGCTTAAAGGCCGTATCTGAACGTGGCTCTTTCACTCCAGCGCTGTCCTACCAGACAGTCTCGCCCCCCTTCACCTGATGAAGGCCGCTTGTGTTGTGGCCGAAACGTCGTGAGAATATTATTGTGTTATTTTATTTTATCAATTTATTATTTTATTATCATTCTACGTGACTTTACCGAAAGAACCAAAGAAGATTCTGTGTCTTGTTTGTATGTGGGTACCAGCTGCACCGCTGCGGACGCGCCGTGCAGCGCCAGCGCCTCCTGCGCAAGCGCATGCAGCACCTGGTTGGACCGCGTCGCCTCGCGCCCACCCTTCAGTAGCAGCCCGTTACCCGTGGCAACCGCCAGCGCCGTCACCTGCATAACCACACAACCACAACACACAGATGCATATCCATATACACCTATATAACAAAGGCAAAGATCCCCCGTATTGCCTTAACAGCTGTTGGGGTAATTGCTGTTAGCCAGTAGCACCTATGAATGCCGGCAAGGCACACGAGAGGGTGGGTATCCAGCACCACACCTGAACACACACAGGTACACACTTATATACGCACACTAAGTGGCGGTGACGTCACCACAGGCTAGGTGCACCTCGACGCCACGTGAAGTGTTGCAGGCTGCTGGCAGGTGCCATGGGTTGACCGACTGAGATGGCTTGCAGATGCACCACCTGCGCCCCCCTACTGTGCCAATTTGCTGTGTTTTATTGTGGCTGAGAAAATTCGAAGTGCGCTCGCCTGCAACCCCCCCATGCCCCACTCCTCCCCCCGTCCACCCCGTGCCCTGCCCCGTCCCCCGTGGAGCCAGAACTCACCTGAGGCAGGCAGTCGGGGCGTGACTCGAAGATGACGAGGAGAAGGCCGATGGGAACCGTCACCTGCTCCAGCTCCAGGCCCGGGGCGAGCAGCGTGCGGCGCAGCGCACGCCCCAACGCCGTCGTGGACGCCACCGCGATTTGACGCAGCCCGATAGCCAGGCTGTTCAGCTTAGCAGTGGAGAGAGCAAGCCTCTTCAGCAGGGGCTCGGCCAAGCCTGCTCCACACCACGGGGAATACACAAGCCACAACGTGGCACACACCGGCACGTCAACACTCACCACAGTACACACCGGTACGTCAACACTCACCACAGTACACACCGGTACGTCACACTCACCACAGTACACACCGGTATGTCAACACTCACCATAGTACACACCGGTACGTCACACTCACCACTATACACACCGGTACGTCACACTCACCATAGTACACACCGGTACGTCACACTCACAACACCACAGTACACACCGGTACGTCAACACTCACCACTATACACACCGGTATGGCACACTCACCACAGTACACACCGGTACGTCACACTCACCACTATACACACCGGTATGTCACACTCACAACACCACAGTACACACCGGTACGTCAACACTCACCACAGTACACACCAGTACGTCACACTCACCGCACCACAGTACACACCGATACGTCAACACACACGGGACCACAGGAGTGAGAGTGAGGATGAGTGAGCGTGAGCGAGTGAGTGAGTCAGCGAGCGAGCGAGTCAGTGAGCGAGCGAGTCAGTGGAAGTGAGTGAGCGATTGTAAGTGTTAGCGAGTGAGTGAGCGAGTGAGCGAGGGTGATGCAGATGCTGGCACCGGTGGAGGCCGCCGCCTCCAGGTCGACGCGGTTGGCTGCCAGGATCTCGTCTCCCCTCTCGGTCAGCAGCTCGGCCAGACGTACCACGATCTCTGCCCGCTACGACACATAGCAGCGTCACACAAAGACAAGACAAAGACAATGATCCCCCGTGTAGCCTTAACAGACTGTAGGGGGCAAGTGCTGTTAGCGAGCACCTATGAAGGCCAGCACGGCATACAAAGGGGTGGGTGGCAAACATCACGCCCTACCACCTTTGTCTCCCCAGTGGGGATGTTCACTTCACACACTGCACCAGGTACTCATTTGAGGTCTGAGTCGACCGAGTGGAGGCCCATGACCGGTTCAGATAATCGTCACTAGCATTGGCCGTGAGCGGGAATCGAACTCGGGTTTCCAGGTTCGTAGCGCAGCGCGCTAACCGCAGCATCACACGCACCCAGCATCACACAGGAGCATCACGCATGCAGTGTCACGTGAGCGCAGTGTCGCATGTGCAGCATCGCGCTCGCAGCATCACACAGCTACAAACGCCACATTCACACCACATATTCCCCATCACACACACACCGTACACACCTTACACACACGTATGGTCTGTGCGTGTGCATGTTAGCGCAGGTGCGTATGTCAGTATGTGTCTGGGTGACTCAGCCTCAAATGAGAACCAGTTGCAGGGTGTAAACATCGCCACTAAGAAAACCAAGGCTGCCGGGCATGGTTCTGGCCATCCACCCCCTCGTGTACCGTGCCGGCCTTCATTAGGTGCTCACGAACAGTACAGAGTGTGTTAAGGCTACACAGGGGGTCTTTGCATATTGTTCACCTGCTCAGGTTGCAGTGTGGACAGCTCCCTGCCTGCAGCTCGCGCCAGCTTTGCCTGAGTCTCTACACTCATCCCTACACATCGCCACCATCATCAATATCAATCATTAACATCACCACCATCATCACTACCGACATCATCACTACTAACATCACCATCATCATCACTACCACCACCATCATCACTATCATCATCATCGCCACCACCATCATCATCACTACCATCATAATCATCATCACAACCACCACCCCCACCATCATCATCACTACCCCAATCACCACTTCCACCATCATCACTACCTCGATCACCACCATCACTAACACCACTATCACCCCCTCCTTCTCCAGCCCCTGCACCTGGTTGCCATACCCTCGGGCTTGACCTCGGTGAAGAAGGTGCCGACGCGCTTGCCGGCAACGATGTCGGTGATGACGTGCCCAGTCACCTTGGGGTTGGTGCCATTCGCAATCACCACGGCGGTGCCGCCCTGCAAGGCCCACAGCGCAGCCTTCACCTGCACCCCGACACCCACAGAGATGCACGGAGACACAAAGATACAGACGCAGACACCCGCAGAGATACACAGAAACCCAAAGAGATACATAGATATACACAGAGACACATAGAGATAGAGAAACACCCACAGAGACTCACAAAGACTCACAGAGCTGCACTTGCGAGAGGACCAGCCACTGCGATGTTGGGCGGCCGCTACGGAAGCAGCAGTCAGCCATGGCCGGCAGAGCCACCGGCCCGACACCCACAACCTCATCACCCCGTCACTCCACTACCCACCACGCCACCACCCAATATCCCACCACCCCATTCCCCCATTGACCCATCACCCCACCACCGACAACCCCACCACGCCATCACCCCACCATCCCACTCCCTCACCACCTCCCACCACCCCCCCCCCGTCACCTTGGCTTCCATGCCCCCGACGCCGACACGAGACTTCCCCCCGAAGGTGATGGCGGCCGCCTCGTCCGGGTAGAACTCATCCAGCAGCCTGGCGTCCTCAGAGTCAGGAGGGCTGTCAAACAGCCCTGCACAAACGCACACACAACCACCTCGTCAACGACACGTCCTTACCATCAACACGCCTCATCACCACCACCTCGTCACCATCTATACAACTCGTCACCAGCACCTCATCATCATACACCATCAACGTACGTCATCGTGGTTATTGTGGTGTTTGTTGTGGTGGTGATTGTGGTTATTGTGGTAGTGGTTGTTGTGGTAGTAGTGGTGGTGGTGGCCGTACCCTCGACGTCAGAGAGGACAATGAGGAGATCAGCCTCCATCTCCACGGCGATCCTCGCCGCCAGACTGTCATTATCCTGCACGCTGATCACCTATACACACCACACACACCCCGACAGACATGCTGTAACCTACACTCCACACCATACATAGCACAGCACATAACACAGTCCCCATTCGCCAGTCGGTGACAATGACATAACCAAAACTCTTTTGCCAAATAAAGTTAATTTTGAGACGTTGTGACAGGTTCATGGAACAGACCCAGGTCGTGCCATGGGTTTATCGAGACGACTGTGTCCCCTACTGCACCAACTTGCTGCATTCTTGATGCCCGGTGCTCTGTTCGTCATTGTGAGCGTCGCTCCTCTGCCCACTTCTGTTTTTGGAGGGTGACTGCCTTCATGAGCTTCCTCTTCCTCCCACGACCAGCACTCATCCTTGCAGTGGCGTACAGCTCCCTGAACCTCTGATCGAAGGCTGCGGTAAGGCTGCATATTGTGTGGCTGTAATGGGGAGGCTATGGCTGTGTACCCAACGCAGCCATAGCAACTGCACAAGCCACAGTCCTGAACCTCACCCATTTTTCTTCAACATCAGGAGGGGGAGGGGACGAGGCCAACCCCAGCTGCAGGCGATTAAATTCTTGCTTACAACTTTCAGCAAGTCGGTACCAAGATATTGTGGGTTTGAATGGGGTCCTTGGTGGGCACCCACCACCAGTGGAGGAATGGCAGGCGCATCTTACAGATGACAAGTCAGTGGGCATATCAGCTCCACAAACATTTCACGTGACCAACCGCAGTAACTTTGTGCCGTTTCTGGAGCGTTCAGTCTCCTGGCTCCACCCATTGGGGTCTGGCCAGGAGTTTCCTACGGCACAAGCTTGGATCCTTTATACGTGACTTTCTGGTAAATGAGTTCAAGGTGGAGGGCTCGCCAGCATCTTGTGCCCGTCCACAGGCCCCGTTGGCCGCCGTGGCAGCTACGAGTGCCATGAGGGGAACGGCCGATTGGCATCGTCCCAAATGGCATTGCTTACAGCCACGACAGCATGACCGACCGGCAACCACCGAGGTCAGGGGTTGTTTCTGCAATCGCACGCACATCGTGCAGAGCTTGTGCCAGTGTGTGTGACTGTTGCGAGTGCTTGCGATTGTGGGTGGTTGTGGTGGCGCACGCCATGCGGTTGCGTTGCGGTTGTTGTTGTTGCCATGGCGTTGGCGGGGAGGCCGTGTCTCCGCACCCCGGCGAGGTCCCCGCTGGGCTCAGGTGGAGGGGCCACGGCGTCATTGGCGTTGATGATGGGGACAATGTTCATGGCCAGCAGCTCGTCCAGCGTGCCACGCAGGTTAAGGCGCTTCTGCTGGTCGTGGAAGTCCAGGTTCGTCACGAGGATCTGAGATACAGACACGGAGACACGGTGACACGGTAAGAAGAAGACAGAGACACGGTGAGATGGAGACAAGATGGTAATGGTGGTTGTGGCTGTTATAAAGTTGATCATCGATTATCTGGCTTCCAACAGTATCCGGATGCATAATACTGTGTGGAAGCTACCTGGTCTGTCGATTTACACGAAGCTTCAGGTCTTCTTGGTCACGGTCATGCCCTCCCTTATCTATGCTTGTAAAGATGGACCCCTCTAATGGAACATATGCACCGGTTTGAACCATTCAGGCTGGCCTGCCTACGATCCATCTTGGGCTTAACCAGGCTGCATTGTGCGATAAGCTCACAAATCCTTGAAAGATCTGGACACATTCTCATCAGCGAGCTCCTCCGGCAGGCAAGGCTGCATTGGCTAGGTCATGTGGCCCGCATGCCCAACTACCGCATGTAAAAAAATAACATTTTACCAGATAAGGCCGACTGAGCTATGAAGCTCTTTTTCAGAAGCAACCTGGCCATAAATTATATCTCAATTAAGTGGCTTATCGTGTGGAAATTTATAACAGACAAATACTCTAAATTCATGTTTTTAAATGGAAGGAAAAACCAGAGGATCCAGAGAAATATCCACGCGACCACGGGAAGAACATGCAAACTCCAAATATAAAAGCATCAGGGTCGGGATCGAACCCACGACCTCCTGTATACCAGCAAGGTAGTTCACATCTCACCACCATGGCACCCTAAGCAGCTGCCGTTTGGCCAGATAGAGGGGGTTAAATGGGCACGACATGGGCTGGAGAAGAGATGGATAGAGGATGTGGAGCTAAGAGGACTTGCCAAATACTGGTACCAGCGGTGTCAAGATCGGCCTCTATGGAGCAAGCTCGTGAAGGACGCTACTGGGCAGTTGGAGGCAGTCACCCTCCAACAACAACAGAGGGCAGAGGAGCGACGCTCACAACAAAAAGCGGAGCGCCGGGCAGCTAAAACGCAGCAAGTTGGCACAGTAGGAGGTGCAGTTGGTGCATCTGCCAGTCATCTCAGTCAGCCAACTCATGGCACCTGGGTCTGTCTCGTGACCTCCTGCCAATGAGACTTCACGTGGCCTCAAAGTGCACCTGGACTGGCACAGGCGCCGTGATTACGTCACCGCCGCATCGTGGCAAATAGTGGGTATTGGTATTGGTGTTGGTGCTGTTGGTGGCTATGGTTGTGGTGGCGGTCGTCACCTGTGCGGAGCAGATGCTGTACTGGGTGAACATCGCCTCGTAGAGCGCCATGAGGCCGCTCTGCCCCGCAGCAGCACACGCACGAGCCTCTAGCACGGGCACTGCCTGCACCACCACAAAAACCACAATCACAAATACAACAACCAAACAGGTTCACATGTACACGCCTCCAGCACGGGCTCCGCCTGCACCACAACTACCACAACCCCTACAACCAAAACAACCACGTTAACAACAAAAACAACCACATTCACAGCACGGCGTTGAGCTGGATGTGGCTCGAGTGCAGTGCTTGGCACACGCTTTGTCTCCGCGTGCCACCGTGTGTGTCGTACGCGTGCCACCGTGTGCATCAACGCGTGTCACCGCGCGTGTCACTGTGCGTGTCAAAGTGTGTGTCACCATGTCCTTGAGCTGGTTGTGGCTTGAGTGCAGCGCTTGGCGCACGCTCTGAGACAGGAGGATCTCGTGGCGCAGGCGCTGCTTGCCGAAGGCGACGGCGCCGCTCGTCACGATCAACATTTCACAGCCCTGATTCTGCAGCTCGGCCACCTGCACACACGCACGCACACCACACACACCACATAGTGAATACACACCCCAACGCACAGTGCGTACACACTCACCACACACACCGCACAGTATGTACACACTCACCACACACACCGCACGGTACGTACACACTCACCACACACACCGCACGGAGCGTACACACTCACCACACACCGCACGGAGCGTACACACTCACCACACACACACACTGCACAGGACGTACACACTCACCACGCACACCGCACGTAGCATACACTCACCACACACAACGCACGTAGCGTACACAGAGCGTACACACTCACAACACACACCGCAAGGAACGTACACACTCACCACACACACCGGACGGTACGTACACACTCACCACACACACCGCACGGAGCGTACACCCTCACCACACACACCGCACAGAGCGTACACACTCACCACACACACCGCACGGTACGGACACACTCCTCACACACACTGCACGGTACGTACACACTCACCACACACACTGCACGGTGCGTACACACTCACCACACACACTGCACAGTGCGTACACACTCACCACACACACTGCACAGTGCGTACACACTCACCACACACACTGCACGGTGCGTACACACTGACCACACACACCGCACGGTAGGTACACACCACACGCACTGCACGGTGCGTACACACTAACCACACACACTGCACGGAGCGCACACACGCACCACACACACTGCACGGTACGTACACACTCACCACACACACCGCACGGTACGTACACACTCACCACACACACCGCACGGAGCGTACACACTCACCACACACACCGCACGGAGCGTACACACTCACCACACACACACCGCACAGGACGTACACACTCACCACAAACACCGCACGGAGCGTACACACTCACCACACACACCGCACGTAGCGTACACACTCACCACACACACTGCACGGTGCGTACACACTCACCACACACACTGCACGGTGCGTACACATACACCACACACACCGCACAGTACGTACACACTCACCACACACACCGCACGGAGCATGCACACTCACCACACACACCGCACGGAGCGTAGACACTCACCACGCACACCGCACGGTACGTACACACTCACAACACACACCGCAAGGAACGTACACACTCACCACACACAACGCACGTAGCGTACACACTCACCACACACACCGCACAGTACGTACACACTCACAACACACACCGCAAGGAACGTACACACTCACCACACACACCGGACGGTACGTACACACTCACCACACACACCGCACGGAGCGTACACACTCACCACACACACTGCACGGAGCGTACACACTCACCACACACACCGCACAATACGTACACATTCACCACACACACCGCACGGTACGTACACACTTACCACACACACTGCACAGAGCGTACACACTTACCACACACACTGCACAGAGCGTACACACTCACCAATCACACTGCACAGAGCGTACACACTCACCACACACACTGCACGGTACGTACACACTCACCACACACACCGCACAGAGCGTACACACTTACCACACACACCGCACGGTACGTACACACTCACCACACACACCGCACGGAATGTACACACTCACCACACACACCGCATGGAGCGTACACACTTACCACACACACCGCACAGTACGTACACACTCACCACACACACCGCACAGAGCGTACACTCACCAAACACACTGCACGGAGCGTACACACTCACCACACATACACCCGCATGGTGCGTACACACTCACCACACACACTGCATGGTACGTACACACTCACCACACACGCTGCACGGTGTACGCACTCACCACACACAACGCACGGAGCGTACACACTCACCACACACACCGCACAGTACGTACATACTCACCATACACACTGCACGGAGCGTACACACTCACCACACACACCGCACGGTACGTACACACTCACAACACACACTGCACGGTACGTACACACTCACCACACACACCGCAAAGAGCGGACACTCTCACAACAAACACTGCACATAGCGTACACACTCACCACACACACCGCACAGAGAGTACACACTCACCACACACACCGCACAGAGCGTACACACTCACCACACACACTGCACAGAACGTACACACTCACCACACACACCGCACGGTGCGTACACACTCACCACACACACCGCACGGAGCGTACACACCACACGCACTGCACAGAACATACACGCTCACCACACACACCGCACGGAGCGTACACACTCACCACACACACCACACGGTACATACACACTCACCACACACACTGCACGGTGTGTACACACTCACCACACACACCGCACGGAGCGTACACACTCACCACACACACCGCACGGAGCGTACACACTCACCACACACACCGCACGGAGCGTACAAACTCACCACACACACCGCATGGTACGTACACACTCACCACACACACCGCACGGTGAATACACACTCACCACACCACGCACGGAGCGTACACACTCACCACACACACCGCACAGAGCGTACACACTCAGCACACACACCGCACGGTAAGTACACAATCACCACACACACTTCACGGAGCATACACACTCAGTACATACACTGCACGGTACGTACACACTTACCACACACACCGCACGGTACGTACACACTCACCACACACACTGCATAGTACGTACCCACTCACCAGACACTGCACGGAGCGTACACACTCACTACACACACTGCACGGTACGTACACACTCACCACACTCACCACACACACAGCACGGAGCGTACACATTCACCACACACACCGCACGGAGCGTACACACTCACCACACACACTGCATGGTACGTACACACTCACCAGACACCGCACGGAGCGTACACACTCACTACACACACTGCACGGTACATACACACTCACCACACTCACCACACACAGCACGGAGCGTAAACATTCACCACACACACCGCACGGAGCGTACACACTCACCGCACAGAGCGTACACACTCACCACACACACCACACAGAGCGTACACACTAACCACACACACTGCACGGTACGTACACACTCACCACACACACCGCACGGTATGTACACACTCACCACACACACCGCACGGTGCGTACACACTCACCACACACACCGCACGGAGCGTACACACTCACCACACACACTGCACGGAACGTACACACTCACCATACACACTACGTAGAGCGTAAAATTCACCACACAAACTGCACGGTACGTACACAATCACCACACACACTGCACGGTACGTACACAATCACCACACACACTGCACGGTACGTACACACTCACCACACTCACCACACACACTGCACGGAGCGTACACACTCACCACACACACTACACGGAGCGTACACATTCACCACACACACCGCACGGTACGTACACTCACCACACAGACCGCACGGAGCGTACACACTTACCACACACTCTGCACGGTGTGTACACACTCACCACACACACCGCACAGACCGTACACACTCACCACACACTCTGCACGGTGTGTACACACTCACCACACACACCGCACACAGCGTACACACTCACCACACACACCGCACAAAGCGTACACACTCACCATACATACCGCACAGAGCGTACACACTCACCGTACACACCGCACAGAGCGTACACACTCGCCACACACACTGCACGCAGCAATACACACTCACCACACACACCGCACGGAGCGTACACACTCACAACACATACTGCACGGAGCATACACACTCACTACACACACCGCACGGTACATACGCACTCACCACACACACTGCACGGAGTATACACACTCACCACACACACAGCACGGAGCGTACACACTCAATACACACACCGCACGGTACGAACACACTCACCACACACACTGCACGGTACGTACACACTCACCACACTCACCACACACAATGCGTACACACTCACCACACACACTACACGGAGCGTACACATTCACCACACACACCGCACGGTAGGTACACACTCAATTCACACACCGCACGGTACGTACACACTCACCACACACACTACATAGAGCGTACACATTCACCACACACACCGCACGGTACGTACACACTCACCACACACACCGCACACAGCGTACACACTTACCACACACACCGCACGGTACGTACACACTCACCACACACACCGTACGGAATGTACACACTCACCACACACACCACACGGAGAGTACACACTTACCACACACACCGCACAGTACGTACACACTCACCACACACACCGCACAGAGCGTACACACTCACCAAACACACCGCACGGAGCGTACACACTCACCACACACACTGCACGGAGCGTACACATGGACCACAAACACCGCACAGTACGTACACACTCACCACACACACCGCACGGTACGTACACACTCACCACACACAACGCACGTAGCGTACACACTCACCACACACACCGCACGGTACGTACACACTCACAACACACACCGCAAGGAACGTACACACTCACCACACACACCGGACGGTACGTACACACTCACCACACACACCGCACAAAGCGTACACACTCACCACACACACCACACGGTACATACACACTCACCACACACACTGCACGGTGTGTACACACTCACCACACACACCGCACGGAGCGTACACACTCACCACACACACTGCACGGAGCGTACACATGGACCACAAACACCGCACAGTACGTACACACTCACCACACACACCGCACGGTACGTACACACTCACCACACACAACGCACGTAGCGTACACACTCACCACACACACCGCACGGTACGTACACACTCACAACACACACCGCAAGGAACGTACACACTCACCACACACACCGGACGGTACGTACACACTCACCACACACACCGCACAAAGCGTACACACTCACCACACACACCACACGGTACATACACACTCACCACACACACTGCACGGTGTGTACACACTCACCACACACACCGCACGGAGCGTACACACTCACCACACACACCGCACGGAGCGTACACACTCACCACACACAC